ATAGACCAGCTGCATTCCAACCAAATCCCAGTACAACAGGCCTTTAATCATAACATTCAACCTAACAATTATTTCTATAATATGCAAACACCAATGGGTAGGTCAAATTTACAACCCTTTCATGAAATGTCATCATCTTTGGAAAATACAGTGACAAGATCAATGAGGGAAAAAATAATAAAAGGTGAATTTGTTGATTTGGCTAAACTATTAAAAGATGAGGATGACGAAGATGATGACATGACAAATAGGGTGACAGAAATTAAAGTTATCAATGGCCGACAGGTATTTATACCTGACAAAAGATACCCAAAGTTTATACCATTTGGAGATTGGTCAAGAGCTTTTCTTATTTACATGAGTGTAGCAATCAGATATAAACCCCTAGAAGCTAATGGTATGATAAGTTACATGGCAAACATACAAGAATTAAAAGAGAAGGGAATGAATTGGGGCAAATATGATAGAAAATTTCGTAAAGCAAGAGCTAACAGAATGGTACCTTGGGAGGTGATAGATGGAGCATTATGGGTAAAATGCATCAATATGAAAAATGAAAAGAGCCAAGAAAAATGGGGCGAAAAGAAGGAGTCAGGAAAAAAAGGGGAAAAAACGAATGAACTAGAAACTAAAGGAAAATCATCGTTGAACCCTTTTATTCCAAAAGACTACTGCTTTTTCTACCATAAAGGCTACTCATGCAAAAAAGGTGAAGATTGTAAATTTAAACATGAATGCCCTTATTGCAAAGGGAAATCACATAAAGCAAAGGAATGCAGTAAAGCTGAGAATAACCTTTTTCGTCCAAAAAACAGAAAATAATATTTTGAATGACAATCAAGGCAGCAACCAGCACCTTGACAAGGCAGAAAGTAAGCCTGAAACTGATAGGACTATGAGTTCAAAGCCCAATACCAGGTTAACTGAAATCAAAGTTGATGAGTTAAATCAAATAATAGATAGAAATCAACCATTACCAACACCAATTAAATGGGTCAAGCTTAATGAAAAGTTAGAAGGTTATGATAGTAACTTAAAAGAACAAATTGAAGAGGGTTTCACTAACGGGTTTAAAGTACCCTTTAAAGGTAGAACATCATTTAAAGAACCCAATAATTTGAAATCTGCTCAACAACACCCACAGGTTATCAGAGATAAAATAGAAAAAGAAATAAAAGCCAACAGATTATTAGGCCCTTTTAATAAACAACCCAGTCAAGATTTTGTAGTATCCCCAATAGGAGTTGTTCCAAAGAAAAAACCAGGGGAATATAGAATGATACATCACCTGTCAGCACCCAAAGGTGAATCAATAAATGAAGGTATTGAAAAGGAACTAGCAACCGTACAATATCAAACTGTGAAACAAGCAGTGAACATAATTAAAAACCTTCCTGAACCAGTGTACCTAAGCAAAGTAGATATTAAAAATGCTTTCAAAATAATACCAATGAATCCTCAAGATTATAACTTATTAGGTTTTAAATTTGAAGATCAATATTACGCTGACAAAACATTACCAATGGGTCTATCAATTTCGTGCAAGACTTTTGAATTGTTAAGCACATCCATACAATGGATTGGCATAAATAAGATAGATATAGGCAATATGGTACACATAATTGATGACTTCTTGTTAATAGAAGTAACAAAAGATAAGTGCACAGAATCTTTGGATAAATTCCAAAAGATGTGTGATGAGATAGGAATCCCCCTAGCACCAGAAAAGACTGAGAGCCCCAATCAGGTAATGACATTTGCGGGTATAGAAATTGATACTCTGAATAAAGAGACAAGACTGCCGCAAGATAAGTTACAAAAGGTAAAAAATATGATCAAACAAGTTAAAGAAAACAAGAGAAAAACCAAGAGAGAGCTTCTGAGTATTATAGGTCTGTTGAACTTCTGTACAGTTATCATTCCCTTCGGAAACACGTTTCTCAGAAGGTTGATAGATCTTTCAATGAAAGCTAAAGAGCTACATCATCACTGTAGATTAACGGCGGAAGCCAGACTAGATATTGAAATATGGGAAGAATTCATTGAATCATTCAACGGAAGAGGTTTTTTCGTTGATGAGAAATGGGAAAATAGTGAAAATATAGATATACAAACAGACGCTTCAACATCATACGGATATGGGATCGTATTCAACAAAGAGTGGACTTATGGCAAATGGCCAACTAGCTGAAAGGGTTATCATATAACCATGTTAGAATTATACCCAGTTGTTCTAGCATTTTTACTTTGGGGTCAAGTATTTGCTAATAAACAAGTAACCATATATACAGATAACCAAGGTGTTTGCAATATTCTAAAAAAAGGTGTTACTAAAGACAAAAACATGATGGTATTAATGAGAAAATTAGTATTGCATTGTTTAAAATTAAACATTAATGTTAAAAGCGTCTACCTGCCAGGTAAAGATAACTGCGCAGCAGATTGCTTATCAAGAAATCTTTTGCAGGAGTTCAAGAAACTCAGGCCAGAAAACAATGTAGAACCAAAAGTGATTCCAGAGGAATGGAAACCAGAGAACTGGAGGATAACTTCAGAAAATTAGTAGAGCAAGCCCATACTCATAATACCAAAAAAGTGTATGAACAGTCTTGGCAAAAACTGCTGACATTTTGTACTCAACATAACCTAAGACCATTTCCTTTGAGTACTTCAGACTTAAGCTTATTTATAAGCGAGATGAATCTTATGGGTTATGCTCCTTCAACAATTAAAACCCAAGTATCAGCAATATCTTATTTTCATAAAATTGAAGGGATAAAAGATCCCACAAAGTCTTATGTCATTCAACAAGCATTAATAGGGATGACAAAACAATCTGATAACGTGGATCGAAGAGATCCAATAACTCTTGAGCTGTTAGTATATATGATTAATTCATTGAACATAATATGTCAAGATATAAACCAAGTAAAAGTAATAAGGACAATGTTCATAACAGCATTCTTTGCCTTATTGAGAATTAGTGAAATCACGGTAGATTCTCCTCACAATTTACAAAATGGGTGCATTAAAGAAATAAATAACCAATTCATGAGCATCCAATTTCAAACTTATAAACATTCAACTAAACCATCAATCATTCAAATTAGCAGACAGCCTTATTTACAAATCTGTCCTGTTAAAGAAATGGAGGATTATCTAACAGTAAGGGGTACCAAGCCAGGTCCTCTGTTTATGTATCAAAATAAAGGCATAAAAGCGGGACTGTTTAGAAACATTATTCAGAGAACACTTGAAATTGTAGGGTGCAAAGATATCAAGATAACCTCCCACAGCTTTAGAATAGGTGGTGCAACTTTTTTAGCTAAAAACAATGTATCAGACAACTTGATTCAAAAAACAGGAAGATGGAAATCAAGAGCATTCATAAAATATATAAGATAGTCATATATGTAATGTTATGCATATTAACCCAGCAAATAGCAGGTTAAGATAATATATAGTTAGTATAATCATAAATAAAGTAAACATGTATTAATCAAAAATATGTCTTTCTATTTTTCTTTAGTTGGAAGGGGTCACTTTGAAACAGAATTATATTTAGTTTTACATCTTATAAAACCTTGTAATTCAGTTTACAAAGTAGTGGCGAAAGGGACCCCTTCTGTATAAGAATATAGTATTAATGTGAGATAAATATAACTAATGTTTTATATTGTTTTATATCGTAATCATGTAAACAAATAATTGATATAACCCATTGGGTTAAAGTGGTAATTAAGCGACTCCAAAACGCATACAACTCAAATAAATATAAATAAATTATATGAAATATAAATATTTATGTGTTTTGGAGTTAGCTGGTTACTAGGTTTTGTTACAGGTAATTATATTTCCAAACAGTTGTATAGAGGGCAGTAGTTTAGGTAAGCTATTTATTTATGGTCACATGATAACTGTTTGGCGGTAAAATGATCACGTGACAACTGGCGGGAACTCACTCCCTCAGAAAAAATCAGTGAAGAAAGCCCCCCAACCACCCCATCACCACCAAGATACAGGTTAATATACTGCAACAAGGGTAAGTTGCCACTATTTCTATTAAATGTTGGGTCACAGCGAAAGGGACCCCTTCTGTATAAGAATATAGTATTAATGTGAGATAAATATAACTAATGTTTTATATTGTTTTATATCGTAATCATGTAAACAAATAATTGATATAACCCATTGGGTTAAAGTGGTAATTAAGCGACTCCAAAACGCATACAACTCAAATAAATATAAATAGGTTTATTTCACATAAATAGTTTACAACTCCACGGAGTAGCAATTCCCACTGAACAAACAGTATTTTATCAAATCAATCATCATGTATTTAGAACATTTTTGGTCATTTTGAATCCAGCAAGAATCTTCCTTCTTGAGTAGAGTCCTATATCACTCTGTCATGAGCATATAAAATTTGAACCAAATATGTCAACTGTAAATGTGAGTTATCAAAGATTATAAATTTACCGAAAAAGGCAGCTGTTTTGTATAAAGCGGCCATCTCGAAAATTCCACCACGTGCAAAATCCTATGTCCATGAGGCATAAGCATATTGAATTTAAACCAAATCTGTTCACTGGTATGTAAGTGATCAAAGATTACTTTTTTATGAAAAATGGTAGCCATTTTGAATTTAGCAGCCATCTTGAAAAATACCTTCTGAAAAGAGTCCATTGTCATGAGGGTATCAGCGTATAAAATTTGATCCAAATCCGTTGACTGTTCTTTAAGCTATCAAGATTACTTTCTAACGAAAAATGGGAGCTATTTTAAATATGGTTGCCATCTGGAAAATTCATTCTTGAGCAGATTGTTACGAGGGCATCATCATATGAAATTTGAACCAAATCCGTTGAAGAGACATTTTTTATGAAAAATCTATTGACTTGCATTTGTGTTATCAAAGATTACATTTTTTCTAAATTTTGATTTTAGTGGTTATATTGAAAATTCCTTTTCAAGCAGAGGAACTATATACATGTAAGTCATCAGCCTATAATATTTGAACCCAATCCGTCGACTGGTATCTGAGTTATTGCCTGGACATACAAACAAATGAACGAATGGATGGACAGATGGACGGATGGTGGGGTGGACCGACGTTCGGTGGGATGAATGTTGCAATCCTTGACCTCTAGTCTAGACTATTGTAAACCAAAACATGGTAGGAAACATGAGCTCAATATTGTATCCAAATATTTGCCATAAGCTTATTGCAAGAACTTCCTCTTATTGACCATAGGATACTGTTCCATATTATTAAATCTATTAGTATCTACAATCATTAATCTTGACCATAACAGATCAGTGATCAGTAATCACAACACAAGAATATGCTTGATTTTTTAACAACGTGATAAAAATAATGTATTTCAGAAATGACTAAACAGAATCACAATGACCTTTTCAACCAACACCAACTTTCTATTTTAAAGAGAGGAAAGAAATTTATTTGACATTCAATGAATTGAATGTTTTTGCGCAAAGGTGATCTCAGCCACAGCTTGTGATAATTACAGGACAATTAAAGAACAGAGAAGTAACCATGGCTGATAGTGCTAGCATCTCTTCCAATGTGCAGGTAAGCACTTTTTATTAATATCAAAGCACACTCAGCACTATATTGAGATGTCAGGATGGACAGTTCATTGAAATCAGTAAAGGACCAGACCTAGTATGGCAAGCTTAAGTGTTTTTAGACGGTCATATCTTTGAGCATGAGCACTTTCTTAATTTAAATATGACATTTCCCATAACCACAATATGTTATCTTCCAAGAAAATTCTCAAGGATAATAAAAATATCAATTGAAAAATTAGGAAAAATTAGAAATGTCAACATTTTTTTTAAAATATTGAACCTATTTACTCGAGAGAGGACCTCCTTTTTTCTGATATCTAATTCATGAAAGGATTATTGGACAAGGGGTCTAAAACATCTACAAAAATAGAACGTATTGAAAGTCCAAAATTACGCAGAAAACAATGGATAGCATGAATTATCCCTATTAGAAAAAATAACATGGGATTTGTGGTTTTTTAACTTTATCGCAATAAACTCCCCTTCATCTTTTCATAAGTTGTTAATACAAACGTATAGTGTATAGTGTAGAAGAAGCTTTTGATAAATTTAAATTGAGAAAAACAAGATCCTCCTTTTAGAAAATAAGCCTAACATTTTTTTAAAAGTGACAAGGTGGGGTCCTTAAAAAAATTTCAGAGAGTTAGATTGATATTTATAATTGGGACTTCACTTGTATTGTATTGTTTTAATTATGGCCAGAAAGTACTCATGTGGAAAGATATGATTGTACAAAATCACTTGCCATACTAAATCTGGTCTGGTCTGTGCAGAGTGGTCACCTTGTGGTCTCCATACGGCATGGGGTACAGGCAAAACTGTTGACCGCTAAGTAACCAATCAGTTGTGAGTATCTACACCGAGGTGCTAACAACATAACTTGAATGAAAAATGTTATATTACATTTATGAATAAATTCTGCTACAATTTAAATTTCTTTATTTTCACAAGACATACAATATTAGAAAAAATTAGTACCGTGGGTACTGGGCTCACATGGTGTTGCTCAAAAGTGAAAATAAAAAAAACGGATATAATTTTTTGCAGATTTTTTGTGACAAAATTATTTCATACAACTACTCTTTACTGTGACATGGCTTTTTACAATGCAGGACAGCTGAAATTATTTGTAAAGCTAGGAAACGGGCCAAAAGTGAATTTGGCGAGACAAGAATGGCCACCATTTTTAAAATAGGCGAGCTTTTGAACCAAGAGTCATAGGAGATTTTTTTGTATTGATGTTGAACAAAATTAACTTAAAACAGGAATCCTATCGACAGAGGGTTTAAGGCAAATGGTCCAAAAGTGGATTTTGCGAGACAGATGGACAAATCAATGTTAACTAAAATGGCTGAAAATAAAAAAATGGATATAATTTTTTGCTGATTTTTCCTAACAAAATTATTTCATATATCTACTTTTTACATTGACATGGATTTTTACAATGTAGGACACCTGAAATTATTTGTAAAGCTAGGAAATGGGTCAAAAGTGAATTTCCCGAGACAAAAATGGTGGCCATTTTGAAAATAGGCAAGCTTTTGAACCAGGAGTCATAGGGGAGTTTTCTGTATTGATGTTGAACAGAAATAACTTAAAACAGGAATTCTATCGACAGAGGTTTTAAAACGTGCCACTATTGTTGACGGACAGACAGACGGACAAGTGAGGGATAGCAAAAGCTCACCATGTGAGCTAACAAGGCACAGACGTGAACAATATCGTACCTAAAACACAGCAGTGTGACAGTGAAGAATTTAGGACGGAAAATCCAAAATGGACACCTTAAAATTTACCCAGAATGCCCAAAAACTAATCAGTTCTTAACTTTGATACGTAGAAACATCCCTGAAAATTTCAGATGAATCCATCAAATGGTTTGGCTGGAAACCTGTAGACAAGTCCTGAAAGTGAAGATTTTAGGACGGAAAATCCAAAATGGCCACCTTAAAATTAACCCAGAATGCCCAAAAACTAATCAGTTGTTAACTTTGTTATGTAGAAACATCCCTGAAAATGTCAGATGAATCCGTTAAATGGTTTGGCTGGAAACCTGTAGACAAGTCTTGAAAGTGAAGATTTTAGGACGGAAAATCCAAAATGGCCACCTTAAAATTTACCCAGAATGCCCAAAAACTAATCAGTTGTTAACTTTGATATGTAGAAACATCCCTGTAAATTTCAAATGAATCCGTCAAATGGTTTGGCTGGAAACCTGTAGACAAGTCTTGAAAGTGAAGATTTTAGGACGGAAAATCCAAAATGGCCACCTGAAATTTTACCCAGAATGCCAAAAAACTAATCAGTTCTTAACTTTGATACGTAGAAACATCCCTGAAAATTTCAGATGAATCTGTCAAATGGTTTGGCTGGAAACCTGTAGACAAGTCTTGAAAGTGAAGATTTTAGGACGGAAAATCCAAAATGGCCACCTTAAAATTTACCCAGAATGCCCAAAAACTAATCAGTTCTTAACTTTGATACGTAGAAACATTCCTGAAAATTTCAGATGAATCCGTCAAACGGTTTGGCTGGAAACCTGTAGACAAGTCTTGAAAGTGAAGATTTTAGGACGGAAAATCCAAAATGGCCACCTTAAAATTTACCCAGAATGCCCAAAAACTAATCAGTTCTTAACTTTGATACGTAGAAACATTCCTGAAAATTTCAGATGAATCTGTCAAATGGTTTGGCTGGAAACCTGTAGACAAGCTGAAAAGTGAGACGCCGCCCGTCAAGCTGACGACAATATCGTACCTTTATAAGGTCGTACCTTTATTAGGTACGATAAAAAAGGGAATCGTCCTCCATTTTGAAAAGGTGTTTAATTGGATTGCCTTGTGACTCAAGTTTATCGAGCATTTGCTTTCTATATATACTGTATTTTTTACATGAAAGCATTATATTCTATTAAATTGCAAACCTCGCAAATTCTTTCATCGATCTTTAATTTTGGGCGTTCATAATAAGGTAATATGTCCCAATGACCCAATTTAGGACAAGGCTATTAAAACACCGTTTTGTTTCTTCATGCTCTTTTAAAATACAGTATGGTATGTAATACATATTGTACCTTTGCAAATTAAAAAAATTTAGAGCTAGAAAACAGCAACTCCACGGAGTAGCAAATCCCACCAAACAAAACATGTTTTGATAAATAGCGGCCATCTTGAAAATCTCTTCTTGAACAGAGCTGCCTTGTTCCTAGGTATAATCATATGAAATTTGAACCAAATCTGTTCACCGGTATTTGAGTTATAGAAGATTGTGTTTTCTTACAAAAAATGGTGGCCATTTCAGCTGCTATCTTGAGGAGTTCTTTTATCTCTAGGCATCATAGTGTATAAAATTTGAACCAAAGCTGGTATTTGATCATCAAAGATTATGGTTTTCTACAAAAAATAGCAGCCATTTTGAAATTAAGAGGCTTTCTTGAAAATTTCTCCTTGAGCAGAGCTCCTTTCTCTCTAAGCATCAGCATTACATATAATATTTCAACCAAATCTGTCAACCGGTATTTGAGTTATCAAAAATTACATTCTTTGAGTTCTTTGAGTATTTGAGTTATCAAAGATTACATTTTTTACGAGAAATGGCAGCCATTTTGAATAAAGTGTCCATATTGAAAATTCTCGTGCAGAGGTCCCCATAAGGCATAAGCCTATAAAATTTGAATCAAATCCGTCAACCAGTATTTGAGTTATGGCCTGGACAAATGGACGGACGGATGAATGGATGGCTTTCCTATATCTAACAAAAGTAAAAATATTTTCCACATTAGATCAGGCAGCTGCCCCTGACTTGGATAAGAAAGATGCTTACTACAAATGTATGCTTTGATCATGATAAAGATGGCGTTGTTGGACGTGAAGATCATATGCACAATGCAGATGAATTTGTGAGAGCAGGTAAACCTACTACTCAATGGTTGTCTTGATTTATTAGTATTTTATGTATTGTCCTTCAATTTAAAAATAATAAAAAGCATAAAACTGTCACAATACCGAAAGCAAAACATAAAATCTGTAATCATGTCCTGTGATTGGAAAAAATGAGCGGGGGGAAGTAGCTGATTTCAGCTAGAAAATTTCAAAAAACCTGAAAGATAAATTTTTTCAAGAGAATGTGCACCACTGAATTGCTAAATGAATACAGTGCTCAGTATGGTAAAATATGTTAGGTCTAGTAAAATATGTTAGGTCTTGTAAAATATGTTTGGTCTTCAAGGAATCCTTTTTGAACCGATATGCTTCAAAGAAATGAGATTTATTAATAAAGGAGCGTCACCAACATGCAAAATTTAATGTTTTTGCAACAAATCATGCAACAATGGTCTATATATTTCCCAGAGTGAAGTTTCGTTTTTTTATGTTCATAAAGAAAGGATGGGTAAGGATGTATGCCCTTTTGGCCGTCATTTAAATGTATTATTATACGTGAAATATGATTTTTATAACTGTCCTAGTTATATTTGATTTGATAAATATACAGTGTATGCATTTTTTCATGAGTTTTGATGCATTATGAACCCCCTGCTAAGAGTTAAACTAAGTATCATAACAAAAAATAAAAAATACGGTAGTCATTTTCATAGAAAAACACCATTTAATTACTCAGATGCGAGTGGGTAGTTACCACTTTAGCCACCAGGTGGCTGATTCGGGGGAAATAACATGGCAGGGTATTACAAAATTCCATTAAACTTGAATAATCATTAGTTTAGTGGTTCACTTTTCATATTACCCATATGTATCTGATAGTTAAACAAAAAATTAAAATATGTCCATTAAAAGAAAATACTACCTGCCCAACACAAGGAAAGGTATTTCCCTTTTAGTGATTTTACAACATGGGGTCTATGGGGAATCTCCCCGACCTAGAAGTCACATTTTCAAAGAAAATTAAATTTTCAAAGTTGATAAACTCTTTTCAAAACCACATTTCTAGATGTTATTTTATATGTAGATTCCAAATATGACACCATTTTGACAGAATTTTTAATTTTTAATGAGGACAATCAAAATTAGTTCTACTAGCATCTGGTGTATTGGAAACATGTATGACATACAAAGAAGAAATAACTTAAAAGACCCATGAAGAATAGCAAATCATATTTTTGAAACATATTTTAGGTTTTTAAAGTTGAATTTCCCGCCAGTTTGATGGGGGAAAAACAAGATGTCTGCCATTTGTTATAAGAAATATCAGAAAAAGTTGCTTCACTTTTAATTTTCACATAGAGCATTCTGGCATATTGATATGCATTGTCTTAGATGTCAGTATTCTTCATTAATTGTGATGCAATTTGATATTTTAGTACTCATAAGAAGGATAAGATATTAATACTATTAATACTATGTGTGATTGAGTTGGTTTTTCAGACATTACGATTTCAATATTTTCTAAGTCGATATCCGGATTCATTCCCTGACTCATCCTTTAGTAATTAGGGCCGTGCCATTCGACCGGAATCGGTCCGAACCGCGGACTTTTGTTAAAATACCGGAATTCGGAATTTTAATATCATGTTCCGAAGGGTTTCGGAACAATATCGGACCCTTACCTTAGTACTTGCTTTGAATCGTTAATATCCGTGACCATTGTTCCTCCAGTGATGTTTTCCTTCAAACTACATCCAATTTGCATGTGTATTACTCGCATAAACAAAATAAATAGCGGAGAAATCAACAGAAATCAAGTTTTGTTTTACGAACTTTTTCAATTACGCATGCGCATTATGGTCAGAGCAGCCGGAAGTGAAAACAAGTAGAAAAAAGATCGAATTTTCTCTCTTTTTACAGATTTTAGAGTCTATTTCTTTCGTAAAAACATTCAAACTTGCTTGACAGGAAAGGTAAGTGTTAACCTGACAAACTTGGACGACGATATCGTCATGATCGCCGTCGAACTCACTCATACATAATTATTTTCATTTGTGAACCAAAAGGGGTTCCGAAAGTTCCGATTCCGTGAGACCAAGTTCCGGTTCCGATTCCGAACCGTCCGAACCGGTTCCGGCACAGCCCTACTTTAGTTCCTATATCTTTTCAAGTGAAAACCATGCAAGTCATCCCATTACTAACTTTGATTATCAGGTAACTTGACGGGGGAGGCAAGAGATGGCATATACAAGCTCTATCAAGATTACTGTGATTTAGGGGCTTCACAAGATCTTCCCAATTCATCTTCAATGTCACTACAACTGATGACAACTTGGAAGTACAAAGATAACCCAGAAATAATTGAAAAGTGGAAGAATTCTTCCAAAACATTTTTCCAGGTAAAATTCTAATTAATTACTCATATTGTCCACTTTCTGCCACATTTTGTTCCTTTGCAATGTGATGGAGAATAAATTCAGAATACCAGAAGTAAGGATTTATCTTAACATTAATTTATTGTAGGTACTATGCAAGGACGTCCCTGGTTTCATGACGTTTGATAACTACATGATATTTTGGAATGTGTGGGGCCTTGATAAAAGATTTGCAAGAATGCAGTTTGACTACATGGATACAAATAATGATGGACTGATAAGTCGGGAAGAATTTGTAAATGCATATTTGGACTATGTTTCCAATCCAGATGAAAATACTCCCAACCGCTTTTTTGGACCTCTCATAAACTACTAACATGTCTTGTTCTCTCTCACGTCCTGAATTTGATATTGAAAAACAAAAAATACAGTAACACATGTAAGACTGAGGCCATAATTATCAGCATGCCCATCTAGCAACAACATTATAACCTATCATATAACATAATGTTAAAGGGTCATGTATAACATGTAGCAAGATAAGAGTTTACAACTATGTCTGTTCATGGACTTTCAATTGTCATGTATGTATAGTACTATGAATCCTTTAAATGCCAACAGTAAAGTAGTGACTAGTAACCACATCAATATACATGTTCCCCCAACAATCATTAATAGCATCTATGTGCTTAAAGCTTTAAATATTCATTTCTGTAGACATCTTGCTATTTAAAGGTTTTAATTGAGCCATTGTAGACAAGCAACTGAATTTTGTTGAGGATTAATCAAAATCTTTCCTAAAATAGATATGTTGTTAATAATTTAAATTTGAGTTAATACTGTTCTCAGTATTTAGAATACAGTACAATAAAAATCAGACTAGACCAAATTATGACTAGCAACATGAACAGCAACATTAAAGCGTAGCAAATCCCACGTGACCACGGCATAAATGTAAAGCCAAATTAAATATTGCTAAGCTGACACCCCTAATATAATTTTGATGTACAACTGAATTTTAATCACCTTCATTTGACTGACTCAGAAAACCTGACATTATGAGTGACAATTTGAGTGATTACCCGCATTCGATAGACTCAGGACAATTAATAACAGGATTAAAAACTTTTAATTTGGGAATAAAAACTTTTAATACTGGGATTTCCAAAGCTCTTGGATACAATTAGATCTTTTGACATTTTAACTTTTTAACATGACAATCCATTTAATATTGTATAGAATTTACTGCATGCATTTTAACTGCAACATTTTCATTATTAACTTTTTATTGTAATTTTATGCTGGGGAATAAAGCTTCGGTTTTATCGTATTTTATTTATGATTTTTGTTAAAGTATAGTAAGTTGATACTCGTTAGAAAATTACCCTATTACAGTAAGTTGACACACATTAGACAACTACCATATTATCGCCCACTAAGATCGATCTTCAATTACTTCATTATATTTCCGAATTTTATGTTGCCTTTTCTGTTTTACATTCGGCAATCGGCAACTTTATATCCACGGCAATATTTCATGTTATACAGTATGCTTCAAAGTATTCACAAATAAAATTTCAACAAAATCGCTCCACTCCACATTTAAAAATGATATTTTTCAAAATGGCCATTCACTAGCCAATTTTCAAAAGAAAATGTAAAATGCCTCTCATTATTCACAAAAAAATATGAACAACAAAAAGCTCTATTGCTTTTTCGGTTATAGCAAAAAATGTAAAATAACACAAACAAGAACACAAATGTGTACAAAATGTCCCCACCAAGTGGTGATCCCGTGAAATGGTTATCCTGAAAATGAGTAGACAAGACTTTACCAACACAATTTGAGGACAGAAAATCCAAAGTGGCCACCTTAAAATTTACCCAGAATGCCAAAAATTTAGTCAGTTCTAGATTTTCATACTAAGAACCACCCCTGAAAATTTGAAATTGATCCGTCACACATTTAACCAGAAAACATGTAAACAAGACTTTACAGACAAGATTTCAGGATGGAAAATCCAAAATGGCTGCCTTGACATTTACCCAGAATGTCAAAAAACTAATCTGTTTGTAGATTTTCATACTAAGAATCATCCCTGAAAATATGAAATTGATCTACCAAACGGTTCACCTGAAAACGGGTAGACAAGACTTTACAGACAAGATTTTAGGACAGAAAATCCAAAATGGCTGCCTTAACATTTACGCAGAATGCAAAAAAAGTAATCAGATGTAGATTTTCATACAAAGAATCATCCCTGAAAATTTGAAATTGATCTATCAAACCGTTCTCCTAAAAACGCGTAGACAAGACTTTACAGGCAAGATTTTAAGACGGAAAATCCAAAATGGCTGCCTTGACATTTACCCAGAATGCAAAAAAACTAATCAGTTCTAGATTTTCATACTAAGAATCATTCCTGAAAATTTGAAATTGATCTACGAAACGGTTCACCTGAAAACGAGTAGACAAGACTTTACAGACAAGATTTTAGGACGGAAAATCCAAAATGGCTGCCTTGACATTTACCCAGAATGCCAAAAAACTAATGAGATCTAGATTTTTATACTAAGAATCATCCCTGAAAATTTGAAATTGATCCACCAAACGGTTCACCTGAAAACGCTCAGACAAGACTTCACAGACAAGATTTTAGGACCGAAAAATCCAAAATGGCCGACAATAAAAAAGTCCTTATGAGTTTTTGCTGATTTCTTTTTACAAAATTATCACATATAACTACTGTTAACAATAAAGTAGGCTTTTACAGCAAAGTACATCTGAAATTATTTATAAAGCTACTAAATAGTTAAAGTATGAAAACTCAAAAACACCATTCAATATGATACAAAGTATTATCGCGCGCTAACTTTTCTTAAGACATTCAAAATGGCTGACATGACTGAGCTAGCGGGTCCAAAACCTAATCAGATCTAGAATGAAGTGAGTTGAACAAGATGTTAAAGTTTTAAAAGCAACTGTGAAGCAGTTTTTCTTAAAGTTTGCAGACAAGGATTTTAGCATTTGACTTCAAAATGGCCGACAGGAAGTAGGTATCGAGTTAATTTTTTTTCATCCACATCTGTATGCACTCATAAGTTATCCCTGAAAATTTGAAGGTGATATCTGTAGCGGTTTTGGAGAAAACTGCCGGACGTACGGACAGACGGACAGACAGACGGACAGACGGACAGACAGATGGACGGACGCGCCTAGGCTGACAATATGGCCCCACACTATGTGGTGGGGACATAATAAAATGGTAGCCATTTTTCAAAATATACAATATACGCTTTGCATCACATTGTAATAGTTGAATGTAACATGTAATGATTGGAAATATACTTGACTTAACATTGTTAAATTGGCTAATCACTGCCCAAATTGTCATTAAAAAGTGTACTATGCAACTAAGTAGTCACAAATAGATTTTAACTCAACTATGAAATTGATCAGCTTATCGGTTTCATTAGTTTCATTAGAATCTAAACAAAATGACCTTGGTTGGGTTGTTGGTTATATAATGCAATGCAGTTATATGAAATAGGGTGGTGTGATTGGCTAGAATTAGCTATGACAGATGGAGGGTGTTTGTTTTGATATTGCTATTACCTCTTGCTATTATATTACATAAGTGTTTTTTGAGTTGTATATATCCTGTAATACATTGGCAATTAGTCAACTTGTTGTTCCTTACCTTGACAAAGATGGCGAAGAACATATCACTGCTCAACTCTTGTACTCTTTTGCTAGCTGTTTTCCTGTCATTGCATCGATCCGCTTGCTTGTGGATCTCTTCCTTAGTTTTGTTAGGCTCTGCCTGGTAGTCTATAATCATGAAATCCAAAGATAACAAAATGGAAAGGCAGAGAACATTACTTGAACAATAAATTCCCCTTTGCTTATGGATCCTTGATATTATATTCACAGAGTTTGTCACCAAATTAATATAAAATATATAATATAATAATATATATAATTTGTCACCAAATTAGTTTCTCACAAATAATAAGTTAACAAGAAACAACCAGGCATTAACATGACAAGATGTCACTACCTTGTTGCAAATGCTTAAGTGTGACAATCTGTTACAGACACTTGACACTAACTTCAACATTGAGGATGCCAAACACCAGTCAAAATGTTGGTTATAACAATATGCCGCCATACATGAGATAACATGAAAATATGCTCAGATTAATCCTAAGATGGTGCCAATACAGCCCATTGGTGCCATAAAATGATCTTTGACTCACCTAAGGATGCAGCTAACAATCTATGCACAATTATATCAGCGTAAACACAAAAATGGTGTCTCTAACAATATGCCGCCATACATGAGGTAACATGAAAATATGCTCAGATTAATCCTAAGATGGTGCCAATACAGCCCATTGGTGCCATAAAATGATCTTTGACTCACCTAAGGATGCAGCTAACAATCTATGCACAATTACATCAGCGTAAACACAAAAATGGTGTCTCTAACAATATGCTGCCATACATGAGGTAACATGAAAATATGCTCAGATTAATCCTAAGATGGTGCCAATACAGCCCATTGGTGCCATAAAATGACCTTTGACTCACCTAAGGATGCAGCTAACAATCTATGCACAATTACATCAGCGTAAACACAAAAATGGTGTCTCTAACAATATGCCGCCATACATGAGGTAACATGAAAATATGCTCAGATTAATCCTAAGATGGTGCCAATACAGCCCATTGGTGCCATAAAATGATCTTTGACTCACCTAAGGATGCAGCTAACAATCTATGTACAATTACATCAGCGTAACGTCGTATGGGTGATGTAAAGTGAGTATAACGAGGGACACTAAGGGCGTAATGTCTCCATAAGGCCTCTTCCTCAAGACAACCGGTACAGAAGTATTTAGCCATCTAAAGTATGAACAAGAAAAATTATGAACATCTGAATACAGCATGTGTTGTTCACTTCCCTATGAAAGTTCCCACTGAATAGTATGTTAAAGACCATTAATGTTTTAATCTTTTTTTCTCAATTACAAAGGGTCGGAAAATGACTTTGTTAAAATTGTTATTTAATCAAAAAGTGGATTTGTTGAACTTTATTCGAAATAAGTATGAAATATTTCATAAAATATAAACAGGCGTGAACAATTAGTCCACAGGGTACTTCCCGTTGCCAAATTTTGGAGGAGGTGTATTAAGATTATCACACAAAATCGGTTTTCAGTCAGATCAGAGACATAAAACACTATATATCTCTGGTTAGAACTTTCAACACATGTCTTTACTGGACTTTAATTTCTGAGTAATTATGCCTGATGCTTTAACAATATCAAATATAACACATTTAAAAAAAATACATTTCAGTTTTTGTTCACCCCTAAATTTAGCCCTCTGATAATTCTTTGCAAAAATATTATTCCTGATACAATTTCATTCCGTGTATGTGATAATTCTACTTTCTGGTTAAAAATTCGCAAAATTAAATATTGCCAAATAAACAGAATCTATGTGAATCAGACAAATGCCATTCCTGGGTTCTATCAGTCCTACTGTATATACCTGCATGGGTTTGGAGCATAATACTGTGAGGATCTGACTCCTGGCCTGCGAGTACACATCTGGTCCAACATACTTCAGTAGAGAAGTATGTAGTGTTGCAGAACTAGAGGCATCTATAGGTACACCCATATTACTACACACATCAGCCTGTAATAAACACTTTTATTTTATTACAGTTTTATAAAAGGCAGCATGTACCAGTCATGTTACTCTAGGGACAATGGGTCCTGTGTAATATCAACACAACATTAACTATAGCCTGGACCTATGGATGGCAGTTATGATCTTACCAATTCCTCCATCATCTTGCCTTGGGGTGCTGCATGTCTCCTTAAGAGGGCCTTCTCAGGGAACATCTTAGAGATTCTATGTGCAACTGCCATGTTAGCCAGTAACATGAACTCCTCTATCAATCTGAAGCAGACAAATATTGTAAGTACAATACTAAGTAATAATAAAAATACAAATCGAAAGTACACCATGCTTAAATGGACAGTCTCTGTAATTCTGATCCTAAAGAACCCCAAATAAATATATTTATTCATCTAATGATTTACATTAAAGCTACAGAAATAAAACTGATATGTGAATGTGACTAATCCTTTCAAGTTAAGTTACTGTAATTTTGTTTACTTGTTGCTGTCTTTCTGTTGGTATACAGAGTAGCCACAGGGCATCCCTGTCTCTTTGTCTAGAGCATAACTCAGCTTCACTTGGTCCAGCCTCAGGGCACCTTGGTCAAATCTCTGTTTACGTAACTGTTTAGCTATCTGGAAAACAACAACGTTGAGATTTCGTTTTTACTTTATAAGTTCAAATGCAACGGCTGTGGAATAATGAGGTTAATTTTGTTGAGAGGTAACCATAATGAAATCAGCTTCTTTTGGAATGCTGGAGATTATGCATTGTTTTTCATGCCTAAGTACATAGATACAGTGTAGATTTGTAATATTGAATATATTTATTACATAATTATATATTAAATAGGTTACATACAATTTCACATACCAATAATATGGAAAATGAAAAACCCGACCATTTCTACAAGTTGAGATACTTAAGAGGATATTTTAGTATTCAATACATTATTCTGAATATGCATTGATTAGAATTGAATACGCATTGTATACGCATGATTAGAATCAGCATTTATTTCTTTATAAATAACAACTATCAGAAATATTAATACCTTATCCAGATTGAGAACCTTTTCTTTGATTTCTTTTACTTTGAATTTCTCTAGAATTGGAGGCAGTTCTTCCCTTGTCCAATCTCTATCAGGATTCTCTATGAAACCCTGAATAAAATAAATGAAAGCATGAATTATTTCAAACACAGAAATACCAATCAAGCGAGCCAAAAAAGATTTGATTTGATGCAACTTCCTTCACAATTGAGCTTGAAGCTTCAAAGAAAAAGTACCCTTTGCATTCGTTTGACTTCACTTCTTAAAAGAGAGCTTCGTCTTCACTCTTTCAAACTAAAATAAACCTGTGAACTCACCGCGCCAATCAGTGTTCGTCGGCCAAATTTGACCGACGTTCTATATATGGTCATTCCTTCTGATGTCATCGTTGAGCCCGGAATTGACCAATGACATGAGCATATTTAATTAGAACGCATTTGGCGTGTGTTTCTTCAAGCTCGCTGAATGGTGGAAGAAAGGTCAGCGCGTGGGTCAGAAGTGATTTATTACTCAAACTGTCACCGGTACCCGTCGTGGGGGCGGGGCTACTAAACAGTAATATGGTCTCTACTAGGCAGAGTGTAGTTTAACTAGACTCTGCACGCAGGGTAAATAAAAAGCATTTAAAAGCTATTTTCATCTTCTATCTAATGGATGTATTTTTATAAGTTATTGGGGGGATGCGTTCACACCTCTCATATTCCCTGGCTACGCCTATGACATATAATATTTTTGAACATCATCTTCAATTTACAGATATAAAATGATAAAACAAGTACATGAAACATGACTACAAATGAAACTGCCTAAAAGTGAATAGTGTAACTTAATTACCTGGGCATGATCATATGCCATCTTTACACAAGAGCAGATTACTGAGCGTCCAAACCATTCATCCAGAATCTACAATATACAGAATACAACTTAGGTAGAGTCCGAGTCTTTATAATATTATAATTAGACTCCAGATGAAAATCTGGAGTCTATTGCTTTCGTCAGTTTTCTTTATTATTATTATTATTATTATTATTATTCTTTCAGAATCTTCCTCCTTCCCAGATTTCTCACCAACTAAAAGAATTTACTTTAAGCTGCTTACATGATCAACTAGGGGCAGTTCCTGGGATGATGGGAAATTAGGTCAAATTTTTATCTAGGTCAAGGGTCAAGAACTAGGTCAAATCAAGGTCAAATCAACATTCTGTCAATTATCTTCGTTGTTGTTTGTCGTAACTACTTCATCTTAGTTTCTACATGTAGCTTAGAAAAAAACAAATCGAGAGTGTGCCATCCGTTTTTTGATTACTCTTAGCGATTTTGAGATATGGCGTCTTGAAAGTAGGTCATAACCAAAAAATTCTCCAAATTTAACATATGAGCTATGAAATAAGGGTAAAATTTTCTCAGGAATCTGAATCTGCAAACCAAATTTTAATCCGACTTCCCGTTCGGAAGTTATGGCGTTTTGAAAGCTCAAAAATCGCTAAATTTGGTGCCCATGTTAAGTCAATGGGAAAAAAGATTTTTTGAAGTGAAAAATACGAAATATAGACTGAGTTCAGCTAAATATAATGAAAGCTTTTAAAAGAAGGGGACCTCATAAGCCATCTAGCTTCAAAATTTGGACATCAAAATGCCTAGGTCAAAATCTAGGTCAAATTCAAAGTTTTTCCTTATTTTTGCGATTCTGACACAACAGATTAATTATATTCTTCGAAATTTTGTATACATGTAGCTAAGAGTCTGCTAATAGTGTTAGCCTTTTGCCGTCAGAAAGTATTTTGCCCCATTTTTGAGATATGGTGTCCGAAAAGTAGGTCAAAATAAAAAATTCTCAAAATTTGACGTTTGAGTTATGAATTAAGTATAGAATTTTCTCAGGTATCCGAATCTGCAAACCAAATTTCGATCCGACTTCCGGTTTGGAAGTTATGGCGTGTCCGAAAAGTAGGTCAAAATAAAAAGTTTCCAAATTTAACGTATGAGCTATGAATTAAGGATAGAATTTTCTCTGGAATCCAAATCTGCAAACCAAATTTCGATCCGACTTCCGGTTCGAAAGTTATGGCGTTTTGAAAGCTCAAAAATCGCTAAATTTGGTGCCCCATGTTATGTCAATGGGAAAAAATGTTTTTTTGAAGTGTAAAATACGAGATATAGACTAAGTACAGCTAAACATAATGGAAGCCCATAAAAAAAGGGGACCTCAAAACCTTCTAATTTTGAAAATTTGGACAACAAAATGCCTAGGTCAAAATCTAGGTCAAATTCAAAGCTTTTCCTTATTTTTGCGATTCTGACACTACACTTTAATTATATTCTTCGAAATTGTGTATACATTTAGCCAAGAGTGTGCTAATAGTGTTAGCCTTTTGCCGTCAAAAAGTATTTTGACCCACTTTTGAGATATGGTGTCCCAAAAGTAGGTCAAAATAAAAAAATCTTCAAATGTAACGTATGAGTTATGAATAAGGGGTAGAATTTTATCAGGAATCCGAATCTGCAAATCAAATTTTGATTCGACCTCCTGTTCGGAAGTTATGGTGTTTTGAAAGCTCAAAAATCGCTAAATTTGCTGCCCCATGTTATGTCAATGGGAAAAAAAGATTTTTTTGAAGTGTAAAATACGAGATATAGACTGAGTACAGCTTAATATAATGAAAGCCTATTAAAGAAGGGGACCTCGAAGGCTACTTAGCTCCAAAATTTGGACACCAAAATGCCTAGGTCAAATTTATATAAATTTATAAATTTGGTGCCCCATGTTAAATCAATGGGACCGAATAATTTTTTGAAGTATAAAAATACGAGATATAGAATGAGTACAGCTAAACATAATGAAAGCCCATAGAAGAAGGGGACCTCAAAAGCTACTGTCCTTCAAAGTTTGGACACCAAAATACCTAGTTCAAAATCTAGGTCAAATTCATATTTTTTTTATTTTGCGATTCTGACACTACACTTCAATGATATTCTCCGAAATTTTGTAAACTTGTAGCAAAGAGTGTGCTAATAATGTTAACATTTTGCCGTCAAAAAGTTTTTTGACCCACTTTTGAGATATGGTGTCCGAAATGTAGGTCAAAATAAAAAGTTCTCCAATTTTAAAGTATGAGTTATGAATTAGGGGTAGAATTTCCTCAGGAATCCGGATCTGAAATTAAAATTGCAATCCGACCCCCGGTTTAGATTCTACGCCATTTTGAACTTTGAAATTCCACTTGCCAGTATTCACGATGCAGATTGATCAAATATACTTTCAAAAATTCCTGCATACCCTACTTTACCTCTCTACCTACTCAGCTACTTATTTGACTACTTACTCAATTACTTAATTAGTTATTACTTCCTTAGCAACTTACTCAGCTACTAACTCAGGTACTTACTCAGCTACTTACTCAGCTACCTACTCAGCTTTTTACTCAGTTACTTACTCAGCTACTTACTCAACTACTACTAAGGTACTTACTCAGCTAATTACTCAGTTACTTACTCAGCTCTTTACTGATCTATCTAGGTCAAATAAATCTGGAGTCTTAAATTGAACTTGTTCAATTTCACAAATCTAGTTATTATTATGAATTAACACAGCCCTCTCTTAAATTAAATTAAAATGTTAATTAAATGGCAACTGTTTTGAAGAATTACCTCGCCTTCTTCTGTCATTTTCCAAACCACAGAGAATGTCAGTCTATCCTCAGCTGGGTTTAAACTACACAATTCCTCACAGAGTATCCTTGGCAACATCGGGATAACCTACAACAGAGAATGTGATAATCAAGGTCTCCATTACACTAGGTTAAATATCATTTTACAAAAAATATCTAAATTTAAATAAACTGAGTTTCAATAATATAGTAAAAAAGCAAATATGAACAGGTACTGAATCATGCTGGTGGAAAATGCTGCAGATTTTATGAATTTCTTCAGGTGCCCACCTTTTGTACGAGATACACACTGGTGGCTCTCCTACCAGCCACATTGTCTAACTCAGTCCCCTCTTCTAGAAAGTAACTGACATCAGCAATGTGCACTCCAATCTCATACAGACCTGCGACAAATACATAAAATATATGTACAAGTATTTTATTTCATCAAACTGTTTGATTACAGGTTGGCTATGCATAACATGTACAAGCAATAAATGTAATGATGATGGTGATGAAATAAAATATATACTATTCCTCTCATAATATTTTTTTTATCATGTTTGAATGAAAAACATTTATTCATACATTAAATGATGAAGCTATATTCCAAGACAACTTCAATTAAAACAGTTTTTAAGCCCCTGCCGTGTCAATTTCCAGATCCCCTGTAGAGTTATTATTATTCTCACCATCTCCCAAGTGTTTACAATGCATAGCATCGTCAAGATCTCTAGCTGTGGCTGGGTCTATAGTGAAGACACATTCATCTCTAAAGTCTCGTCTTTCCTTCAGTTCAGATTCAGGTATCTTCCAGGGAAGTGTCTTGATTGGCAAGCAATCTATTGCCTAGAATATAACGACAATGTAGTCACATCCATTCTCCAAGCAGTTTCATATAGTGCATACTGCATTCCTAAGTTCTCTCTGTGGACACTTAATTCATTTAAATCCTAGTCTCATTGGAAAATGATATCATTCACTTGAAATTTAAGTCGCTTTCTTTATAATTTATGCAGTTATTGACTCTTTTGATGATGGAAAAAAATGGCAAAAATTTTTACAACTACTGTATATTTGGAAGTCAATAATAAGATAAGGATACCTTTTGTGAAAATTCACTATAATCTATGTCATTCTCTATTAGCATGCCTTCAGTTTCTGGTTCTATCTGACCTGCCTCTCCTAGACTCCTGGCCAGGTTCCTGAGAATAAACAGCCAATTTATTCATTTAATTTATAACATCATGCATACATAAATTGTACAACATAAAACAATTATCAGCTCAATGTTATCAATTTCAAAAATCTTGAATTATAGTACTTCACAAGTTTTTGAGATCTGAATGATTGTCAATAGTATGCTCTAAAGATGATTCTAATTATTGGAATTTTTATTCACATTTTACCTCAATACCAATATTAATAAAGGTTTAAACAAAGGATTATAAATGTATTTTAACCAAGTTTAGTCATTACTCTGGATAAATCTCACTCAACTCATATACATTTTCCAGCATTGCTTATATAAAATAAACAGGGTGGCTGGATTTTTCATATTATTTCAGATTAAAACAGTCCATTTTCAAACTTCTGATGCTTTACTATTTCTACTCTCAGACTCTTTAACCAAAAAAGTCATAACAATAAAAAGGGAAGCAATGTAAATAGTACTAAGTTACCACTCTCTTGTTTTTTTAATTCTTTTCTGTTTTTGTAATTTTGATTAATTTGCTGTATAATATGAGAGTATTATATATATTGTCTTACCCTCTAGGGTAGTTTGACGTCTCATCCCAGTCAGTGATCCTTGCTATGAACAGTGTGTTACAATGATCCTCTGGTCTCTCTAGGAACTCTGGAGCAAAGAAAGAGACATACTCATACTAAATTAATTGTATGTGAAAATCTAGTCTTGGTTCAAGACTGTGGATCCCCCTTATCTACTTCTCCAACACAAAGTAGATAGGGAGGGGGGGGGGGTTCCAGGGTCTTGAAGCAAGACTAGTGAAAATCCTGAGAACACAGTCTGAAGAAGTGCAATATTTTCGTATCATTAGTTGGTTTATTGTAAGGAACTTTACTCACTATCAATCCTCAGTAAAGCCCATAAAGAAGTCTGAATCCAAATTGGAACCAGTGCTTATATGTAAGATAATGGACAAACAAGAGCAATTATGGGTCACAACCAGTCAAGGAAATGCTTCCATATTTTCCTCAAATTGTAACTTAATTAATCAATTTCGCATTCGTACATGTAAGATACAAGGGAGATGGTGAAACAACTTACTGTGGGGACAGTCAGCCATTGGGATCATTATTCTTGGAACTCTATGATCTATAGGGACAAATAGGGCAAAGTTAGGATTCTTGTCTTGCATGGGTTTAATGTTGCCTGTACTGGCTCTACTGTGCCATCTCTCAAGTATGAACACCACCTGTAAAAGAATAACATATAATACACAGTATACCAGTAAACTACATTTAATTTAATCCTTTCAAATGTTTAACTTCTTATATCCAATATGAAACAGTCCTGCACTGGCGAATCCAGAAGTCAACAAAGGGGGGGCCCAAGTTTAGAATTTACATGCCCGGGCCCCATGCCCCCCTCTGGATTCACCAGTGAACTGAATCTCCATTTTCATGATCACCAACCCATAGAATTGTAGAGAGAAGGGAATGCCTTTAATAAAGTACAAACCTAAAATAGTTGTTACCCATCTTGAGCAGAATTAACTTATCTATATACATGTACATGGATATGTGAGATTTAAATAAACCATTTTTATAGTCTTTTAATTTGAACATGACTTTCAAGCTGGATAGTCTTGCTTTAAGTCTCTGGGCAGCCCCCCCCCCCTCCACGTTGTCTACTTCAATATCAGGGGGTTGCATGTGTATTTAGAGGGGTCACAAGGGCTTTTAATACATTTTTATTTAAGGTTTACCAGATACATCTTGACCAAGACAATTTAACAAAGTTGTTACAATATTTTACAGATTAATGAGTCAAGAGCACCATGTAAAACAAAAATATAATATTTCACAAATTGACAAGTTATTTCAATCCACCACCAATTTGAGGGCCATATAATAGTCATAACTCTTAAAGTGCTTTTAATTCAATTATTTTGTCAGAAACATGAAATCATGAAAGAAAAATAGAATTCATAAATTGAATAAATTGAAAAACACATTATCTGAGATGCCCCTCCCAATCCCTTACATACCCTGGCGGTTGGTTGGAGACATGAATCTGGCACATCCATCAGTACTGGCCCTGGAGTAGCCCCCTCTTGGAAGAGTCTCTTTGCAACTGGATTATCACCTCTACTGTAGTCACCAAGGGTTATATACCTGGACTTCTTCTGGCTAGACTGTGGCCTTTCTTGAGATTTAACATGTGAATTTGGGGTCTTATTTGGTGTAAAATCTCCAGTATTTCTAGGTTTTGGTTCCTCATTTGGTTTAAGAGAATTTTCAGTTTCAACAAGTTCGTTTTCTTTACTTTTTGTATGTGATGGGGCTGAGGCTGTGTCAGGTTTAATAGAAAGTTTATTGAGGGATGCTGTGATATCTTCTTTGGCTTTTAGATTCTCAGTTAGAACCTGTAGGTAAAAACAACAAGATTTTTACAAAAACTCAAATATTATTCTAGCTAGAAAAATATGCAGAGCAAAACATGTGGCTGAATTTAGGAGAGCCTCCCAATGTCACTCTGCAGGGATAAAAGAATTTCGACTTTACATGTGAATTCAATTTCAATGAAAACTAACACAACAGCAACGCCAAAGAGTAGCAAATCCCATCGAACAGCCATGGCTGGCATTATTACAAACAAAGTATATAGCAAAAATAGCAGCCAATTTTCAAAATGACCACCTTCTACCACAAGTGTCATTAGACAGTGTGCCATGCTTATTGTATTCACATACCAAATATGAACAAAATCGCTCCGCTACTTTTCGAGTTATAGTAAAACACGTTAAAATGGCGGCCATTTTTTATAATGGCCGCCTTCTACCAAAAGTGTCATTAGACAGTGTGCCATGCTTATGGTATTCACATACAAAATATGAACAAAATCGCTCCACTACTTTTCGAGTTACAGCAAAAATCGTAAAATAGCGAGTAAAGGCCACCATTTTTCAAGATGGCTGCCATGTGCTTCTTTAAGATCTACATTACTAGCTTTATTAATGTCCTATATAATTTTGTTACATTTAATACATATCGCTCTTACAGTTTTACATATTGTACCTAAATTACTGTAAAATCTGCACTAAAATGGCCAAGATGGCCGGACGGAGGCGTTCCCTATATCCCTCCAAACTTCAGAGAAATTCTGAAGTATACATCACTAGGGCAGAGCATTTGTACTGAAAGGAGCGTTTTCAGTACAAATATGTACTGAAAAATGTACTAGTTTTGTTTCAGTACAAATTTAAGTATATTTTTGTACTGAAAAATGCACTGAATTTTTTTCAGTATATTTTTCATTACAAATTCATGTACTGAAAAATATACTGAATTTTAAGTGCAAATTTAAGTATAAATATGTACTGAAAAATGTACTGAATTTTAAGGACAAATTTAAGTGCAAAAATATACTGAAAAATGCACTGAAAATTTAAGGATAAATTTAAGTACAAATATATACTGAAAAATGTACTGAAATTTAAGTGCAAAAGTCAGTATAAAAATGTACTGAAAAATATACTGAAATTTAAGGATAATTTTAAGTATAAATATATGCAATGAGAAATATTTGTGCCCAATAATGGAAATAAGAGAAAACGTAAATGTAAGGCATACTTCATAAACTCTAAATCACTCAAAAAGTTCTTAGAATGGTGAAAAATTGCATGATTTTAAAAGAATTTTTGGACGGGGGGGGGGGGGGGGGTTCGCTTGGACCCCTGAACCCCCCCCCCCCAACAGGAATGCTATTACATTATGAAATTATTTTGGATGCTTCCTTTACAGCAGCCTTTAACCAAACTTAAAAGAGTCTCTCTGTAATCAGGTTTGTTTGGCCTTGTCAAAATATTTTGTTTTGTTAATGGATTAATAAAGTTTCTTTAGACACATCCTTTAAAGCAGACTCTAATCAAACTGGAGAGGCTAGGTTTACTGTAATCAAGTGTTTTCCTTTTTATAAGTTATGTTTTTGGATTTAATTATTTAAGACGCATCCTGTAATAATATCTGATTGCATTTTCTCCATCAATAAATTTAGCCCGATCAAACCTTTGTTGTTCGAGTATAGCAAAATCCATGGTATAGATGTCAAAGTCAGGAAGATGTCGTAATTCAAAATCTAAGTATATTTTACAGTATAAATTTACACTTAAATATGCCCTTAAATTTCAGTATATTTTTCAGTACATATTTGCACTTAAAATCACACTTAAATTTCAGTATATTTTTAAGTACATATTTGCACTTAAAATCACACTTAAAATTCAGTATATTTTTCAGTATAAATATATACTGAAAAATATACTTAAAATTTCAGTACATTTTTCAGTACATATTTATACTGAAAAATATACTACTTAAAAATTCAGTACATTTTTCAGTACATATTTGTACTGAAAATGCTCCTTTCAGTACAAATGCTCTGCCCTAGTGCATGCATAGAGAAAACAATATATTTCTTGATTACAACACCATGATTTCCATAGCAATATCTGTAGAGTTATAATTTCATAGTTAAGAATGTTTAGAGAAATAGATCAGATAATAAATGTCTGACATACCTTCCACTGGTCTCTGGGTTTGATTAATATTGCCACCTCATCCCCATTGAGGGCTCTATTCCTGTCATACAACCCACTGATGTAGATATCCATTTGCCCATTCTACAAACATCAAAAAACATTAAGCCCAATAGCCCATCTATCTGTCATTCCGGCAAGTTTCCGAAAGTACACTTAGAAGTGCAACCATGTGAGTAATTTTTTCTATATATGAAATTTAAGTTTATATATTCACACAAAATAATTGTTTATATATGATCCTATCGATCATGCATTTCTTGAAGAGAAACTGGCTGTAATGAATTTTTGGCATTTTATGGTCAGATAAAGGCAGTGAGTCACTTTAACATGTACAATTTGTGAAGTATGAAGTACTTACTGGATGGGGTACATAAGCATCCTCATAATTTCTAGGGTTTATTCGAATTGCTCCACTGATCAGTTCTCCTCGTTTAAGTCCATCTGATATATTGTCTTCAGGCCAGTAGGGTTCAAACAACTAAATAGGATTGCATTATATTCCTAAGACATACAACTAAATAAATACAAGAGGCAGAGGATACAACACATTAGGGATGTCACGGGACAAAAATATTTTGGGACAGGACGGGAATTATCCATTTCGGGACAGGACATTCAGGACGGGATGGGAAATAACCAGTAAAATAGAAAACTCTAGTTTAGATCATATCTATCGTGCATTTGGGAAGTTTAAGGGTCATATACAGGAGAAATAGTATATCCTAAACATGGTCTGAAATCTTTGGTATACGAGGGTTGTCCCGTCCCGAGACCAAAGACACGAGCGACGGGACAATATTGGGAAACCGTGACATCCCTACAACAAATGATTTCTTTGGCCTGTATGATGGTGGTCAAATTCTATGTTGAATGGACACAAATGGTAAACCGTCAACCGTCAAATCTTCAATTCATATACCACTTAAATGAAGGTTTTCCATTTTGGATTTTGGGTGCTCTTAGTCTGTGTGTGAAACAATATTAATTGGAAAATAACATGACAAATGTCTTTATTCAATTTGGTTCAATAGATTTGAAAGGTTACGCTTCTTTGAGATATGCCTAAAAAATCAAGTGTTGGTGTTTTTCTGCCTCTTACTAACACAGCATGCAAGACATATACAGTACATTGAAGCCTTAAGAGATTCCTCAAATGAAATTGATTCATGCAATTATTTGTTCAATTCATTTATATGGGTTGTTTTCTATTTTTCTTATGTTGCCCCTTGTGCTACCTTACTATTAAGTATACAAGAATGATATGAAGCAAAAAACAGCAACAAACAGGATCAGAAAATGGCTCATGATTTGATTATGATTTACTATTAAATAAAAATAAAATTGAGGGAGTACTTCGTATAGAAAAATGGCCAAACCTGTTTTTTCTGTTTCTGCCCTGACTGGGCTCTTTGTTTATTAGCAGAGTGGTTTCTATGGTTTTGAGGGCCTACATCTACAAGCAGACAGACAACATCAGATAAGAACATGCACTAGTTGAAATCAAAATCAAAACATGCAGATTTAAACATCTAATTATTTCATAATGCAACTTTGGACAAACCATTTTACTTCCATAAAAGATGGATAAAGCTAGATAAATGGGTTCATCTGTTGAAACTACCCTCCCTTATAGACTATGTACACTCTATTCGAATAATGTGGTAGTTGCAGTACAGTACTATAGCTATGCTAGAAAGCATATTACTGGCCAATTCTGATCATACACAAGGAATATGAAGGACTAATAGGATATTCTATTCCTAGTCTTACATTGGGTCTCTGGTGAATCCCCTGCCCACTTTATACCCAGCGCCCACCAACCCACGCGTCGAGGTTAAATACAAGAGCTTAATCACTGCTACCCACCTAGTTACACAGACGTATCGTCAGTGTATCATGGCGGAACTACATCCGGGATTTGAATTCAGTAAGATATTTTCATTTCTCGATTTACAACTACCTTTAAATCACGATGTGGATTATAATTTGGCTTGAAGTTATGGGAGATAGTCTAGTTTGAGAATGTGTCGATGGTTTTAGGTTTGGTATGTTAACGAAGACGCATTTCACATATTTAGTCCCTCGCTTTTGTTACACTGACGATCGGCATTAATATTGCCAATATTACACTGATATTGGTCGTTTGTCAGTGTAACAAAAGCGAGGGACTAAATACGTGAATTGTGTCTTCGTTAATATATAAAACCTTAAACCATCGACACGTTCTCAAACTAGACTATCTTCCTTAACTTCGAGCCAAATTATGATCCACAACGTGACTTATAAGTAGGTGTAAATAGGGAAATAAAAACATCTTACCGAAACCTAGTCCCGGAAGTAGTTCCGCCATGATACACTGACGATACGTCTGTGTAACTAGGTGGGTAGCAGTGTTAATGCAAGCCTTGGTGATTCCCCACTAAAATTCAGTTCCCTTTTAATCTGAAGTAAAAAGATAGGACCAAAATTTACTTTGTTTATCAATCATCTGACTGTATAAATACAAAATATATATTTGTAAGATATAATTTATTTTTATATTTACTACCGTTTATGTTTTACATACACATAATACACAAATGATTACATGATACAACATGGCATTAACATGCAAAATGTCACCACCTGCCATTTGTTACAGACACTGACCAACAAAAACCAACCATCAAACACCAACTGCCAAACAATGTCTACAAAAAAGTAGGAGATTATAACAAAATTACCAAAACTTGATCTGAATAGTAACAATTTATATATCATTCATTTAACAATTTTGAATAATCAGCATAATTTGTGCATCACACTTTAAAATATTTTGCCTTTCTTGTATGCCTTCAGTAAATATATCAAATCATGTACATTTTCATAAGATGTAGTTTTAGTTAGTAATTTAGTAGTTTTAGTGAGTCAGTTTATGACTAATGTAATCATGTAATGATACAAGATGTCAATAAAAGTTATATACCGGTATATATATATGTCACCACTTCTGGTGGTGACATAATAATATGTTTTTGAGACTAGAATCTTATAAATATGTATTTCAAACATGTTAAATACATTGTATATAAATTTGCACAAACCACATATGCATTGCATCTTTAAATATATGAGATAAATATGTGCGATGCAGAGTGTATAATTGAACGTAAATATGTCCTCTCTAAACAATATAAATATAATCTCTCTTTACCATCTATTACAACTAAGCTAATACTACAGTAAATCAATCACCTGCTTATCATTATTTTAAGTTATAAGTACAGGGGGTTTTCTAGCCTTGCCCAAGTTGGTATTTTTTTTACTTATCCTGATCTTGAATTATTACCACCTTGTACAATCTAATGCATAATCGCTGATACTATGATAAGTTATTCAGCGGTTTCGAGATTTCCATAATTCCTACGCTGTCAGGGGTATCGCGAAACCTTATTGATTGGCAGATTTCGTGGACACGATGTGTGACCTCAAGCTGATTGACCAATCAAAATGTTTTCAGGTTTACCCGCATAAACAAGGCAAACTACCCGTCTACGACTTAAAGTTCAATGATCTGATCGAGTATTTCTTCAGAGTTACGATTTATTATGTAATTAGATGTACATTTGAATGTAAGCAGTCATTAATATAAATTAAATCCTGTTGATTTAAAACTGAGTTCGCGATGAAAATGCATGAAGACCTAGTCCATGTAGTTGTCAATCTAATGGTCCTTTTTCCATACAGCTTTGAAATCTCGTTAAAGTCTCGTTTTTAATGAGATTTTTGGAGATCTGGATTTTAACCATTAAAAACTAACATTTTCTTCAACTTTGAAACAACTTTGATTTGCACCGTTATTAACCTTTATTCAAATTCTAATGATTTTCTGGTTGTCTAAAAAAGGTCAGGCTAAATTCCCATTGACACAATGCTGAAAAACCTATAAAAGTTCATTTACTCTTACAAGGATCACAATTTTAATGTGAAATCACAATCAACATGTCAAGATTATAAAGTTACATTCCAATTGTGTTTTAAGTTGTTCCAAATGCAATTACTTCTTAAATCAAGAAATTAAGTGACTCTGGCAATATATTTACATGTATTCTAGCCCTGCCCTAGCCCTACCAGTACCCATGATGCCATCTATTTTTCCATTTTATGGAAAAAGGTCAATTCAGTGATTGATCTGATCGGCCTAGATCTACAATTCAACGATGTTTTCAACCCTAGTTTTCAAAGTTTCTTGTTGAAATCGTCTCACCTCTGGGTATCCGATCGATGCTCCAGCATCCACTTAACTCTGATTGATATTTATCTTATAGATTGTTTGTATTTTCGTGATGAATTGTGCAAGATTTGCGGGAGGATTTGTTCGTGAAGAGTGTACTTGTTTTGACCGTGAATAATAATGAGTTAACGCTGCAGGGCCGTTGTTGATTGGTCAAATTTACTGACATAAACATTAGGTCGGTTAAGCACGTGGCTTTCTCATTGGTACAAGGCGGTCATAATAGAAATCAAGATAAGTAAATCAGCCACGGTTATATATTATGTATACACGTTTTGCTTGATACTACATTAAATATGAAATAAAGGGTCAGTCTGTAATGCTGTTTCTAAATTAACAATAAAGAATATTTGAACTCATAATGATCAATTATCATTATCTGACTGAAATAAGTGATTTTTCCATTGATATAAGATATTTTTGCATGCTGTTTATAATCTGACAATGCATAATAATCTCTTTCATAGCACTTGCTAATGATACCCTATAGTTCATCAATGACAATTTTCAAATAATTTAGCTAATCTATCGCTGAGAAAATACTTGTTAAAAACAGCTTCTTTCAGACTGAAATTGGTGACTTTTCCATTGATATTGGATATTTTGTATGCTGTTTTTAATTTGACAATACTCACATAATGTAACTGATCTCTTGCTGAGAAAATACTTATTAAAAACAGCTTCTTTCAGACTGAAATGGGTGACTTTTCCATTGATATTGGATATTTTGTATGCTGTTTTTAATTTGACAATACTCACATAATGTAACTGATCTCTTGCTGAGAAAATACTTATTAAAAACAGCTTCTTTCAGACTGAAATGGGTGACTTTTCCATTGATATTGGATATTTTGTATGCTGTTTTTAATTTGACAATACTCACATAATGTAACTGATCTCTTGCTGAGAAAATACTTATTAAAAACAGCTTCTTTCAGACTGAAATGGGTGACTTTTCCATTGATATTGGATATTTTGTATGCCGTTTTTAATTTGACAATACTCACATAATGTAACTGATCTCTTGCTGAGAAAATACTTATTAAAAACAGCTTCTTTCAGACTGAAATTGGTGACTTTTCCATTGATATTGGATATTTTGTATGCTGTTTTTAATTTGACAATACTCACATAATGTAACTGATCTCTTGCTGAGAAAATACTTGTTAAAAACAGCTTTTTTCAGACTGAAATTGGTGACTTTTCCATTGATATTGGATATTTTGTATGCTGTTTTTAATTTAACCATACTCACATAATGTAACTGATCTCTTGCTGAGAAAATACTTGTCAAAAAGTGTCACTTTTTTGGGATACTCAATATATGAAATATATCTTCAGTTGCATAACCACAACAAACATCTACATATACTTGTTTTAGGTGCCTAATATTTGAGGAATTACAGTACATGTAATATCAAGTTTTCTTTACAGACATCTGATGATGTCTGAATTTTCATATTTACAATGCTAGCCAAAGTTTGTCAAAATATGCTTATTATCGTGTTTTCAATGGTAAACAATACAAATAAAGGTGTACAACATAGAGTGATATTAAATATCAGATAAATTATTATATGTTTACATATATATACCATTCACATCAACCAAAAACACCCCCCCACACACACACACGTGTTGTCCCTTATACCGCATATACATTATATAGTAATACCATGTACAGCAAAAAGAAAACATTTCTCCAGCTCCAGAATCGAAAAATTTGCTAAATATTTTGATCAGATGGTTAATACAATTTATATACGAAGTACATTGTACAGGGTGGTACAAAAAAATGGGACACTCGTATTTCAAAAATAAATATTGATTTTCTTCATGAAAACATGTCATTTTATATCCAGTAGATAGGGAATTGAATACTCATCTTTAATTTGGTATATCATAAGTTCAAATTAATTATAATGTCCGTCAGCTAGTGTCCATAATATAAATGATGTCATTTTCATTTCAAAACGGGTTCTCCAAAACTTGCAAAAACCAAGTTCGTTGTCAACTTTATTTACATAAACAGATATTCAATATGTCCAACATTTTTTATATGTAGATGTACAGACTGATTTTCCTAAATCTTTCCGACTTATAGCAATGGCCAATTTTCAATTAAGATTTGATTAAGATATATTTAAACATGGATTATGTAACTTAATGTTTACCAGGGATATCTGGACCAACCTCCCAAAAATGTCTGGAAGAATTGTTCAGTGTGTGTCTAGTAAACAGTTTATGATCGCTACAGTCCAAATAAGTATCATGGCACGTGGTGGAAGATGTAGCCAACCATGTCAAATGCAATCCAACAAAAGACTTGAACTGATGTCTTGGACACCTCAGTGCAAAAGACTTTCAAAGAGTCACTCAAAGTCATTCTTAAAAATCATGGATCCAAGTAATGAATATTGCAAGGTCATTTTGTACCTTTGTCTTTAGTTGCTGAGGCTTCCTTTTTCTTTGCTTGTTTCTCTGCCTTCTCTGCAGCATGTTGCTTTTTCTTCTCATCTTTTTCTTTCTTTTCCTTCTCCTTCTATAATAGAGTATAGAAAATACGTAAACATGTGAGTCAAACAAGGCATTAACATGACAAAATGTCACCACCTAGTTGCTCACAATATTATTAGTTCAATCTTAAGTCATATTTGAATTTCTGAGAATTCTGTAGATGATTTTGAAAAAAGAATTTGATAAATTTGAAGCTACATATGTAGTTGAAAAAATACCTTTTTGACCTTTTTTGACCTTGAAAAGGTCATTGAAGGTCAAATCTTAAATGTAGTCAGATTCTGAAAACTTGTAGATGATTTTGAAAAGTCAGTCTAAACAGTATTTGTTAAGTTATTGGAAGTTTTAAGAATTTGTTACAGATGCCAAACACCACCCGCCAATTGCCAACCAAAAACGGAGACGATAACAATATGTCATCACTTTTTGGTGGTAACATAACTAACTATTTATTTATTTATTTATTTATTTATTTTACTTGTTATCATTTTTCAAGGAACCTGGTATTTGATAAATAAAGGTATTTTCCTTTAAGTTTCTTCCACATGCAACATATCATTATTAGTTTAGGATGACATAGTTGTTTTAAAGTTCATTAAAATGATATTTATAGATTAATTCAGGTCATAAAACTGATTGAATTGTAGCTTTTGGCTATTATCAGCTATATAGGTGTATAATGGAGGTGTATCATGAGAACAAACATTCAACAAAATAGTTTTCTAATTTCATAATACATAATATTATTTTATTTTCTATTCTTCTCTATATACAAGTACATTTTTATGGATTTAAGCCAAGGGCTCAATGAATTATAGACAATTTCTAAGCAAGATAGTCTTGTATGAGGACTTGCATACATGGCATGAATGCATTAAATCAACCAGTATTCATTAAGTCATGTGCACATCCACATAGGAATAAATAAATGACAAATTATCCCAATTATCTATTAGGAATTATGAACATGTAAAATATCCCATTATGACAAATGTCAGTCTTGTTTTAGATTGAGTAGCAAAAATCTGTAAACCATAGAGTACAGAACTTAAATGTTATTTCCATGCTGGGATACTTGTTCTCTCATCAGATACCATGTGACTCAAAATATAAAGGTATAGGGGTATTCAATGTATCCCTGCTTAGAAAACATGTGGAGATAAACATAAATATATCAATTTATTTTAAGCCACCCCCAACAGATTAATTGAGAGTTATCTCATTAAGGCCAGGGTGCATGTTGGGAATTTTTCTGCATTCCTCAACTGAGTCACATGTTATTTTTCAAACAGGAATCACTCCTTCCACACATTGTCTACATCTTCCAGTTTTGCACAAAGAGTGAACTTATGTGCCTAGAAAAGACTGGTGATAAGATTCTTTTTGTAAAATGTATAAGTTCATTGCCATATTCATTTTTTGTTTTTTATACAATTTATCAAAACATTCTTCTTTGCATTCTTTTCTAGGTACATTAGTGCACTTGTTGTGCAAAAGTGAGAGATGTGGACATTGTGGAGAAGGAGTGATTCAAATTTGAAAAATAACATGTAACCCTATTAAGGGTTGCAGCAAAATTCCAAACATGCACCCTGACCTTAATGACCATTTTCTAGTCATATTATTGAAGTGAGCTCATCTGCATCATTTGTCAGTTATATATAAATAGGTTTAATAGATCAAAAGAAATGGTCAAATGCTGCATTTACCAAATTAAAAAAAGATTTAAAGTGATATGGACTTTATTTATTGTTCATCAGTGATTTTTGCTGTGCAAGGCCTACATGATTACACATACAAAAAGCAAGTTTTAAAAATTACTACTCAAAAGTTATAAAGTCCCAATCTTCAACCTCTGATTTCACAATATCAGCTAAATGCAATTGTAACTAGGCAACAGCAATGCCAAAGTATAGCAAATCCCATTAAATGGATGACTACTACCAAAAGTGTCATAAGATAGTGTGCCATTCTTATGAGTATTCATATATCAAAATATGAACAAAATCGCTCTATTACTTTTTGAGTTATAGTAAAAAATGGCAACTACTCTCAAAAGTGTTACTAGACAATGTGCCATTCTTATGAGTATTCATATATCAAAATATGAACAAAATCGCTCTATTACTTTTTGAGTTATAGTAAAAAATGGCAACTACTCTCAAAAGTGTTACTAGACAATGTGCCATGCTTATAGTATTCACATATCAAATATGAACAAAATCGCTCCATTACTTTTCGAGTTATAGTAAAAAATGTAAATTTTTTACTGCCCAAAGTGTCATTTAACAGTGTGCAAGGCTCATGAGTACTCACATATCAAATATAAACAAAATTGCTCCACTACTTTTCGGATGGAGGGACGGACTAAGGCATTCCCTATATCCCTCCAAACTTTGTTGCGTGGGATAAAAATGTGGAAATAATGGGACTTTATACGAGACACAACTACAATATACAAGACAGTACACCAGCACAAACAGTAAATAAAGTTAATAATAGTAAATTTGTAAACACCTCATGTTGCTTAATTATTGATAGTGACATACAGAACAACAGGTGATATTTTAATACCCTTATCAAGAGTTGAAAAAGACCTTCACCTACACTAGAATTTATTATTCAAACTCCAATATAGTCATGACACTGAGCATAAACATAGCCAGCTTTCAATAAGGGGGGTTGCGATCGCCCAATTTTTTTGTTTTCAGTCAGGGGGGGGTGCATCGAGGGATAAGCAAGGCAAAAACATTTTTTAAAGATTTGTTTTGAATTTTACAATAATTGATGTAACTTCCTTCAAAATTAAACTAGAAGCTTGAAATAAAAAGAGATCGCACCCATTGCACCCCCTGGCAACGCCTATGCTGACACACCAATCTCATCGAGGGTTGTAATTACGAGTCTCTACCCAAGGGTAGTGATATTACTATTTACACATCTCATCAAACAACATATGTGCAATTACAATCCCTACATCTCCTATTGCCTTTTCTGGTCCACTAACATCTTTTTGGCAGATATAATGTGCACTACATACATTATCACTGGACCTTATACTTGAGGGGGTCAGCTGGTTAATGAACTCCACCTTCAAGTCTTTAGTAAGCGACTCTATGAGAGAATTTGCAGCTGCAGCTCTAAAGTCATTTCTTTTATGGTGTCCTCCATGATCGAAAATAAATCTGTACTCATGAGGGAATGCTGGATTACTAAGCCAGATGATGGGTGTTGTGTCCCATATTGGATTTTGGCGATATTTTCTTATAAGAGGCACGAGTAAAGATTGAATTGAATAGAGATAGTCTGAGAATAGCCCTGTATCTAAGTCCCATGATCCATTGTTGATCAGTATAGTGCTGTTTCGTTGATCCTTTGCTTGGCTTTGAAAAGAGGTGGTTTTGTGGAGATTGAGAATGTACTTTTTACTTAGTGATTTCCAAACCACAGGCAATCCAGGGCACCAATTGAAATTGAAATGATTAAATCCCCAATTTTCCCACATTTGAATAACAAAGTCGTTTCTTATAAATGATCCAAAATAAGTCATTGTATATCGGAGATGGGAGTCCCCATAACAATCAATGTTTTTTAGTTTGTTGAAACAATTTCTCAGCGCTTTTGGATCCATCATCTCTGTAAGACACTTAGAGTGTAATCCCCATCTTAAAACTCCATCTTTGAATATCCACCTCCCATACTTAGAAATAACTTTTGGCTGTCTCTCACAATGAACTTTTTCAATCATGGCCATCTCAAATTGTTCATGCGACTGTTGATCCCTGTGATGTAAATCACAATTTTGAATTTCAGCGAGAATTAGGGAAACTGGTTGAATGGTTGGTACATCAAGGAATGCTCCATAAGACATGTACATCAATGTGACAGTTATAGTACTACAGGGTGCTACATAAGGACAACACACATGATAAATCCCATTGAAATTATCCTTGACATGACACAAAAAACTATGGACACCCTGTACATGAATTCTGAAGCTGCTACCGCCATATGTTGGTTTTCTGAGGAATGTTTCAGATATCTTCATATAAACATTATGATGTAGTTCATCATGTTTCCACTCTATGCTGTAATCATATTTGGTTGAATGATATAAACGTGGTCCAAAAAGATCTTGTGAGAGATATTGTAAAGATTCTTTATTGAACTTTTGATCTATCTTTAATCCAGCAAGCTTATACATCTGCTTCACTTGTGACAGAATCAGTTCTTCAGAATGAACGGCACAAATATTTTGAAATTCCAATCCTTTGTATACATGTTTGGTGATTGTATATTTTTTTCTTGCATTTAGTAGTTGTAAAAAGTGTTCTTTCACTTTTATTTCCTCAGACAATAGAGGGTTTTCTCCAAATGTCATGAACCTAGATTTTTCCACTATACTCAAACTTTTTGTATTGCTTATATGCACTTTAGATGATTCAGCAACTGTTTTTACTTCTGTTTTTGTTTTATCACTTTTTATGCTTTTGCTCGATTTACGTTCATCTTGCACTGTATGAGACCAATTAATTGTTTTCAAATCTGTTTTAGTTTTATAACTTCTTGTATCTTTCTCCAGTTTAATTTCATCACTCAATGTGTTTAGTTGTATGGCATGTTTTGTTTCTTTAGTTTGCAGAAATGGTGAATTTTGCAACAAAATATACATACACATTCCTACAGTCACAGAAATGACAAACAAAACTTTGAGTTTCATTTTCCATTGCACCATGTTGTTGCTTATAGGTTTATCCCAATCACTACATATACAGCTGATTTTATTTTCAGTGGTGTCTCGATGAAGCTCATTACACAAATGTAATTACATGTATATGTGCATACTGTGCTTCAATTGAACCTTTTCTTCTGCTATCCGTCTCTCACAGTACTCTTATAGTACCATCACATACTGTAATATAGCTTAATTAACAACTTGAGCAAATCAGGATCAATAAGTGAGGGTTTGAACTACCATTAGAAAGGGGAATGTGTTAGGATAAGAATGAGTAAGGATAAAAAACAAGTTGTAATCACAAAATCGTCTGTGGTTTTTAGGGACTTTTCAACTTTTCCATGTTAATTTATGATATCAATTAATTTTGCCTGTTGCTTTCATTTATTTAACCTGTTGTGAGAAAGTTTAGTGACCCTGACCCTGTACATGTTAAGTTTTAATTCAGTGACAATGCATTCTTGTACATGTATCATGTGTTTTTGGTAGGCTTGCATGCTTGCCAGTACACTGGCTTTCCCTTATATATTGTGATGGTTGATTTGGCACATTATCCTCTAACTGTTTACACATACACTATACATATAGTTCTCTCCACTCTAGTACTCTCATAACTAGTAGCCTGGACAGAATTGTTCAATGGTCACTTTTTCTTTAATAACTTTTTTAATTTTCATTATTATCATAGTCTGATGACATATTTGAAAACTAGAGTAAAATTCTGACATACAAAAAAAATATTTAAGGAACATCTCTTATTTTATTGATATTATTGGCGTTCATAGTATGACTGACGCAAATACATAATTCATCATTTTGCCTCATATTTGTTCAAAATGGCGGCATATTTTGTGAATTTGAATGTTCAGTTGAAAGTTAATATTTAAAGATTGTCATGGGACTATAGGGCCATGCTGCCACCGTTACAATCCTGATGTAATGCAGCAGCAACTCAACTGACCATTCATCAAATACAAGAAATTAACTCCATCCGAGGGTATATGAAATCAACTCTATTGAAATGTTCGGGTTGTGTTCAAGAGGATTTAAAAAGGTGGCGCCCCAATATGCGGGTGTGATGAGAGTAGGTCCTCAATCTTTTCAAGAGCTCCAAACAGCCATCTCAGGCCATTGAAAAGCTGAAGAACAATTCACGTGCATGCCAAGGATGGGTTAAGAGGCGTGTGACTGGGAAAGACATTACAAACTGTGGCAGTATGACCCTATAGTTGCACAGGTTAAACAAACTAGGGTTGCTAATCCACTACGAGTAACAATGGAATGGCCAAAAAATGTTAAGTCCTACGACATTACCAATAAACTGTACATACAATGTACAAACCTTTTTAAGTTCTGGTATACATACAAGTCAATTTAAAACAAAGGGTTATAAATGCAGTCATTACCTCATACCAAGGCAGCAGTCTACATGATTTCGTAGGCCTATGACATTTCTTAAATATTAACTTTCAACTGAACATTCAAACCACAAAACATGCCGCCATTTTTGAACAAATATGAGACAAAATGGTGAATTATGTATTTGCGTCACTCATGCTATGAACGCCTATAATATCAATAAATTAAGAGATGTTTCTTAAATATTTTTTTTTTTTTGTATGTCAGAATTTTACTCTAGTTTTCAAATATGTAACCAGATTTAGAAACTACTGAAAATTAAAAAAGTTATTAAAGAAAAGGTGACCATTGAACAATTCTGTCCGGGCTACTATAATATATACCTATTGAAGCGTTTGATATAGATGCTGAGTTGTATAGGCAATTTGTTCAGGGAAAATGTCAAAAATGGTCAAGCATGTTTATTTATTTTTTTATTTATAAATTTATTTCAATGGCTGTGCCATACTGTCATTACTAGCCATGTCTTTATATATATTAAGGTGACTGTTAACTTAATCGATCTTCAGAAAAAATTGAAAATTTCACAATCTTGAAATTTTCAAACTCTTCCTGAGAAGTCGTTTTTATTATTTCACATATGCTTGTGCACTGTAATCATTACAAAGACATCAAAGAACAACAAAAAACTTTAGTTTGAGAAAAAAGTGCCGTTTAAAGAATTTGAGAAGATTTTTTTCTAGGAGTAGCCCGTGAAAAACCGCTGATTCAAAATATCTGAACATTTCAGAAAATATACTTCAAACATATATCAAAAACGAAGGAGCAACGGAAATTTGAAAAATTACCCGATAAAAAAATTGGGATCAAAATAAGGAAAAAAGTACACTTCTCAAATTGTTTTTTTCTATTTTTTTTAATTTGTATGAGAGATTTCAAAATTCTAAAGCTCCTTCCATTTTGGGCTATATTAAAGGGATGTTCCAGAGAAATTAGAAAAAAATGTTGAGAGACCTTTGCCATGCTACTCTTTTTGTCAATTTTTCTGTCACATTTTCAGAGGACTCAAATTCCCATTCCAAAATGTTTACTGTTTCTATTTGCATTACCACAGTGAGCCTGGTTATATAAATGATAAGTGGAACTAAAAATTGAGAGAAAATCCAACCAAAAGACAGTTAATTTTGATGGTCAGATTATACTCAAATGCCATGTGCTTCCTGGTTTCGGCCATCTTGGATTTTTTGATTAAGTTATAAGTTACCTTAAACATATTGACATATGATATAAATAATACATATATACAAATAGATCAAAAATACAATAATAACAATTCCTGCGTGTGTGTGTGACTGAAAAGGACTGTTCAATAGGCAATAAAGTACCCTTAAGAAAAAACGCTTGTTTTCTCTTCATGTGGTTAAAAGATGACCTTTTTTAACCACATTTTTACCACTCAAGATATGTATAAGTGTGGTTGTGGTCACCTGTTTTGACACTCATAAAAGTGTGGTCCCCACTGGTATTTCTTCCACAATTCCAAGAAATATCTCCCCATAGTTTCTTCTCATAATGAGAAAGTGTGGTTAAGGTGTTCCTGAAACTATGGAGGAGCAGGACATTAACTTTAATATGATTTAAGGTTACCATATTGTTAATAGGGGTTAAAAGGGTTAATGCTTGTTAAAAATATTTTTTATTATTTACCGTATATGATAAGTCTGTTATACCTGTTATTCTGGTATCTAAATTGTTTTATGCATCTTCTTTGAAATATTCCATTACGCATGTGGCAACTATGAGAATGTTGTATGATTGAAGCATAGGGAGATGGGTTAATTTGATCACATGTACATTTTATACTCTGACTGAGGTTAAACGGTTTAATCTTTGCAAAATATTTCAGTAAAATGACATAAGGGTTAGAGTCAAATGAATGATCAGTGGTTTCAGTAACTTTGTGTACAAGGGGCAGATGAAAAATACAAGAGGCGGCATTCAAAATAACCAATTTTACGCTCCAGACAATGCAAATTCTTGTTATTTTAGAGTCCATGGACTGAAAGAAAGATGTCCAAGGTTTGTCAAAGTCATTTCCATTTTGCGCATTAAACCATTTGATAACATATTGTGGATCTTATCTTAATTTGTTAATGTGAATTCGCACCTTCATTTGCATGGAAGACTTTGATAAAATCCTTTTTTGATGATTTTTGTTAGAAAGCTGATGTTTGGCTAAGCTTCGAAATTCCAAATTGAACAGTCTACTAAGCATACCATGTTGTAAATATTGTTTTCTTTATAATATGTCGAGCTAGGACTGCTCAAACAAATTCGCTTTTTGTAGCTACATGTACAAGTATTTAATTTCAATAGATGATAAACTTCTCAATATAAGAAATATACCCTCATAAGACATTGTTGCAAGGTGTGTTGCAATGAATGTGGCACCCCGCATTCCCGGACCCGCATTATGTATTCTCGAAAAAAGCCATCATGATAAACCATGACATCTCATTTCTTCTCAGCCCTGTGTTTCAAGTGAAACAGAAAGATGCCATGAGTATCAGAATGGAAGAAAGCATATATTTGCATTGATGGTGTATAGATAGTTATTTTATATAGTGTTTTAGTTGTACATGGCAACCGATTCTAACCAGGAAGGATATTGCAACTGTTTTCAAGATCCTAAAGTTGCAATTCTCGTTATTGTGTTTCATTGTAAAGACGCACCTATAAAAGTGTGTCTCTGATACAAAGGCGTAGTTCTACATTAATTTAAGATACACATTTTTTAAACTTGTATGTGAACATGTAGAATTATGGACCTCTTATTACCTCTTTAAGTTAATTTTAAATAAATTCACGATATTTTTAACAAAAAGTCCTTCAAAAACATTTTTTGAAATTAATAAAAAGTTTCACATTTCACGCTTTGATAACATTGGATAAGACAAAAATATAAGCCAAAGTGGTTTAAACTTTATATGGGGCCTTTAACTGAATAATAGTACAATAACGTCATTTCTAAGGGGAATATAGTGAAATGACGTTATAAGTATTATTACCACCGTTAACGACCAGGGCTGAAATAGCAAGAAAATCTTACGCACTGAACGATATCTAATTTCCCGGGGAAAAATTGCCGGTCCAGAATATATTCTAGACCGGTCCATATGGACCACCACTATGACGTCACACATTTCTCAGGTCGATATAGTAAATTGAATGCCTTCTAATTTAGCACTAAAACCCCCTAGAACTGGCCCGGCAAGGTGGTAATAATACAATTTTACACCCATTGGAAAGACTGTACTGTGACTGGTTGTACAGAGTTATATCAATCATACATGTAACTGCATGTCCAGTGGAAAATAGCCAACTCTGATTATACCAAAGGTTGGAATTTGAATTATCATGCACATGATAGTGGTTAGATAGTGATCTAAAATGCATAGCCCAAACGGGTACAAAATTGGATGGTGTTTACTACTATAATGAGATCAAGTGATCTTTACGATTATAGTGAGTTCCATTGCAGTTCGAAACTGAGGTACAAATCATAGACAAGGAAGTGCAAAACAAGATCGCTGAATAAAATAAAGGATAGTCTATAGAAGACTTTTATTTTCCCTCGAAACTATATTCGACTTCTAACAGCGATTTCGGACACTCGCCCCCTGCTATTGAAAGTCCAGATGATGCTTGAATTTTCTATTTAGGGAGATCAGAAGTTTGCATGAATATAAAACAAAGTATTAGTTATTCTAAAGGGACGCTTATTTTGACTGAACTGACTAATCTTATTATAAGACTAACTAGACAATGGCAACTCCGCGGAGTAGCAAATCCCAACGAACAAAATATCAATTACCGAATTCCAATCAATTATACTCATTACTTTGGTTAAAATTGAAAAATTTAAATTTTAGAATTGCGAATTCCTGCAAAGCAGCCATTTTGAATTTTCTGAGGTACAAATCTGAAGAATAATACCATAATTGTGATCTACTCCAAAATTCCTTCAATTTGAGTATAATATAGCCATACTTTGAAGGGATCGAAAAATTATTGCGAAATCGTACATTAGACGGCCATTTTGAATTTTACGAGGCTCGAATCAGAAAAAAGATACAATATTTGCAATCTACTCTTAATTACCTTTCATTTGAGTATAATAAAGCTATACTTCAGAAAGATCTAAAAATTAGCGAAAATTACTGTTTTCCTGACCCCCCATACACAGCCCCTGGGGGTCAGGATGAAAAACACAAAATATTTGTGAAATAGATAGATGTTGCGAATATACTACCAAAATTTCAAACAATAATATTAATTACTTTGGTTTAGAATGAAAAAGTTATGGTTTTTTCGAAAAAGTCCCGTCATTTTTAAAGCGGCGGCCATCTTGAAAATTTTTTTTTTTGCGTACAACTATTCACCAATATACATCTTCCCACTAAATATGAAGAAAATCTGTCAACTCGTATTTGAGTTATCTTCCGGACGGACGGACGGACGGACGGACGGACTGACGGACTGACGGACTGACGGACGGAGGGCTTCACTATATCCCTACCGAACTTCGTTCGTTGGGATAATTAAAGAATAACAGGATGTCTGCTGTACAAATACATGTAATCAATGTTAAAGTATAGTCCAGACATGATTTTATTATTTCTTAGACATCAAAGACTTGTAGTCACGAGAATAAAAGTTGTACCTGTAGTTGGTGAATTTATTTGAATTATATCAATGTTAATTTTAATAATAAGATTATAATTGTAATCAACAGTCTAAATCTAATGATTAAATAAGAAAAGGATGTTGCTGATATGTTTATAAAAACAATAGTTCAATAAGTCTGTTAACTTGTTATTACACATTCCTGAATGTGCTTTGTGGACAAGTTGAGTCCTAAATATCTTTTCAAAAACCCTAAATTCATGCGAATGAGGAAACCTAGCAATGTGATTTTTATTTAACTTTAATTTCAGTATATATTTTCCATGACATATTTTGTACTTTAAATCACCCTTAAAGCTACAGTTATATGGACAGATTATTTAAAGCAGTTTTAGTGAAGACTGTGAGATTCTGAAAAACACATCTTAAGTTGATACCAAAGGTTGATATTAGGTTGTTCTATAGCAACAACCCAAGTTGATGCATTTTGTGGGAGATATTTATATTCATAATCATGTGATCTTTTTTCGTGAACTGGTCACAGTTTATTTTTCTTCAATTATTATCATTTTCAGTGAAGGTCTTACATATCTTTCCTTTATAGTAAACATTTGTAATGTACATTATTGTGCTTAGGGACCATATTCCAGATTTGTAAGGAGGTTAACTGATAATTCAATTCATCTACAGAGCTTTAAATGATACTTTTCTGTATCTATCTAGATGGCATGTTCTGATTGCCTCTGTATGTTCAGTTCAGGCTCCTCACTTCAATGTGTCCATTTTAATTAATAATTATTTGATAATAATTAATCATTTGATTAATAATTATAAGTTTAAATATGGATCTTGGATGCTTATTTTCATTAAATCTATATCTGAGCTAGATCTGAGTAAACTCATTTTGTCCTAGCTGTGGAACTGAACATTGTTGTTATAACTTATGTAAACAATTTTGGGTTTGTTGACTTAAAGACCACACTTTTCCCACATTTTTAGACCACACTTTTTATTCATATTATATATCACCCATACCTGTACTGCTCTTATACCATCTCCAAACCACACTCATACCACACCCGACCCACACCTTTGAATCTTATGGTCAGTGGTTTTTATATATAATGGAATTCTTTTAATTCAATTTAGTTTTTACACTGCTTAAAATTGTTAGATTTCTCATAATAGAACAACCCACCCTACTTCGGCAATAGACTCAATCTTAACCTTGGTATGAATAGCAAATACTCATTTTATTTACTGTTATTAATCTTCGGAGCTTACACTTTTTATATATTTTACAAAGTTTATTGCAGAATTGTCATTGGTTACAGTCAGGCGAAAGGTGCCAAGCAGCCTTCAATGAACGTTGAATAGTCATATTCAAACATCATCCTCTCTGATAGCTGAGACTAACATAAAAAATTTTATGATGGTGGCATGGTCTCAGTTGATAGTGAATAAAAATTGAGGTTGATTTTGATTGTTTCCCAGATATTTGGTCTTATATTTAGACAATTAGTTTGGTATTTGGTCCCTATTTGACATTTGATATGGCTTTGTGGTGTAATACTATTGTACAAATTAATTGGTATGGGAGCATATTGAAATTTAATTGATTGGTATTGTCAACAGTTCACTTTCATAGGTCACCAGTTTCCACAAATTGAGGCGTTTCACTGAAATATCCTGTAGAGATTAAACTCTGGGATAATCAAAGATTAAAATATACACCAATAAATATAGGTTATTTACTGGGAGGGATTGAATATGGGTTTTATTCCGAGTGTCAATATCATATTTCCCAAGGTCAATATCATATTTTCCGAGGAATGAAACCCATATTCAATCCCGACCAGAAATAACCTATTTATTCCATAATACATTCCTCTAAAATGTTACATTTTGAAAATGCTTTTATCAATTAGCCAAGGTTAAAAATAACAGGAAAACCAAAAATAGGTTAATACGTTCCAATACGATTTTTTTCCCGGGGACAATACGATTTTTTCATGTAATACGCTCCAATACGATTTTTTGTCCCGGGGACAATACAATTTTTTCATGTAATACGATTCAATACGATTTTTATTCCTTCATATTTCCCTGGGAGAACAGTAGTATTATGGAATAAATCAATAATAATTGAGACAAATAAATCATGCTTCAAAATAAAATATTTATTTGATGATGAAAAAGATGCATGAAACAATTTAGATACCAGAATAACAGGTATAACAGACTTATCATGTACAATAAATCCAAAAATATATTTAACAAGCATTAACCCTTTTAACCCCTATTAACAATATGGTAACCTTAAATCATATTTAAGTTGATATCCTGCTCACCCATAGTTTCAGGAACACCTTAACCACACTTTCTCATTATGAGGAGAAACTATGGGGAGATATTTCTTGGAATTGTGGAAGAAATACCAGCAGAGCCCACACTTTTATGAATGTCAAAACAGGTGACCACAACCACACTTAAACATATCTTGAGTGGTAAAAATGTGGTTAAAAAAAGGTCATCTTTTAACCACATGAGGAGAAAACAAGCGTTTTTTTCTTAAGGGTATCATATCTTTGATTAAGTGCTTATGATTTCAAGGTGAGATGAGAATAGTTTTACCAATTCTGTTTTTTGATTTGCTCATCCTATAGAGCAGGATATGTATTTTTTCAAGTCATGTATGCCTTTAAAATTGATTTCTGGGAAATTATCCTGGACTTCACCAAACAAAGTTTTCATGGTTGGCCTTGTAAGATTACATCTGAAGAAAAAATGTCTCAACGTTTCAGATTCTGTGCTGCATAAACAAACAGGCGAATCCACAGTAGTAAAGTTGTGAGTATGGAACTGGGAAAGGAGGAACAAATCCAACTCCTTCTGTTATATTTTGAATCACCTAATGTTCATGTCCATGGTGGTAATCAATGAATTACCATACGTTAATTTCAAAGTATTTTAAAAGAGGCCAATGATCGCGAATTTCTAGTGTCGGCATTAAGACCATTCCATTCTGTAATGCATTTGAAAACACACAATCGTGACAATAAGCTGCCCCTCTTCCTCGGAAGTTGGTACTTTAAGTATGTTTATGATTGCATGTTTTGTAAAATCCAGTAGTTGCATTGCTTATGTTACTAGCTGCACCACCACCAGAAGGCCTTCCAAGTGAGATAAATCCAACCCTGGTGTTTTTATTTGCGCCTCCTCCAAATTCCTTGTTAAATTTATTAAATGTGCGCTGGCCATCTCTTGAAGAATGGAACAATATGAGGAATAATTGGAACTATCTCCAATTTGCCCTTGGCTCAATTGATGCAACACCCCATGAAATTAACAGGCCAGAAAATGAACCCCAAGCACTTTTTAATCTGAGAATAGCTTTGCAACTAATGATTTTTCAATTATACCTAGAATAAAGTGTTAATGCTACTGAACTTATGATATGACTCCTGATATCTGACTTTCACTTTCTCTATAATGCCTTGGTCACATTTGCTCTGATTTTCACTATGGCGCCCCGCCAATTGAGTATTGTATTTGTTCAAAATTGAACACAATATTGAACAAAACACTCAATTGGCCGGGCGTCGGCTGATAGATCGGAGCAAATGTGACCCAGGCATAAACCTCACTTTCAGATTCCAAATACCTTCAACATCCCTATTACAATAGGTCAAAAATTGATGTCAAAGGAGGAGGGAAAGTAACAGATTTTGGACAGTCATGTGTTAGATTGCGGCTATTCTATGAGGATTTAAACAGGTGCATATGTTAGATCAATGTATTACCTCCAGGAAAAGCACTCATAGAGATGATAAAATAATTTCGACTTTGAGACCAGGGAGGTGCAAACAACCCACCCACATGTTTTTCTGCAATGTTGTTCTGATTTTCAATCCCTTCCACCCCTGCTTTTTCAATTTTTGTTGTATCAATATGTTTTGACACACAGTTAACCACTTTAAAGGAATAAGTGATCCCTTCAGGGTTTTAAAGATATCCATTATGGGTGAACAACAAAATTAGCTGAAAGAAATAGTGCATGAGTTTTCCTTATGGGAAAATAACATGGGGAATATTCCTTTAAAGGGATTAACTGTGTCTCAAAACGCAACATATTGATGCTGTTTAAATCCTCAGAAAATGGCCAAAATCAATATTGAAACATATGACTGTCTGAAATCTGTTGCGCTAATTTCCCTCCAACTTTGATGATTTCAAAAAATGGTAGGACCCATGTAAACCAATAGGAAATGGTTAGGTTGCCAAAAATCATATGAGAAAATATCCATCCAATTGCTCTCAAAAATGAAATTTAAATAGACAATACTCCTATTCGCGATAAGTGTTCAGGTGGTAATTTACATAAATATCTCCCATGATGCATCGCTTTGGAACGGACAAATTTTCATTGCCCGCCGAACGAGTCGATTACTCTGAACGTTTCTCAGCTTCTGATCTTCCATCAGCCCTCAAGCATAGTTATATGATCCAATCTATTCAATAATCAGAAAGATAATCGGAGATTCAAAGTAACATTATTTATATTTTTTCGATCTTCGATGGTGTCTGAGCAATTTCTGGGAAATCAGTGACGTAAATGGAATTGGAAGGCATTTTCATACAGATTTCTTCGGATTTGGGGATTATAGTTCAAAAAGCTTTGTCATATATCTTAATTACATACATACCTAGCGTTTGTGCAAATGAAACTTTACAAAAAATGTTTAAACCTGCACATCGCTCCAAAACGCAATATGCTGACATATATTGTTTTTACATTTTCAAGCTCTAATATAAAGTTTATGTAAATAAAAATTGTTTTTTTCTGCGTAATATCAAAGAACAATCATTTAGTTAAAAAAATAAAAAGGCTAATGCGGGATTCGAACCCGGGCCTCCCGAGTGCTCAGCGAGGATTCTACCCGCTACACCACCGTATTATTATGAAAGGAGGAAGTAATTAAACGCTACTTATTTTGAATGCTATGATTCGGAAGTGACGTCACGTTCTTCATTTAGAAACCTTTCCAAAATCATATTGCCGGCACCGATCGAAGCAAATTCAATGAAAAATCTTTGAAATGACACATTTATCGTAAGTATTTCTACACAAGATTTGCCCCATTTGTTCATCATTCTATAATCTTTCATTAAGCTCAAAATGATAAAGTTCACCCCCGAAACAACCCAAGATTGCGTTTCGGAGCGTAGTCCAGCTTTAATAGAGTCGCAGTGTGGCATTGAAAATAGCACCCCTGTGTAATCCAATGAGAAAGAACCCGGATGTAGACAAAGTTGTACCATACATGAGAGCTCTTCAAATGGGAGGTAGCTAAACTGAACTAAATTAAACGTTATCGCCTATTGGTATATTGAATTTGCTTAAGTTGTCTACAACAAATAATTGATTTGTTTCTCAGGGTTTTACAAAGTTGTGAGTATCCAAAGTCAAAATTATTTCTCAATAAACCTCTCATTGAAATAACAAAATGGGTCAAAACAACAACTTATCATTTTTTATGTTTTGGCAAATGTAAATGAAGCAGGCTAGTTCACGAAGACTTTTCAGCTCTTCTACCAACAGGAATACACTTGTTTTCTGTACTAAGTACAATCAATTCCTGAGCTAGAGGCTGTGCCCTGTAGTATTTTTCAGAGAACTATCTGTGAAACATTTTCTCCATTACTGACAGGTAAGGTCACCATTTTTACTGAAATGATCAATTATATTCTGTAGTTATATAAAACCCTCATTCAGAGAGTTGTAACTACTTTAGTTTCTGATCCTTGGGGTATTACTATTTACACAACTCATCAAACAAAAGCTTAAACGAAACATGTGCAATAACAATCCCTACATCTCCTATTGCCTTTTCTGGTCCACTAACATCTTTTTAGCAGATATAATATATATTACATACATTATCACTGGATCTTATACTTGAGGGGGTCAACTGGTTAACTACTTGAAGACTGATCACTTTTTGGAAAAATGAAAAGAAAATGAAAAAAGAAAATGTAAATGAATCTACCCGAAGCAAGAAAATGAAACAATTCACAATAAGTTATATATCATTTTGAAGGGCTTAATAAGACCCATACTTTATGTTTTTATCCAGTCGGTTTTATTCATTGCATCAGACTTTAGTATCTGTAGATTAGAGTATGAGGGCCTACTTGCCTCTGGTCAATATGTTGAGAATCCTGAATCTTATATAAACCCACCAAAATCTTGTCACATCTTTTTATGTTTACCTCTCGCCAATTTTAGGATCATGATTCCACCCCTGACAAATATCTTGATTTGGAAATGTTGCCTTTTCAAACAATCAACCTTTGCCTACAATGGTGAATGAAAATGAGGTCCTACCTTGATTTTCGATTCTTTCTTCTCTGCTCTTTTTTTCGCATCTTTTTGTCTCATCTTCATGAACTCAGAATTGTCTGAGCCCATATGTCTAGAGGTACCACAGGCCCCAGCTGATCCAGCGAAGGCTGCCATCTATAAACTTTGCAATTATTGCTTGGTAGATCTCTCTTGTCTCTCTTTCTAGAAATACAAGAAAGCATACAAGTGTGTATGTGTAGTTGGTAACCTCAAAAGAGAGATTCACCTACATTTAGAGGGTAATAGTTATTTCCTCAGGCTAGACAGAAGTTGGTCAATTTTGTTATTCATCAAATCAAAGAACAGTGAATGCTAACTTACAAACCCAAAGATTCAAAATAATTGGTACAAGTTCAAACGACTTATAAGTAAAACTTATCAAGCATATCCAAAAAAATACAAGCTAACTAAGGACTTGTAAATTACAAGTTACAAGTCCAAAAATCACATTCCGTGTTCTCTAGGGGTGCATAGAAAAATCAAACTCACAGGCATCGGAACATGTACTAGAGTCATCTTGAAAGGGAAATACCCCCATTCCACTCTCTCTGTACTTGTCCTTAAAAGAAAATACCCCCCACACTCTAAATAAAAATACCTCCATCAGATAAATTCCATAAGTGCCTATATATGAAAGAATTAAAAAACCCTTAGCTATTATGTGTCCAAAAATTAAGAAAATTGGTCAAAAATAAGGAATTAATGAACTCGTAAACGCAGAAAAGTGATTCAAAGAATTGATTTTGATGGTATATAAATATTTTCAACCTAGATAGGCTGATGATATTGCATAATCTTATTAATTTAGCATATTAAGAAAACATTTATACGAGAAAAAAATACTGAGAAATTAAAAAAAATTGCCACCTCGGTGACATCACAGCGTATCATCGTGACATCACAGATTTGAACAAGAAAATGCAGCAAAGTCCTTGAGTCGAGGTCTCAAGTCAAAAAATGCCTGACCCTCTCATATATCTGTTGATTATCCCTGTTTATAATTGATTCAAGAGTGTGGCACTGAACAAACCTATATTCCTATTTGTTATTTGTTTAGTTGTTGGTTGGGTAACATGTTTATGACGTCATAAATGATGCGAAGAATCTTTAAACCAATCAGTGAAGTCTATATTAATTATTTGTTTAGTTGTTGATGTGGCAATACGTGTCTAACGTCACGGGTGATTGCATCATATTCCAGTCACGCCATTTTACGACATTGCATAATTTTAGCTGATTTTGGCTTCATTTCACTTTATTTGAAAGACTTTTAAAAATATAATAAGGAGTCAGTATTTTTTCTATAAATATTAATATTTGAATTTGAGGTCAAAGTCCGAAAATTTGATCAACTGATTGAAATCTGATTTTAACCTTTAGCGTGCTGCCGGCGGACTCGTCCGCCGAAACTAAAATGTCTCTCACAACTGCCGGCGGACCCGTACGCCCGATTTCAAACTTTTAAAAACTTTACTTTTTCGCGCCATTCGTATTGTCCAATTAGATTGCCCGATTTATTCAGTGCCTAACATGACTTCCTGTTGACCTAGAAATGGCGATATTTCGAAAAATAATTCTCAATTCAACAATTTGAACAGTGTTTTAGTTGTTTTTAGTGAACGAATCGTACAAAATGGTGGACAAATACGATCACAACGAAAATGTGGAGGAAATAGATTACGATTTCGAGCTCTTTAGGCTCTTGGAAGCCGATAACGGTCATCGAAAATAGAAACTAGAATATTTTCTGAATTGAAAAATTGAACATTCGATCGCTGCAAATTCAGATTTGGATTCTGACCAGACGAAGAGGCGGAGCGGCGGATTCCGGAGGAGTATTCATGGTATATTTATGCCCAGTCGTGTTAATGTACGAAAAAATCCATGAGAACATTTTTTTTCATGAGCCAGGCCACTGTATCTTCCCTTTGTGAAAATTTTATCCAGATTCATTCAGTAGTTATTGAGATATTAATTATTTAGTCCAGGTATATCATTTTTTGCACTCTTTGAAAAATAAGCCAGTTGCGTGGGATATATTTGCTGAAATAAGGCAGCATGGTAAAGGTTAAAGAGGTGAAGAAGTGAATAATTACAGGAGCAAACGTAATCAATGGTTCGAGGTCTCCCGCAAAGTAGTCGCTACGCTCCTACTTTGCGCTGCCTTCGGCAGAGGAGACCTCAAAAAAATGCTTTAAAAATTTATGTAACATAAAATCATCAATTGAATGGATGAAATGATAGGACCTTTTCTTGATCAATTCCATAGATTAGAGAAAGATTTTGTGTTACAATTGTTAAGTGTTGTTAAGTGCGAGTATAAAATGTGTAAATATCATGTCTACTATATATCAACAAATAGGGATGAAGAGACATCTATGAATAACAAGAAAGTTTGCATGATGATTAATAAACCAAAGTAAACTCTGTCCAGGTATATTCTGAAATGGAACTTTAAAAAATGTTGACATTCAGATGTCCCAATTTCCAGGTTTTTAATATGTGGTGGGAAATCTAATTTTGGCAAAATGCACCTGACTGTGACACAGGAATTTTGCACACTTCTATTTCTTTTTTCTAAAAGCTTCTTTCAATCAAAGGCAAAACAAACAAAAGCTTCTCTAAGAATCATGTTGTAAGCTAGTTCTGATCTATTATAAAAAATTAACTAGATAACGGCAATGCCAAGGTGCAGCAAATCAAAACAACAGCCATGGTTGCCATTTTTGGAAATGGCCACCTATAAGCCAAATATGATCCATATCCTATATGATCTTTTGCATTTAAAACAAGATATTAATATTATTACATCATATGTTGCAACTAAAATACTGTAAAATTAACGTTAAAATGGCGGCCATTTTGAAACCAGCAGCAAATTTGAAAATTGGCTTTCAAGCAAAACATAGGGTTAGGGCATATACTATGTATGTAATTTGATATTTTCTTCTGCCAACATCTACTTGTAGATTCTACTGTAGATCAATTTGTTATCATGTTCACTATAGCAGCTAAAGCAGATGTCAGCAATTCAAGATTATTAACATTTGGATCCATACGATTTTACGATTATTCAAAAATTGCTCTCCCTGGGATTTTTTGTGAGGAGGATTTTGTTATTTTTTTCATGCAACATTTTAGTATTTTGTCACTTTTTGCAACATTTAATGATTCTGTAATTTTTTATACAGCATTTTAGGATTTTGTAATTTTTTGTGGAACATTGTAGAATTTCCTTAAGTTTTTAAACAAGGGTATGCAACTCTGTGTTATAAACATGAGAACTTCAAAATGAGCAGTGCCATGCTTCCTCTTTATCGATAATATTTCAAAGAGTTTTAGGTAAATGTATATGTGTTAGTTTAGTCTTGAAGAAAAATCAATTTTGAATATGATTAAAGCATAAAACATGTTTAATCTCATTTAAAAGTAGACAAAAATAGAATAAAAGGTATCAAAATATTCTCTTTGAATGGTGCACTGTAGGTAATTATTCAAGAAAACATTCTAGAAAAATATAATTTGTGGGAGAATGTTCACTTTCATTATTGCCATAATTATGATGAATTCCATTTTATATTAAATTATCAAGTATGCAGATAATCATGTTTTTATTTTTGAGACATTTCTTAAATCATACATGAACAGTGCAAAATAAGATTTTTCTTGGAGTATATGTACAGGAAGCATTTTATCTCCAATTTTGAAAACCCAAGGCAATAATGATGTATGAAATATATGAGATAGGTGCTACTGACTTTTGGTCATATTACCATGTCATAAGAATGATAAAGAAGCCTGCATACTTTGGTTGGGATGTTAATCTCGTAATAAATATGGTCACTTTTATTGCTAATATTATGCTTGTAGCGTATACCACCCCTGTGGATCCATTTCAAATTGTAATGATCCTGGCATCATTACTTTCTACTTTTATTTGTCTATTCATTTTATTTTATATTGAGTTTGTGCATTATCTTTTAAATAACTTGTTTCAAATGTTATTTTGTTTATAATGTGATTTTACAAGGACCATCAGTCCTAAAAGTGTTTTAAAGAGAAAGGAGCTTAGCCAATAAGAGTTAAGTTAGGGGGATAAGTATTCAATGCATTGACCAATGGTGTTAGCTCTAGCTGATTGTTATATTTTATAAAGCAAGTGGTATATTTTAGTGTTAAGGACAGAATGTAGTTTTGAGGCTGGAATAGTGAGCGTGTGAGAAACATGGGAGAAAGGTCCTGGATTGCTAGAATGAAACTGAGAAAGTGAACATGGGAGAAACATAGGAGAAATTGAATTGCTAGAGTTGAATTCGAGACTGATAAGTGAATATGGGACAAACAAAGGAGAAACCTAATGAATTGTTTGAGTAGGGAAATGAACTTGAAAACCAGAATTATGGATGGACATTTTAGGATTATAAACAGGACTAGGATATAATGTAGATTTCAGTCTGGCAACCATGGCGTTTTATTCTAAAGGAATCTTGGGTTATTGTTCAGGATTCTGGGGAGCCGCTTTTTAGTCGGTTACCAAAAGGCTAAAACTTCTCAATTATATGAGTTACTTTTTGTTTCTAGTTTATAACTGAAATCTCATTGTCTCAGTTCCTTAAGTTCTCAACCTCGTGGTTTTGAGATCTCGGAACCTTGATGCATTTCGAGGGATAAGGTTGTTTCAGTTTAAACCCATTTTTTATTACTTTCCAACTTTAGTCTTGAATATTCAAGTAGATTTCTGTCAGGCTTGGAAAGGAATATCCTTTGTTATTTGGCTCAGCGATCAGTGTGTATCAATGGATTTCCATGAATTTCTGCTTTTTTGAGTGTTCCATTATTTTAAGGTGCTCATGGTCACCGCAGTGTTGATTAGTTCAGGTCATACTATGCATAGAGAACTTTTGTCATGTAAGTGGAGTTAAATGTTGGGAATGAGATAGTTAGTGAGATTGGTGAGATTCTTAATCAAGAGTAAGTTCAATAATAAGATCGTTCCTGTTGAGAGTTAACAGTTTCTTATTCGTTCGAACTTCGTGACTCTGATTATGTAAATATTCCTTTGTAAATATACCATTTCATACATTATATTCTATATATTCAAATTTATATCATTATTAACATTGTGATCTGTTGAGAATACTTAGGTGCAAGTTGTGTTAGAGATTCCATTTATATCATCACATTGCAATCACCCCCTCCCACAGTTTGCACTATTTCAGTTCAGTTTGTTATTTAACGGTGTCAGCACCTTCCCGTATCATATTATTCCAAATTTCCCATTAATGACCAAGCAAATAATTTGATAAGACCAAGTCAAAATTTAGTTTCGTAATATTCCCGGCCCTAGCCACGCTACCACGTTTTGTTGTTAAGAGAGAGGGCCGGGCGATTTATTACAAAATCAAATGCTTTTCATTTATCTAAATATCTTACATTTGGTATACTTGAATAGGTGCAAATTTGTTGAAATTCAAAAAAAAAATTTTGATGTTGTAACTTAGCTATTTAAAAATGGCGGGAGCCGGGCAGCGTCAACGAGTTTTTTGCCGAAATGGCTGGATGAATTCCAGTAGTTCGCTTATTTGTCCGATGTTGGAATGAAATGCACTGTGTGTATTTTAACAAATAAAAAGACTGTATTTGTGAGAGGTTGTAACAAAGACTATCAAAGGAGAAGTCTCACTAGGCACAACGATGGTCCTACTCCGGCGTGGCAGCAGTCAGGGAAAAACTTGAGGCGAGGTTCGTGGCTCAAAATCACCAGCTTAATGATTCCTTGACATTTTTAATGAAATCTGTATATTTTTTGACAAAGCATTGTATGCCTCTCAATGCATATGTGGATTTGATCGCATTGCAAAAGGATTCAGGCGCAGACTTCCTGGTGACATACACAGGCCTGTCAACTGTCCCGCAATTTGCGTATTTGTCACGCATTTGCTGAAGAATTTGAAGTCACGCCAGTTTTTTTTGCGTGACAGAAAATGTCACGCAAATACGCATTTTACCTGGTAATTGTCAAGCAAAAATATTTCTGTAGAAAATTTTTCGAAATACGTTTACGATACGGTAAAAATACGAACGTCGGAAAAAAAACCGAACGCAATTTGTTCGGATTTGTCACGCGAATCCCGTATATGTCACGCATGTTCATTGGAAATTTTCGTACCTACCCCCCCCCCCTCCCCCCCCCCCCCCCCCGTTGGCGACATCGCGAGCGTAGCGAGGGCGAAAAATTTGAGGTGATCAAAGTTTGGTAAAGGTGCTCAAACTTTGGCCAAAGGTGTTTAAAAGTTGGCCAAAGGTGTTCAAAATTTGGACAAAAGTGTTCAGATTTGGACTTAGGTGTCCAACATTTTGAAGTCACTCATATTAGGTGGTCCCAAGTTGACAGCCCTGCATACACGTCACAAGACTGTGAACCAAATGCTCCGATGTCTTTCTGAGAGCATTGAACACATAACCTTGAGCAATCTTCTTCTTGACAGTACAATTTGATATGTCTAGAGTTATATGGCTGTTTTTGTTAATAAATCTTCTAAAACATGTAGTATATATAGTATTGTGGTGTAACTTGTTAGTTTACCTTTGAAATTGCTTGGACCCACTTTTCGGAGCCAGGACCCCAATTTTATAAACACTGTGGGTCTTATCCCGTTCCAGGACTATGGGACGGGATAATGTGGGTCTAGCTTCCCAATTTTAAATAACCCATTGAAAGCGCTGGAAATATTTTAGATTCAATTTTTCTTCCTGAGAATACTGCATTCACAGTCATGTTTGGCTGATTCACAACGGCACCTCAGGTAAGGGAGGACTTAAAACATACGCATTTGGATCTATCAGATCGTGTGACGCATATGCAACACATGCATAGTAGCCAACCTGATGAATATAATAAGCTCATATAGTGATAAAAGTCACAATCCGTGACTGAGAGGAAATTTTGATCTAAGGCTTTTAAGCTTTCAGCTAAGTTTCATGTACTGGCTAGAGACTCGTGTAAAGCATTCATTTGACTGTCGAAAAGTGAACTGACGATTTCAAGGATTGGAATGGATTTAGAATCTGACTAGAAGATCTAGGCTAGAGGTTCAAGTAGTGAGGTTGTAAGCTTAAACTATCATTAAAGGTCTCTGAATTATAACAACTATAATGGTAATATATGCTCTTACCCTCGTTCTTGTCTTGTTGCACTATTATTCGGTAAGTATGAAAATTGCACAACTTCAAGATATTTTATTTTCGATTTGAAAACGAGACAAAACAAGCACTTGCACTTCCGGTGTTGCAATCTGGGTAATATTAGATTTTCCAACAAAATTTGTTGAAATTCGGTTGACTCGTGTTTAAGGATTTGTATGTGATGTCTCCTTGTTAACTGAGTAGTATGCGCGTGACCAAACGTACAAACATGAAGCCACCTGTTCTCAGGTAAGTTTTAAGCGTATAAATTTACTGAATTACGCCGAGAACAGTAATTGAAACAGTCACGTTATTTGTTTACATGTGGTTGCCATGGTCAGTTTCTTATAAAAAACAGATTGTCAGGTACCATCCCAATTGATATTTTAATCGAAATTGAAAATTGGCATAATCCTTCAGTATATCGTCTATTAAATAATTGGATTTACAATATTTTATCACAGTTGGAATATAAGACTCATACATGTACATGTACAGTTGGGGACATAAATAAATGACAGGTGGATTTGAGACCGTATCTGTTGCAAGACTAACGCCTGGCGTAACCGTCACCGTGTTATTCAGTGTTTTTTAAGTAGCGCAAGGATCCTGCCATGACCGTGGTAATGTTATCGTGAAAGCCTGGTATAACCGCGACGATGCTGTATTATATTGCAATGCCTGCCATGACCGTGATAATGTAATATAGTTCTACAAGGCTCGGTATGACCGTGACAATGTAATATAGTACTGCAAGGCGCTGGCATGACCGTGACAATGTAATATAGTATTGCAAGTTCAGGTATGAGAGTGGTAATGTAGAAATTTACGATTAGGACTGCTATAACCGTGACAATGTGTATTGCAAAGCCTGGCATGACCGTGGCAATGTAATATAGTACTGCAAGGCCTGACGTGGCCGTGACAATGTAATATAGTATTGCAAGGCTTGGTATGACCGCCGTGGCAATGTGATATAATATTCAAAGTTCGGGTATGAGAGTGGTAATATAGAAATTCATGATTTGCTATAAATGACCATGACAATGTGTTTTTGAAAACCTGGCATGACCGTGGCAATGTATTATGGGATCGCAAAGCCTGGTATGACCGTGACAATGTAATATAGTATTGCAAGGCCAGGTATGACTGAGGGTGGTAATGTAGAAATTTAGGCTTAGTCCTACTATGACCGTTATAATGTATTGCAATGACTAGTAAATATGTATGACATAATGCCAGGAATATACTTAACAATTTTATGTGATCCGCATTTCAACTAAACAGTTTAATACTATGATCATGGTGTTTAACAACCTTAATCATGTCAAAATAAAAATTACTACTATTCATTAATATTCACATTCGCTTATAAACCACAATAAGGGCTACGGTCGCGCCAGGCTTCCACGATAACACTTCCAGGGTCATGACAGGCCTTGCAATATAATACAGCATTGTCACGGTTATACCAGCCTGTCACGGTTATACCAGGCTTACACAATAACACTACCACGGTCATGGCAGGATCCTTGCGCTACTTAAAAACACTTATTAACATGGTGACGGTTGTGGCAGGCGTAAGTCTTGCAGCATGTGGTGGATTTGCTGAAGTGAGGATTTCCCATGTTAAAAATAAGAGAATTTACAAGAGGCCATAAATCAGTGGATGAGATTATACAAAATGTAAAATAAACAAATTTTAAGGGATATGTATCTAGACAATATTGGAAATTATGGGCTTTCAGACCACCATAATTAGGAAATGGTGATCGAAAATCGACCTGTCATTTATTTTTGTCCCCAACTGTAGATCTATTTGTTGTTGAAATCGGCTTTGTATAAAAAACCTCCTACCTCATACCCACCTACCCACCTACATGGAACATGATACAGTCATAGAAGGGTTCAGTTTTAAAGATTATTAAATCTCAAAATAGCTCAAATTATTAACATTTCTACAATTCCGGCTTTATTTTATGACTAGACAGATGACAGATCCATAAATAAAGGCATCTGGATGCATTTTAATGTGTAATGACCCGAGGGCGCCCCAGGGGAATAGATAAGTAACGACCGTGAGCATAGGTCCAACAAGCCAGATAAGGAAGTTGAAAGAAAGTGTGCTAAATTCGATGCCCTGAGTGGGAATCGAACCCAGCTGGGATGTAGTAGCAACTTGCTATTAAGGGTCGTTACAAATGCATCTATAATTCTATAAATTAAGATTTTATAAACTAAGATCTTTAAAATTGAACCCTTCAAAGACTGTATCATGTCCCACGTACTTGGGTAGGTGGGTATGAGGTAGGAGGTTTTTTATACAAAGCCGTTGAAATCATTCGACTATTGATGTGTTTGTAACAAACTTGGATAGCAAGTGGATATCTCATCCAAACTTTCACAGTTCACTCAATAGTTGGGAGGTACTATTCAGCCATCAGTGTCAAGATTTAGGGACAAAAATTTATGTCATTTTTAAGTAAAGCTTTTTTTCTTTACAATGACGAGTTGAGAAATTTAAAAACATCCCACTTACTGAACTTTTAAACTTTTAAGGCATGTATTTTCAAAAAGCTTTACATTGGCGATATTCCATTACATTCTTGGACTTTGATTATTTTACGATTGAAAGTTGTGAACTTTTAATGCAGGCATTTTCAAAAAGCTTTACATTGGCCATATTCCTTTACATTCTTGGACTTAGAATATTTTATGATATATAGAAGTGTAATTTATGGCATGCATTTTCAAAAAGCTTTACATTGGCCATTTTCCCTTACATTCATAGACTTAGAATATTTTACGATCTGAAGAGGTGAACTTTTATATATGCATTTTCAAAAAGCTTTACATTGGCCATATTCCTTTACATTCTTGGACTTAGAATATTTCACGAAGCAAAGTTGTGAACTTTTTATGCAGGCATTTTCAAAAAGCTTTACATTGGCCATATTCCTTTACATTCTTGGACTTAGAATATTTTATGATATATAGAAGTGTAATTTATGGCATGCATTTTCAAAAAGCTTTACATTGGCCATTTTCCCTTACATTCTTAGACTTACAATACTTTACGATCTGAAGAGGTGAACTTTTACAGCATGCATTTTCAAAAAGCTTTACATTGGCCATATTCCTTTACATTCTTGGACTTAGAATATTTCACGAAGCAAAGTTGTGAACTTTTTATGCAGGCATTTTCAAAAAGCTTTACAATGGCCATTTTCCTTTACATTCTTGGACTTAAGATTATTTTACGATCTATAGAAGTGAAATTTTATGGCATGCATTTTCAAAAAGCTTTACATTGGTCATTTTCCTTTACATTCTTGGACTAAGATTATTTTATCATATATAGAAGTGAATTTTATGGCATGCATTTTCAAAAAGCTTTACATTGGCCATATTCCTTTACATTCTTAGACTTAGAATATTTTACGATCTAACGAGGTGAAATTTTACAGAATGCATTTTCAAAAAGCTTTACATTGGCTATATTCCTTTACATTCTTGGACTTAGATTATTTTACGATCTAACGAGGTGAAATTTTATGGCATGCATTTTCAGCTTTACATTGGCCATTTTCCTTTACATTCTTGGACTTAGAATATTTTACGATATATACTTGATAACTTTTAAGGCATGTATTTTCAAAAAGCTTTACATTGGCAATATTCCTTTCATGGACTTAGAATATTTCACGAAGCAAAGTTGTGAACTTTTTATGCAGGCATTTTCAAAAAGCTATACATTGGCGAAATTCCATTACATTCTTTGACTTAGAATATTTTGTGATTGAAAGTTGTGAATTTTTATAGCATGCATTTTCAAAAAGCTTTACATTGGCCATATTCCTTTACATTCTTGGACTTAGATTATTTTACGATCTATAGAAGTGAAATTTTACAGCATGCATTTTCAAAAAGCTTTACATTGGCCATTTTCCTTTACATTCTTGGACTTAGATTATTTTACGATCTATAGAAGTAAAATTTTATGGCATGCATTTTCAAAAAGCTTTACATTGGCCATTTTCCTTTACATTCTTGGACTTAGAATGTTTTACGATATATACTTGATAACTTTTAAGGCATGTCTTTTCAAAAAGCTTTATTGGCCATATTCCTTTACATTCTTGGACTTAGAATATTTCACGAAACAAAGTTGTGAACTTTTTATGCAGGCGTTTTCAAAAAGCTTTACATTGGCAAAATTCCATTACATTCTTGGACTTAGATTATTTTACGATGTAAAGTAGATAACTTTTAATTCAGGCATTTTCAAAAAGCTTTACAATGGCCATTTTCCTTTACATTCTTGGACTTAGAATATTTTACGATCTATAGAAGTGAAATTTTATGGCATCCATTTTCAAAAAGCTTTACATTGGCCATATTCCATTACATTTTTGGACTTAGATTATATCAAGATTTAAAGTTGTAAACTATTATGTTATGTATTTTCAAAAAGGTTTACATTGGCCAAATTCCTTTACATTCCTGGACTTAGCTCATTTTACGATTTAAGTTGTGAACTCTCATAGAATGCTGTACATGTATTTCCACGCTTTACTGTCCCCTTTCCTTTAGCCTACTTATTTTGACTTTTAGATTTGGTATTTGTTGGATTCTGTTCTTTCACGACGTACAGTACATGTAGAATTGTAAAAACCATATGTCATTGGAGAGAATACAGTAAAGATCGCTAAATATAGAAAAGAACTTGCATAGACAATAGTTTTGATAGTGATTGAAGAAATCCCCAAGAGAGCCCCTCGAATAGACGGGATTGTTTTCCCCGATCATCTTCAATTCTTTCACAAGAGATGGTTGGAAATCGATCTAAAGTTATGCCTTATATTTCTAATTTGATGATAGAGTATGATTCTAGGTGGGAAAGTCGTGTAAAAGGCGAGAAATGTTAAAAGAAATGAGAAAGTTTGACGGGCTTTTGACATGCGCAGAACTCATGCGCAGAAGCTCTTTTGGTAAAATGCCGATCAAATTTCTTAACTTTGAAACATTTCCTTCATTTTATGGACTATTTTGCGATAACATTAGAAAAACATGGTGTTGAACTTGAAAGCACCTAATGATAAATATTAATCGGGAGGATGTACCGGCCAATACTTAATATCGAAGGTAGAATACATATATGACATTTGACGCGCCGACCTCCGAGAAAACACTTCCGGTTTTATAACCAAATACTCTATCGATCAGAATATCTTATTGTAATGTAATTTCGCCAGACATCTGCTAATATGATATGTGAATATTTGTTGATTTGATTGTTTATTACAAATTACTCAGAAGTACACGTAGGTACTTGTAAGGGGAAGAACAAGTCAAGGTTTACATCGTAAAATAATCCGAGTCCAAGAATGTAAAGGAAAATGGCCATTGTAAAGCTTTTTGAAAATGCATACTATAAAAGTTCACAACTTTCAATTCACTTCTATACATGTAGATTGTAAAATAATCTATATCCAAGAATGTAAAGGAAAATGGCCAATGTAAAGCTTTTTGAAAATGCATGCCATAAAATTTCACCTCGTTAGATCGTAAAATAATCTAAGTCCAAGAATGTAAAGGAATATGGCCAATGTAAAGCTTTTTGAAAATGCATTCTGTAAAATTTTACCTCGTTAGATCGTAAAATATTCTAAGTCCAAGAATGTAAAGGAATATAGCCAATGTAAAGCTTTTTGAAAATGCATGCCATAAAATTTCACTTCTATAGATCGTAAAATAATCTAAGTCCAAGAATGTAAAGGAATATGGCCAATGTAAAGCTTTTTGGAAATCCATGCTATAAAAGTTCACAACTTTCAATCGCATAATAATCTAAGTCTAAGAATGTAATGGAATTTCGCCAATGTAAAGCGTTTTGAAAATGCCTGCATAAAAGGTTCACAACTTTGCTTCGTGAAATATTCTAAGTCCAAGAATGTAAAGGAATATGGCCAATGTAAAGCTTTTTGAAAATACATGCCTTGAAAGTTATCAAGTATATATCGTAAAATATTTTAAGTCCAAGAATGTAAAGGAAAATGGTCAATGTAAAGCTTTTTGAAAATGCATGCTATAAAAGTTCACAACTTCCAATCGCAAAATAATCCAAGTCCAAGAATGTAATGGAATTTCGGCAATGTAAAGCTCTTTGAAAATGCCTGCATAAAAAGTTTACAACTTTGCTTCGTGAAATATTCTAAGTCCAAGAATGTAAAGGAATATGGCCAATGTAAAGCTTTTTGAAAATACATGCCTTGAAAGTTATCAAGTATATATCGTAAAATAATCTAAGTCCAAGAATGTAAAGGAATATTGCCAATGTAAAGGTTTTTGAAAATGCATGCTATAAAAGTTCACAACTTTCAATTGCAAAATATTCTAAGTCCAAGAATGTAAAGGAAAATGGCCAATGTAAAGCTTTTTGGAAATGCATGCCATAAAATTTACTTCTATAGATCGTAAAATAAATTAAGTGCAAGAATGTAAAGGAATATGGCCAATGTAAACCTTTTTGAAAATGCATGTTTAAAAGTTCACAACTTTCAATCGCAAAATAATCTAAGTCCAAGAATGTAATGGAATTTAGCCAATGTAAAGCTTTTTGAAAATGCTGTATAAAAAGTTCATGACTTTGTTTCGTGAAATATTCTAAGTCCAAGAATGTAAAGGAAAATGGCCAATGTAAAGCTTTTTGAAAATGCCTGCATAAAAAGTTCACAACTTTGCTTCGTGAAATATTCTAAGTCCAAGAATGTAAAGGAATATGGCCAATGTAAAGCTTTTTGAAAATGCATGCCATAAAATTTCACCTCGTTAGATCGTAAAATAATCTAAGTCCAAGAATGTAAAGGAATATGGCCAATGTAAAGCTTTTTGAAAATGCATGCTGTAAAATTTCACTTCTATAGATCGTAAAATAATCTAAGTCCAAGAATGTAAAGGAATATGGCCAATGTAAAGCTTTTTGAAAATGCATGCTATAAAAATTCACAACTTTCAATCACAAAATATTCTAAGTCCAAGAATGTAATGGAATTTCGCCAATGTAAATCTTTTTGAAAATGCCTGCATAAAAAGTTCACAACTTTGCTTCGTGAAATATTCTAAGTCCAAGAATGTAAAGGAATATGGCCAATGTAAAGCTTTTTGAAAATACATGCCTTAAAAGTTCTCAAGTATACATCGTAAAATATTCTAAGTCCAAGAATGTAAAGGAAAATGGCCAATGTAAAGCTTTTTGAAAATGCATGCCATAAAATTTCACCTCGTTAGATCGTAAAATAATCTAAGTCCAAGAATGTAAAGGAATATAGCCAATGTAAAGCTTTTTGAAAATGCATGCCATAAAATTTCACTTCTATAGATCGTAAAATAATCTAAGTCCAAGAATGTAAAGGAATATGGCCAATGTAAAGCTTTTTGGAAATCCATGCTATAAAAGTTCACAACTTTCAATCGCAAAATAATCTAACTCCAAGAATGTAATGGAATTTCGCCAATGTTAAGCGTTTTGAAAATGCCTGCATAAAAGGTTCACAACTTTGCTTCGTGAAATATTCTAAGTCCAAGAATGTAAAGGAATATGGCCAATGTAAAGCTTTTTGAAAATACATGCCTTGAAAGTTATCAAGTATATATCGTAAAATATTTTAAGTCCAAGAATGTAAAGGAAAATGGTCAATGTAAAGCTTTTTGAAAATGTATGCCATAAAATTTCACTTCTATAGATCGTAAAATAATCTAAGTTCAAGAATGTAAAGGAATATGGCCAATGTAAAGCTTTTTAAAAATGCATGCTGTAAAATTTCACTTCTATAGATCGTAAAATAATCTAACTCCAAGAATGTAAAGGAATATGGCCAATGTAAAGCTTTTTTAAAATGCATGCTATAAAAGTTCACAACTTTCAATCGCAAAATAATCTAAGTCCAAGAATGTAATGGAATTTCGCCAATGTAAAGCTTTTTGAAAATGCCTGCATAAAAAGTTCACAACTTTGCTACGTGAAATATTCTAAGTCCAAGAATGTAAAGGAATATGGCCAATGTAAAGCTTTTTGAAAATGCATGCTGTAAAATTTCACTTCTATAGATCGTAAAATAATCTAAGTCCAAGAATGTAAAGGAATATGGCCAATGTAAAGCTTTTTGAAAATCCATGCTATAAAAGTTCACAACTTTCAATCGCAAAATAATCTAAGTCCAAGAATGTAATGGAATTTCACCAATAGTAAAGCTTTTTGAAAATCCATGCTATAAAAGTTCACAACTTTCAATTGCAAAATAATCTAAGTCCAAGAATGTAATGGAATTTCGCCAATGTAAAGCGTTTTGAAAATGCCTGCATTAAAGGTTCACAACTTTGCTTCGTGAAATATTCTAAGTCCAAGAATGTAAAGGAATATGGCCAATGTAAAGCTTTTTGAAAATACATGCCTTGAAAGTTATCAAGTATATCGTAAAATATTTTAAGTCCAAGAATGTAAAGGAAAATGGTCAATGTAAAGCTTTTTGAAAATGTATGCCATAAAATTTCACTTCTATAGATCGTAAAATAATCTAAGTTCAAGAATGTAAAGGAATATGGCCAATGTAAAGCTTTTTAAAAATGCATGCTGTAAAATTTCACTTCTATAGATCGTAAAATAATCTAACTCCAAGAATGTAAAGGAATATGGCCAATGTAAAGCTTTTTTAAAATGCATGCTATAAAAGTTCACAACTTTCAATCGCAAAATAATCTAAGTCCAAGAATGTAATGGAATTTCGCCAATGTAAAGCTTTTTGAAAAGGCCTGCATAAAAAGTTCACAACTTTGCTTCGTGAAATATATTAAGTCCAAGAATGTAAAGGAAAATGGCCAATGTGAAGCTTTTTGAAAATGCCTGCATTAAAAGTTCACAACTTTGCATTGTGAAATATTCTAAGTCCAAGAATGTAAAGGAATATGGCCAATGTAAAGCTTTTTGAAAATGCATGCTGTAAAATTTCACTTCTATAGATCGTAAAATAATCTAAGTCCAAGAACGTAAAGGAATATGGCCAATGTAAAGCTTTTTGAAAATCCATGCTATAAAAGTTCACAACTTTCAAACAAAATAATCTAACTCCAAGAATGTAAAGGAATATGGCCAATGTAAAGCTTTTTGAAAATCCATGCTATAAAAGTTCACAACTTTCAATCGCAAAATAATCTAAGTCCAAGAATGTAATGGAATTTCGCCAATGTAAAGCTTTTTGAAAATCCATGCTATAAAAGTTTACAACTTTCAATCGCAAAATAATCTAAGTCCAAGAATGTAATGGAATTTCGCCAATGTAAAGCTTTTTGAAAATGCCTGCATAAAAAGTTCGGCTTATGGGCCATGTAAACCAGCATAGAATATGCAAATTAGATAGATACATATATGTATAAATACATATATCTATGTATTCATGCATATATATATTATAAGCCAGCACAGAATATGCAAATTAGATAGATACATACATTATTATATGTATTCATATATATGTATGATATATATACAAGCATGGAATATGTTAATTAGATAACAATAATTCATGAATATCCTACATTGAGATATCTATGAATATGCTTTAATTTATGAGATAAATGTGTATTGTATACATGTTATATATGTATGTATTTGTATATATCTTCTAAGCTGGTCCCCAGTCCCCAGTTCCCAGTTTGAGATATCTATATGCTATATATAATATGTATGTATTTGTATGTATCTTTTAAGAAGGTCCCCAGTCCCCAGTTCCCAGTTTGAGGTATTTATATGCTATATATAATATGTATGTATTTGTATGTATCTTTTAAGAAGGTCCCCAGTCCCCAGTTCCCAGTTTGAGATATTTATATGCTACATATAATATGTATGTATTTGTATGTATCTTTTTAAGAAGGTCCCCAGTCCCCAGTTCCCAGTTTGAGATATCTATGTTTGTGTATATATGTATTTGTATGTATCTTATAAGTTGGTCCCCAGTTCCCATTTTGAGATATCTATGTTATATGTATGTATGTATCTTCTAAGCTGGTCCCCAGTTCCCAGTTTGAGATATCTATATGTAGGTATTTGTATTAAACATTGACAGAATATGAAATGAATATAACATCGTAACAAAAAAGTACAATTAATTGTAAATCTAATAATAGATTATTTATTCAAAACCGATCATCACATAACTAATTTATCCTATGAAAAGTGAGGTTTTACAAGTGAAGTTTTCAGGACACCCTGCATATCTAGTTTTTTTAAGCATTCTCATTCTCATTATTTTCAAAAAATCCATCATCATTTTGGTTAAGAAAAATTCTACGGTCTGCTGGATCTATTTTTACAGTTTTGCTTAAGCAAGATACTTTTACAAATTGACTGTTTCTACAATGAATAAAAAACATTTTCCCGGCAATATTTGGATCGGGAGATACGCAGCGGTAAATATACATTGGAATATATATACATGTTTACTTGGATGTGTAACAGGTATATATTACGGGATCTGTTTGAAGGTTTAAAAAGGGAAGGAGCATCCACTTAATCAATCAAAAATTTGAGAAAATAGATGTGGGAATATTTGAGAGAACAGGAAAATGCTCCCACGGCCAAGAAAACAAAACTGGACATGAATATTCTAAAATATTTCCACGATTGAACAATGTGAACCAGATGACCAAGATTGGTATGGGATAAACATATTATCCTTTAGTCGATCGCGATCTGTTTGATGTGTTAAAGAAGGGAAGGAGCAGTATACCCCATTAATAATCAAAGATTTGAACAGGAAAAGAAACAAGAATACAAAACTGGACATTTTAAAATAATTCTATGATTGGTTGCAAAGTTTCTGAACTTTGGCCAATTGAACAGTGTGATTGGTATGGGATAAACAAATCATCCTATAATCGGTTCAGGGTATTTGGATTATCCCTTGGCCAATATAATATATTTGTCCGAGGGCCGTAATATCCTGAACCTCATATAGGATAATCTCTATATATCCCGAAGTTTTCAAGTATAATATTTTCAAGATATGATCTGATATGACTTGCAGAAATAAATAGGAAGTAATCGTTTAGTTGATTGAATTATGGAAGTAGTGAAGTCAATAATTTAATGAATTAGAGCAAATGTTTTTAATTTGAACAGGTCATTCATCAAATCACAACTGAAGATTAACTTAAAATAGATTGTCTATCTATATATTTATATGTATGAGAGACATGTTATAATGTTAGTGAACTAATGATAATTTCACCTGTTCACATCCAGTTCCTATCATGATTGAAAACTGACCGGAGTAATTCTCTTCAAATTATTTACTCATTATGAACAGAAATTTAATATTTCAATCGCTTAAAAGGCGTAAATCAATGCCAATTTGACTTTCAATAAAAATCCGTCAATAATTTACTGATTACTTGCACATTTGAAGAGGTAAAACTTACAGCAATCAACCGTGGATTTACATGTAAACTCAATTGCATTTGTTTTTCGTGGGAAAAAGTTTCTCTCATTGACGTTACAGATTTCTAAGCAGCTCATTATAATATTCATGAGCTGACTTTGTGGAAAGGTGAATAACATTGTAACAAAAGAGTACAATTGTGAATCTAATATTTATGTATTTAACAATTGTCTTCAAATATCAAGGTAAAATAACCGAAATGTTATCTGAGACTCCAGTATATTGCATGTTTATATTGCATGTTATCTAATATTTATGAGCATTTTAAAACCTATTTTTGGCATATAGCATCAATCAATTTGTACAGATTTTTTATTCTTCTGTTTGGGTATGAGCTGCTAGTTCATAATGAAGGTGTTATATTTTTTCTCTATCTGATCTAATACTGGCCACATGAGCACACCAGGTAGATATCAGTTACACAAACTTTAGAGCAACATTTAACATTAAACTTGTATATTTAAGTTCACTGAGTAACCCTATATGTGGAAATAAAAGACATTAGCGCAACCAGCAGACCAGCAGACTATTAGCTAGAAGCTTCAAACAAAATGCATTTTAAAGCTCTTATTTTTATTGGTCATCGCCCCTCCCTTCTGGCTACGCCTATGATAGCTATATAGGTCAAAAATGGTAAGCGGCAATGGTCATAGTATGTCTAAAAAATTAATGTAAGTGATTCCAATGCAGATATTTTATACTTCATATTTCATTATAGAAATTTTAACTTTACTCCAGACTTGACAGAACTTTAACTTTAAAGAACTCTTTAAAATTGTCTTTGAATTATACATTGAATCAGCCTGAAACCTATCTTCTAGAGGAAAACAGTTAATCCAGTCAAGACTACAGTAATGAGACAAACTCATAACTTACATAACTTAAATAATCTGTCTCCAGATTGGAAAAGAATTATACAGTTATATGAAGCACTATAAAGCTGATAAGCTGTTAGTTATCCAAACATATGTGTCTACTTAAGATGGATCATTTTATGTCTTATCTTGATACTGATTTTAAATAGAGAGTCAGTTTCAGAAGCTTTCAGTCTAATGTATTGCAATGTATTATGAATTCTCTACCTTTTCAATATATTGAAGCAAAATTAGAAAAAAACGTAAAACAAAACCCCCCCAAAAATAGATAAAAATCAAGATAAACCTTTTATTTCATCAACAAGATATACTTTTTTTAAATCAACCAAAATTTCCTTTGTACAATTACAATATTGAGAGACTTAAACATGTTGTATGTTGTTTTGTTCAAAACAGGTTCGGAAAGATGTTTCATTTCATTCTGAGCATATAATACCAGAAGCAAAAGAAGTGTTTGATGTGTTTTCTAAAACAATATTGAGAAAAGTATATACATTTTTTCAAATGTTATTGTTAACATTCAAAAGATGACCATTAAATTGACGATATGTAATTTTTAGAAATTTTTGACGACTGATTTAAGAGAAAAGTGTGTTCAAAATGTTCACCATATCAAAACCAATCCTTTACAGGTTCTCCTAAATATCCAGGATGTCAACTCTTCAGTCCATATGGAAAGGTTAAACTTGTGACTAGGATAACAAAAAGGTCAATCTTTCTAATTTTCACATATTTTGTTATATATCAGATAGACATTGAAGTTCTGCCTAAATAAAATCTGGCTGTTCTTGGATTTTAAAGTGTTATGTAAAGATGATAACTTAATGACTATTAGATGACTCTTCCACCTACACCAGTCCAGTCTTTACCATTAAACATGCAATAAGAGAAGTTAATATACAGGGTGGTCCAAAAAAAGTGAACCCCTGCAACAGGCAATATTGTCCTTAATACTTGCATGAATAGACTCATATTATCACATGTTGTAGAAAAAGGTCTAAAATTTTGGTTGATGCCATAATCTATTCTCTGTCTTAAATTTTGAAGAAATCACATCTAAATGAGGTTTTATGTAGGATTCATCCTCAGTGTATATTGCTATCAACTCATAAAAGAGAATGGATCAAGATGAATCTTGAATGATTAAAATTTACTTTAAAATAGTTTACATACTTTAACATAGAGATCTCGAAATGGGAACTGGGGACTGGGGACCAGCTTAGAAGATACATACAAATACATACATACATATAGCATATAGATATCTCAAACTGGGAACTGGGGACTGGGGACCAGCTTAGAAGATACATACAAATACATACATATTATATATAACAATATAGATATCTCAAACTGGGAATTGGGGACTGGGGACCTTCTTAAAAGATACATACAAATACATACATATTATATATAGCAATATCTCAAACTGGGAACTGGGGACTGGGGACCAGCTTAGAAGATACATACAAATACATACATACATATAGCATATAGATATCTCAAACTGGGAACTGGGGACTGGGGACCTTCTTAAAAGATACATACAAATACATACATATTATATATAACAATATAGATATCTCAAACTGGGAACTGGGGACTGGGGACCAGCTTAGAAGATATATACAAATACATACATATATAACATGTATACAATACACATTTACATATTACATATTACACATTTACATATGCATATTCATAGATATCTCAATGTAGGATATTCATGAATTATTGTTATTTAATTAACATATTCTCTGCCAACTAATAAATTAATTGTTATGTATCTACTGTAGTTCTATATATGTATCTAGTCTATCTAATTAACATATTCCATGCTTGTATATATATCCTACATATATATGAATACATATAATAATGTATGTATCTATCTAATTTGCATATTCTGTGATGGCATATAATATATATATGCATGAATACATAGATATATGTATTCATATGCATACATGTATCTATCTAATTTGCATATTCTGTGCTGGTTTACATGGCCCATAAGCCAAAAGTTCACAACTTTGCTTCGTGAAATATTCTAAGTCCAAGAATGTAAAGGAATATGGCCAATGTAAAGCTTTTTGAAAATACATGCCTTGAAAGTTATCAAGTATATATCGTAAAATATTTTAAGTCCAAGAATGTAAAGGAAAATGGTCAATGTAAAGCTTTTTGAAAATGCATGCTGTAAAATTTCACTTCTATAGATCGTAAAATAATCTAAGTCCAAGAATGTAAAGGAATATGGCCAATGTAAAGCTTTTTAAAAATGCATGCTGTAAAATTTCACTTCTATAGATCGTAAAATAATCTAAGTCCAAGAATGTAAGGAATATGGCCAATGTAAAGCTTTTTGAAAATGCCTGCTATAAAAGTTCACAAGTTTACATCGTAAAATAACCTAAGTCCATGAATGTAATGGAATATGGCCAATGTAAAGCTTTTTGAAAATGCCTGCTATAAAAGTTCACAAGTTTACATCGTAAAATAATCAAAGTCCAAGAATGTAAAGGAATATGGCCAATGTAAAGCTTTTTGAAAATCCATGCTATAAAGTTAACAACTTTCAATCGCAAAATAATCTAAGTCCAAGAATGTAAAAAAATCAAGTCCAAGAATGTAATGGAATATCGCCAATGTAAAGCTTTTTGAAAATACATGCCTTAAAAGTTTAAAAGTTCAGTTAGTGGGATGTTTTTAAATTTCTCAACTCATCATTGTAAAGAAAAAAAGCTTTACTTTAAAATGACATAAATTTTTGTCCCTAAATCTTGACATATATATATTCAGCAGTCATCTGAAAATCTGCCAAAAAATATAGCCGAGGTGGCCGCCATGTCAGTTCAACATCTTATGCTTGCATTGTCACCTGTCAATCCAGTCTATAAGATAATTAACTACTGAAACATACATCTTGATAGCACTAGTCCACTCACCCATCACCTCAGAACTAAACTCACTAGACCAGGTGTAAATGAGAATAATCTTCCCCCGGTGAGTATTGTCCTTTGTATTGTATAGTAAAGTATATCATACGGTTCTAGATACCTCTACCGGCAAAAGTATTTTGGAACTTTTTTTGCATAGACAAATCACAATTCTTGGTACGTGTAATATCCCAACTGACAGTCCCAAATCTAGCTGAGGTCCAATAGCTTCACCTACATGTACACTGTATCATTAAGGCACCAGGCTTTGGATTGCAGGAACAGAGTGTTATATTAATAATTCCCCAAAGTCACACTTTCCCCAAAGTCACACTTTACATGTATGTCACCTCATAGTCTCTCTTTTTTGCGACAGTAACTCTTTGTACTATCACTTGAAAGTGATAGATCTAAACATCTGACAAGTCTAGGGGAGAGGGATCTAAACTTAATCTATTCTTGTAGACTTTGATTCTTCATTTAAAAGTGTAATTTTACCATCATTAGGAAAATTTTATATGAAAGGTCAAGAAATCAAATAGAGAACAGATAATAATAGTTGTATACATGTACGATATATTAAACAAGTGTAATTATTTTAAAATATACTGTGCTCATCCTATCTCACATTTATTTTTCAGTCCAAGACAGCTTCCCACAATGGACAAGTCTCCAATTCAGAACCAAAATGCAATGCGGCTCAGAGTTAACAGAGTGGCTCTGATACAGGAACTGAAATATGAACATATCATAAAGTATCTTATCCAAAATGATGTACTGGATGAAGAAGACAAAAAGAAAATAGAAAAGGGTTCAACAGCAGGTGATAAAACAAGAATCATGATTGATATTTTGCCAACTAAACCAAAGGAAACGGAATGGTATAAACACTTTAGGCAAGCTTTGAAAACACCTGAAGCTGGGTTACAGTACAAGAAAAAATACAACATCCTTGTAGAATTTCTGGATAACACAATTATTGCCTCAGCCAATTCACCAATTAAAGCACCTGAAAAGAAACCTAACAGTGGGGATAAAATGAAACTTCCCCATTTTAATCCACTGCCAAGTATCCAAACACCAATGTGTAATGGACAAGCTACACGATCGGGCAATGTCCAGTCTAGAAGCATGAGTGAAGCTTCAGGGAATCAGAACAGTAGATCCAGGGTCAGTTTTAACATAGGCATAACTCCCTCTGAAGAAGAACCCCTGATGTTCTCAATGCCAAATGATATGCCAGCTGGTGATGAGAAAGGGATGAGAGAATCTGTTGGATCTGGTTTTGACAAATCATCACAGGGTGACTCTCCAAGGAAAACCCTTGTGAAGGGTTTCTATCATCGCTGGCTACCAACTCCTGAAAACTTCAAATCTCTCATAGAAATACCAGAGGAACATTTTAAACAGCTAGAAAAGGGATCAAATGGTGATAAACATCAATTAGAAAATGAATACCAAGTACTAAAAAAGGTACAAAATCTTGAAATAGTTTTTGCTTTAGAACGGCGGAACCAGCTTCCAGAAGGGTTCTCAATTTGCATGTGTAGCGCTGTTGAGGACATCCTAAATGACACCAAGAATTTCCATCTTTACGTGAAATACTTCAATCATTTTAAATCCAGAGCCTATATGGACATCCTTAAGGAAATATCAACTGAGTTTTGTCAATTTGTACAACAGTTACCAAGTGCTGAAGAAGAAGAAACAAGAAACCATATCTCGGAAATGGCTTTCAATCTGGTTGATCTCCTGACTGAGTATGGCTACTACAACACATGCGAATCAGTCATAACTTCTCTAATTGAGTTTCTAGCATCAAATCCTAACATTGAAACATGGATGGTCACCTACCACGCTTACATGCATCTCATGAGCATCAGAAACAGAAACTTTGAATTCACAATGGCTGAGCATGCATTGAATGTCGTGCAGCGTTATGTTACACAGATTGAGTTGATGTCATTTGGACAGGACCTTTTAGATCAAGGAGAGGAGTTCCTGGAAACCAGCGTATTGTTACGTGAACAAGGGAGCGTTAATCCAGCATTCAACTGGGCAAATAAAGCCATGCAAGTAAGTCAACAAAATGTTGTTACTATGACAATGTAATAGACCATGGGATAAACAGCATCATTGAATCTATTTTGAGTCATTTTGACTTTTAAGGTCTGTAGTATACTGTTAACACAAGATTCAATGGGAGTATATTTAATATAACTGATAACTTCATGAAGTTAAGAAATGGACTATCAATGTCTACATGAGACATTTCTTGAGGCGATACATCACTTCTTGAGGCGATACATCACTGTGTTGGTGTACTATGAAATAATTATTGGCTATTCATTGTCCAATCAGAATATGGTATTTCAACTGAGATATTAATATTTGTATTTTGTAGGAAGTTGAGGAAGACAATGAGGAAACCATTATGAACACTCTCTTTAATGCCACACAGGCTTACTGTGCCAAATGGAATACTAAAAAAGCTGAGGAGCTTGCAATTCACACTGTACAACAGGCCAAGTAAGTGTGGCAAAACCAATGTTTCTTTTCCATATTGATGACACACTACCAAATCGTTTGTCATCTTTCTTACCAAATCTGAATCACTATAGGCAATCATGATCTTGACGGAACTTGTTTCAATTTTAGAATATTTTGGGCTCATATCATTCCTTGTCATGTCTATTTTTACAATTCATAATGTATTATTTTTCTATTTTCATTGTTACCATTTTATTCTCTCATGCTTTGGAAAAATTTTAACAATTTTTTCCCAACTTCACCAATTTATAACACATCATGGATCTTTTGGAAGATAATATATTTGAGATTGTATGGAATATATTGGTAGGTCAACTGTACATGTTGCTTGCAATTTTGTCAACCCTACGGATCTGATTCTACCTTTAACTGGTATATAAAAATCAAATGAAATAAACACAAATTCATTGATCAGTTTTTGTGTTTTAGGAGTATGTATGGAACCAACCACCCACTATATGTGAAGGCCCTACTGACATACTGTCACTTCTCTAATGAGTTCAGACAGGACAACTTTGGTGTAGAAGTTGCACAGGTAAAACTTATCCTTAAAATTAGCAAGTAAAATGAAACCAGATTTTATAAGGTTTCTCCTAGAGGAGGCCACAAAAGGAGACTATAATTCAAATAACAGTGATAATATGTTTGTATTAAATGATTCTATTTAGCATGAAATTGAAACGCGATGGGATATCTTTGGAGATTTCATTACCTACACCCCCACCATAAATTTGGCTACCAGATGCCCTCTTTATAGAGTGCATAAAATGGTGTTAATGTTCTTAATTTTGCTCCTAAATGACAATAGGTCAGATTTTTGACTTTGACGAATGTGTCCACAGTCTAGTTGTCAAACTTTTTGAGGGTAGTGTAGATCATATGTTCTTCCACAATATTACATCCACATCAATTTAAAATTGCTGAACACCTGTCTATTATCTTTTAAAATGCTCATAAGATTGTTTATTACAGGAGGCGTTGTCAATAAGTGAGAAGTTGTACCAGGGGTCCAGTGTATTCACCGCTCACTGCCACCGTGTCTTAGCAACTGCACTCATGGCTGCTGGTGACTATCACAACCATAAATTCCATGAACATGCCTTTCAAGCACTGAGAGTTGCTATGGATGTCCTACCTGCCTCACATTTGGCGATATTCAAACAAACATTAGGTGAGAATTTTCGTTTGTTAGGGTACTGTACTATAAATATATAAGCTCTACCCTTTTTAAACAATCTAGTTTAGTTTCAAACAACATTAACTGTCCTTCATCTGTAATCAAATAATTGATAAATATTAAATGTGTTACATCATATTTCAAAGGTTAAAATTTGGGTTTTATTTGAATTGAAAAACCTAGATGATGAGCTCTTTCAAATTAGTGTTATATACTGTTTTACAGCAAGGGGATTACAGTGCAAGGCAGAACTAGTAGAGCAAGCAGAGAGACATGGCTTGCTCTTGGAGGCGGAGTCTTTAGCCAGACAGGCACAGAATCTCATTAGTTCACATTATGGAGACATCAGTATTAAATCTGCACAAGCTTATATACTACAGGGGACTGTCAAGACAAAGATGGGGTAAGTGCTTTTTGTGTGTTTGTTTGTTTGTTCAGGTCTTCGTCCTCAATTATCTGACATAGAAATTTCTCTCTCACTCTCAGCATTTTGTTTTTGACACTGAGTGCATATAACAGCCTGATCTGATCAGGAATATTACAATATTGATTTTGTAGTTGGAAAATGCACAATTTTTAACAATACAATACACAATTTGTAACCACACAATGCACAATTTGTAACCACACAATGCACAATTTGTAACAATACAATACACAATTTGTAACCATACAATGCACAATTTGTAACTATACAATGCACAGTGTATGCACAATTGAATGAATATTCATAATGTAGATTGCACGCCAATACACAATTAGGTAGTAAGCTAGCTCCCAAAAATGTATTAGTTCGTGAACAAATTGAAATTACTTATTTCTTATGTATTTTTATGTGATACTTCAGAAAAATTTTGTCTGACGCGCCGTATCCGGGGCGAAAGTTGTCAAATTGTGGTTTTCAACCCTAAAATGGAAAATTACAGGGGGTACTTTATCATCATTGAATAAATCATTCAGTTGGTCTTCATTCATCATAATAATTTTATGGGGAGTTGATTGGATCATGCTGAGGTAGTATATTAAGTTTCAATTGTCTGTCACACATGGTTGCCATGGAAACCACAATTTTCGTTGAAAAATCCTTAACTTTGGCAAAACCTGTACATGTATATAATATAGAATGTGGATTATTTTTCAAATTAACAGATATCAGAATATTTTAGCAAACCCAAAATGGCCAGGGAAGTTCAAGCATTTGTTTAAGCATAAAGGATATTACAATTTATATAATTGGTAAGTGTGAAAGACCATACTACTACATAAGTGATCAAAAGTGGGCGTCGCCCCCATAATAGTAAATGATTACCATTCTCCAAAAATACAGAGATTAGCTTGACTTTTGAGATACATTTATATTGAAGTTCTTTGAATATATTTAATATCATGCATTCCTGGTAAATAATGTACATCTAAGTGTAAAAGTTATTGCATGGGGAGCGGGCGGGGGGGGGGGGGTATTTGGAGGGGGCAGAGCTAATCAGCCTTAAGCATATCTCATTAATATAGTTTTGGATTTTCATAGGTTATATATTCTGGGTCTTCTTCCTTTTCATTTCAATATATAGATACTACATTTTACATGATTGGTGTAAAAGACCATACAATTACATAAGTGATCAAAAGTGGCCGTTGCCCCCATAATAGTAAAAAATAAATGATGACCATTCTCTATAAATACAGGGTTGAAGTAAACTTTTTGTTAGATATATATATTTATTTAATCTGAAAACTATTATGCTAAGGGCTGATGTGAAAAAGACACTCCACACCCACAACCTCCCGATTACATGTCAGGTGCTCTATACCACTTGAGCTACGGAGCCGACTGACTCTTTCAGTGAGTTTTATAGTTTTTGCATGAGAGGCAGGTTGGGAGAGGGGGCTAGTAATAGAAACTGGAAGGGGGCAGAGCTAATCAGCTTCATGTATAAATTTCATAATACTTCGTTCTGGATTTACTAAGGAACATGTACATCTTCTAGGTCTTCTTCATATTCATCTCAATATATAGGATATTACAATAAACATGATAGGTAAGTGACCAAACAATTACATAAGTGATCAAAAGTTGCCTCAACAACAGTATATGGTTCATTCTCTACAACTTGAGTTTTAAAATCATCCAGTGATCTCCCCAGGATTTTTTCTCAGGTTGGTACAAAATTTTCATTTTCACAATTCAGACCTAAATTGGTCAAAATATGCCAATTTTTCATGATTTTCTCATTTTCAAGTGGGTGCATATGGATTTTCAGGTGGGTGCAAGCCTATTTTCAAAATCTCAGCTGGGTGCTGCACCCACTTGCTTTAATGCTGGGGAGATCACTGTCATCTATAAGTCTTAACTTCTATTATTTAAGAAATATAGACTGAAGAGCAGGTGTTATATCGACAAATACACTCCATATGGCTAGGCAAGGTAGTGAGGGGTTCGAAAGCTTTTGTACCTAGCCCTAAAGGGTCACTGTCAATCTCACGCCTGCTCTGAGGTCTATATTACAATTCAAACATGAAAACTCCCCAAAATACAGACTTGGAAGGAAGTAGAGCCAGTGTTTGAGCTCTACTCCCTCCCAATTATTCTGTTACTACTCCCAATCTAGGGCCTGGCATAATTTATGCAGCCTTCCTAGCACTTATACCTTCGCTAGATGAAGTAAGTGCCATGCTTTGAAGGGGCAGGATAGCACATTTTAAAAAGATGGAGCACCATATGAGTCGCAGCTGAATGACTCAAATCTGCAAGTGTTTAGTGGTATTCTCTCTTAAGATATTGTTGATATATCAATATCAGGCGATAAATCAAAAGAATGAAAATGATCAGACTATGAGAAGGCTCATCTATAGTTGTTATTGTATTGCCATCACTAGACATTCTGATACTCATAGTATCTTTCTGTTTCAGGGCTAGGAAGAATAAAGTGTCATGGTTTATCATGATGATCATGAAAGGATATGGCATTTCCCACCTGCTACACAGTAGATTTTTCTTGGCATATTCTGGTCTTATTCAATTAAGTGTAACTGGTAAAGTTGCTTCTTGTTTGCATCCGTATTCATGAACTCATTCCAATCTTAAGGGACTCATGTACTACATTTGATATTTCCTACATTTCTACATTTGAGGTGCCACCACCCTCATCTTCTCTTATCAGGTTACATATTTTCTGCCAGCTCCAGAAACAAAACAAGCCCATCAGAGAATCCATTAAATTCAGCATTTGCATCACATCACAGTGTATATAGAGATTATTTACCAGGAGGGATTCAATATGTTTTTTTCTGAGGGACAGTATAATATTTCCTTAGGGCCTATATGGGCCCTGAGAGGGTAATATTGTCACAAGGAATAAACACAATTTCAATCCATCTCATTCATATATGATTACCAAAATTATGTAGCGAGGCAATATTTTCCCCATCTCATGTGCATTTTAAAGATTACATATCTTTCATTTATAAGTCCTTCAATCAATGTGTTAGGATAAGCACAGAATACAGCAAAGTGTAGTGCTGGAGACACAAAAGAAGACTGATTAATATAAAAAAGCATTTATGTTAAGCCACAATGTCTTACACCAGCAAAACCAGATAAACCAATTGAAATAGAAGTTTAGACCCCATACTAAAACAATCAAAGACTATGAAGGAACCGACATTAGTCTTCTTCCACCTTGTCAAGAGCTTACTACAAAGCACTTATCGTGCATATGGCCCATATCATAAATCCTGACATTCCAGCAGGAGACAGACACGGATGGAAACTGTATGACTCCACCATTGCATTGATTATCAACTGATATTCTCCTTCAAAAAATTGTTGATATAGCACCAGGAGATGAATCAGAAAGACTCCAGAAGATGTATCTTATGAAATCCAGAACTCTGGAGATGAAATTGATACTTAATGCTGACTTGTTCCCCCACCCCTCCGAATTCTGTTACTACCCCCCTCCCATACAATAAATATATACAGTATATTGAGATAACTAAGAAGACCCAGAAAATACTCTATGATTAAGGCTGATTAACTCTGCCCCCGCCCAATACTGTTACTAGCCCCACCCCTCCCTCTGCCCCCCCCCATGCAATAAATATAACACTTAGATGTACATTATTTACCAGAAATGCTTGAAATAAAATATGATCAAATAAGTTTAGTGTAAATGTATCTCAAAAGTCAAGTTAAACTCTGTTTTTATAGAGAATAACAATCATCTACTATTATGGGGGCGACGCCCACTTTTGATCACTCATGTCATTGTATGTTCTTTGACACTGACCAATCATGTGAATTGCAATATCCTTTATATTTAAACAAATGTTTGAACTGTACTGATTATTTTGAGTGTGCTAAAATGTTCTGATATCTATTGATTCGAAAAATAATCTATATTCTATATGATGTACATGTTCAGGTTGTGCCAAAATTAAGGATCTTTTCAACGAAAATTGTGGTTTCCATGACAACCATGAGTGACAGACCATTGAAATTTTACATACTACCCCAGAATGATCTCCTCAACTCTCAACAAAATTATCATGATGATTGAAGACCAACTGAATGATATATTCAATGATGATAAAGTACCCCCTGTAATTTTCCATTTTAGGGTCGAAAACCCTATTTTGACAGTTTTCGCCCCGGATATGGCGCGTCAGACAAAAATTTTCTGAAGTATCACATAAAAATACATAAGAAATAAGTAATTTCAATTTGTTCACGAACTAATACATTTTTGGGTGCTAGCTTACTACCTAAATTGTATAAATTCATCTATATCAATAATTGCACTGCATATATTATAACACATATTCTCTCTGTTTTACAGGGATGAAGAGAGGTAAGTTTAAACACTAACTTTTACTAATATCAAAAATACCTTGTGTCTTCTCTAAGTATGTAACAAAGTCATTTCCAATGATAATTAGTATTATTTGAATTATCCTATATAGATGTTGTATCCGTAGTACTGAATAATATTTTGTTAATTGAAAAAGCAGATTTTAATACAATTGATATTATTGTTGGTGAAAATACACTCATGAGTGTCAGGGCAATGGTATATAATATTTATATTACTAACTTAGGGATGAAGAAGGAGAAGTGTTAATGAAGCAAGGCTTGCAGATGCTGCAGATATGTACATCTCCCCAGAGTAACTATCAACTCATCATGAAAGGCACACTGGGGACCTTCTACAAGCAGAAGGACTGTCCACTTGAAGCCATTAATCTACTCACTCAAGTGGTTAATTCTGTTGGTAAGAAGAATTGCTATGAAATACATGTAAACTTCATTTGTACAAATATTGTTTGACGTTGTTCACTGGTCATCACACTTTTCAATTCAGTTATAATGATGTGTTGCAGGGGAGTCAAACCATATTTGAAAAAGGGGTGTGCTTTTCCAGAAAATATAGGTGGTGCAAACGCATAAAGCATTTTCTCAAGGATTTGGAAAGGAATTTAGGCATCTAATTCCAAAGCATGAAAGAAACTTCAGCTCTTGGAAATCCAAGATGATCTCATTTAGGGAATCATGAATGTTAAACTGGGGTGTAGCACTTCACCATTTCATTTCTAAAATAATTCCAAAAACAGTACTTCAGTGTCATTCTTTTTCCATTCTTTATACACATCTCCATGTTTTATTTCAGACTCTAACGGCGTATACCTGAAATGGGCCCACACATGTTATGACAATCTTATAGAACTTCTCAAGGCCTCTGACAGGCACACAGAAGCTGAAGAGTACCAAGCTAAACTCATTGACTGGATGGCCGAGAATCCGAAACTTGCCAATATAAGCTGGGAAGTCTTAAATGAAAGTCCAAAACCTTTCAAAGACTTTCTAGAGAAGTTCAATCTATTTAAAGCCAAGCTTGGTAAGGTTAAAGCAAGTCTGAAAAAATTGATAAAGAAAAAATAGTATGCTTGAATGAAATTAGGGAAATTGCAGGCTGAGAGGTTTCTTCAAGATGTGGCAGGACCATTTCACACCTTAAGCAGCCGTTTTCCATGTAAAAGTTGCTTTACTGTATTAACGATTAACTGGACAGTCAAATAACCCCCCCCCCCCTCTGCTGTTTCAGAGAATTATTTGCAAGAAATAATATATCAGCACATTTTAGTAGATTCAGAGTCAAAAACAGAAAAGTTTGGGTAAAAAAGCCAAATTGACCATAAATTGACCAAAAACCAGTCATTACCAAAAATAGGTATTAGAAATGACCCCCACCCTGGTGGTTAATATTTTGAAATGACTGTCAGGTTTTGGGTTAATTGTTCAGTTATACATAAAAGTGTAATATAAGTATAAAGAAATTATGTGTTATTTTTGTTCGTGTATATACATTTTAATGCCAAAGAAAAATAAATAAATAATTATGAATGAAAAAATATATTCTAATTGTTTCCAGTGTTGATAGTGTTAAGTGTGTAGCATCTACAAAGGACCAGGTATAGTGTGACAAGTGATTTTGGACAGTCATATCTTTCACCATGAATACTTTCTGGCCATAAATATAGTGTTTTTTATTAAAACAATGTTTTCATTCAAGAGAAGCCCCCATGATAATGACTATATCAATCAGACTCTCTGAAAAATTATAACTTTCATTTGTTTGTATTCCATAGGATCAGTTTAAAAAAAGAATTATAGGATTTGGAGCCCACCTTTCCACTTTTTCAAAAATGTTATGCTTATATATTATTATTTAAAGAGGATCTAGTTTTTCTTCATTTAAATAATGTCAAAACTCTCTTCTACATTATACAACAAATTCTGGAAAGGGATGGCTACCGAAATGTGATAAAGTTAAAACCACATATCTCATGCTATCCATTGTTTTCAGCATAATTTTGGTCATTGAAAATTGATACCTTAAAAGTACACTTTCAGTACCATTCTACTTTTGAACAAGTTTTAGACCCCTTGTTGAATCTTTTCAGCAATAAAAATCAGAGGAAGATCCTCTTTTGAATAAATGGGTTCAACATTTTGAAAAAAATGTTGACATATTCATAATTTTTCGAATTGTTCAATTGATATTTTTATCATCCTTGAGAATTTACTTGAAATATAACATATTTTGTTAATGAGAAATGTCATATTTAAATTGAGAAAGTACTCATGGTAAAACATATGACTAAAATCACCTGCCATACTATACCTGGTCCATTACATGTCATTCACTAGTCAAAAATACATAAGATGATTATTTTTTATAAGAGAAATTCTTTTATTTTTGCATCTTAATGCAAGAAATCAAATCAGAATGACATCACATATTACATTTTACTGTATAGCCAATTCATGACATTATATCCAAGTAGCATTTAACAGGACATTTGCAGTCACAAAACTCTAATAATATCCATAAAAGGACTAATGATCTAGTCACCAATTTTCAGTATCTCAAAAATCACCTCCTTTTGACCTTGACCTTATTTTGCATTCATGGCATAGGAAATGACAATCACTCTAGAAAAAACACTTTTGTAAAAATTTATAAAACCACCTTTATGTTTGGTCAAATCTTTTTGGATCCTCAAAACAGTCACAATATTCAATACAAGCTTCCATAAGAGATTGGATAAATTCACAACTTGTTTATGCAAAGGATAAATCATTGAATTCAGAGCCATATTGTCTGTTTGGGATCGCATTCAGTGTAACATAGATAATAACAAATGCCTAGATTAATGCGCTTTGTACAAATACATATATATTTGAATCAGTCTCGCGTCAGTTCTCTGGATCCCCCAGTCTTATTCACTTTCAGCCTTTGGTGGTGGGGTGTGAAGGGTGGGGGTGGATCAACAGGCTTAAAGCAAGACTAATATTTGAAGGTATATACATGTATATCTCTATGAACCTTTCTACATTCAGAAGTCATATTTGTATAAATATAATTTTGAAGTGAAACATTCTATTATAAAAACCACTGTTGTCACAAATACAAGTAACCATAATATATATAATATACAAGAACACAAACGTGTACAATATGTCCCCACCTATGGGTAATCCTGTCAAATGATTATCCTAAAAATGAGTAGACAAGACTTTACCGACACAATTTGAGGACGGAGAATCCAAAATGGCCATCTTAAAATTTACCAAGAATGACAAAAAATTAGTCAGTTCTAGATTTTCATACTAAGAACCACCCCTGAAAATTTGAAATTGATCCCTCACACAGTTAACCAGAAAACATGTAAACAAGACGTTACAGACAAGATTTGAGGACAGAAAATCCAAAATGGCTGCCTTGACATTTACCCAGAATGCCCAAAAACTAATCAGTTCTAGATTTTCATAATAAGAATCATCCCTGAAAATTTGAAATTGATCTACCAAACGGTTCACCTAAAAACGCGTAGACAAGACTTTACGGGCAAGATTTTAAGACGGAAAATCCAAAATGGCTGCCTTGACATTTATCCAGAATGCCGTAAAAATTATCAGATCTAGATTTTCATACTGAGAATCATCCCTGAAAATTTGAAATTGATCTACCAAACGGTTCACCTGAAAATGCGTAGACAAGACTTTACAGACACGATTTTAGGACGGAAAATCCAAAATGGCTGCCTTGACATTTACCCAGAATGCCCAAAAACTAATCAGATCTAGATTCTCATACTAAGAATCATCCCTGAAAATTTGAAATTGATCTACCAAACGGTTCACCTGAAAACGCGTAGACAAGACTTTACAGACAAGATTTTAGGACGGAAAATCCAAAATGGCTGCCTTGACATTTACCCAGAATGCCCAAAATCTAATCAGATCTAGATTTTCATACTGAGAATCATCCCTGGAAATTTGAAATTGATCTACCAAACGGTTCACCTGAAAATGCGTAGACAAGACTTTACAGACAAGATTTTAGGACGGAAAATCCAAAATGGCTGCCTTGACATTTACCCAGAATGCCCAAAAACTAATCAGATCTAGATTTTCATACTAAGAATCATCCCTGAAATTTTGAAATTGATCTACCAAACGGTTGACCTGAAAACGCGTAGACAAGACTTTACAGACAAGATTTTAGGACGGAAAAATCCAAAATGGCCGACAATAAAAAAGTGATTATGAGTTTTTGCTGAAATCTTTTTACAAAATTATCACATATACCTACTGTTAACAATAACATAAGCTTTTACAACAAAGTACACCTGAAATTATTTATAAAGCTACTAAAAAGTTAAAGCATGAAAACTGAAAAACACCATTCAATATGATACAAAGTATTATCGTGCGCTAACTTTTCTTAAAACATTCAAAATGGCTGACATGACTGAGCTAACAGGTCCAAAACCTAATCAGATCTAGAATGAAGTGAGCTGAACAAGATGTTAAAGTTTTAAAAGCAACTGTGAAGCCGTTTTTCTTAAAGTTTGCAGACAAGGATTTTAGCATTTGACTTCAAAATGGCCGACAGGAAGTAGGTATCGAGTTAATTTTTTTTCATCCACATCTGCATGCACTCATAAATTATCCCTGAAAATTTGAAGGTGATATCTGCAGCGGTTTTGGAGAAAACTCCCGGACGTACGGACGGACAGACAGACGGACAGACAGACGGACGGACAGACGGACGGACGGACAGACGGACGCGCCTAGGCCGACAATATGGCCCCACACTATGTGGTGGGGACATAATAAAACGATTCCATTTTTCTAATTTTTATTAACTGGAGATTGCATCTGCTGTTTTTGATCAAATCAAATATGCAAGATTTTGGTTAATGTAAAGATTATTTCAAATTCAATTTTTATCCTCTTGTTTCTTAAGTTTTGATTTTATTTTGATGAAACCCCTAAACGTCGCTAACATTCACACGGTCTAAGTACAAAACAGAATATACATGTACTAGCAATGCAAAACTCAACTATATTTTGTTTACAATTTTCAGTTATGGCCCAAAACAGGTTTTCGTTTATTCACCACTTAGCAAAACATATGTTGTGAAATGTCAGATATAATATATTCAATATATATTCAATACACATAACAATTATTTTGTACAAAAAATAAAGTGTCACAATAATGTGTTAACTGATTAATGACTTTACTGTATTTACAAAGTGTAGTCATGACAGTATACCTCTACAAAATGTCAACTCAGTGAAAAATCTAATATAGAGAAATAAACACTTCAGCATTTGAACTTCCCTTTTATATAACACACTGTAGATAATGTCTGAGTGGTAACTCATGAACACATGTTTAGAGATGCTATGTACAAGAAATTATGATAAAATGATATGATGAAACTTAATTAGTTACAATATGAATAATGGCAGTGCGTCGTGACATTCACATCTATTTTACAAAGGTGAATTCTGTACATTTATTTACAAAATATGTTTAAATCTATATAATGTAAAACATACACTGTGTACCATATAGATGAGAGAGTAGTTATGAGCAATCAGAATTTTATGTTATTTGCCTCTTAATTTAACACACAGATCCACTTGTTGCACATAGATCCACATGTTGCAAACAGATCCACACGTTGCACACAGATCCACATGTTGCACACAGATCCACTTGTTGCACATAGATCCACATGTTGCACACAGATCCACATGTTGCACACAGATCCACACGTTGCACACAGATCCACATGTTGCACACAGATCCACACGTTGCACACAGATCCACATGTTGCACACAGATCCACACGTTGCACACAGATCCACATGTTGCACACAGATCCACATGTTGCAAACAGATCCACACGTTGCACACAGATCCACACGTTGCACACAGATCCACATGTTGCACTATAGATCCACACGTTGCACACAGATCCACATGTTGCACAGTGTATGTTTATTCTAACATAACCAGCATGTTGTATAAGCTCAACCTATTATTATATACTGCAAATCTACACACATATACAAAATTGCACATTATATTTTGAGGTAAAACCTCCTTTACCATGTTAACTTCCATAACTATATTCAGCTACATGTTTTGCTTGCTTAAGGAGCCATTTCAAAACACAATGAAACATATCATTTCACCATTTCTAATCTAGAATCCCATACTTTATTAAGGACTCCTCTTGTTCAAGAACCTTCTCATACGGAACCCTTTCATTTTGGAACCTTCTCATTCAGAGTCCATTCCTCATAAGAAGTCTCATTCTGGAACCTTTTCATTATGACCCCTTTCGATAAGGAATCCTTATCAACAAACCCCCTCATTGAGGAACCATTTTATTAAGGAACCACTTTACTAAGGAACCTTTTAATCATTGAACCCTCATGTTATTTCTACTTTATACTCATACGAAACATCGTAAAAAACATGGGTATTAGCTACAACATCCAAATAGTTGTAAAACGCACTTGGTGCCTCTTGGTAGCGAAATATAAGCTTACATTGAGCAGACTGAATTGTACTGGACAACATACTATATTAATAGCTCATCTTGGCTAGGAATAGTTCCCATTTGTTATCTTATAATACACAAATATAAAATTCAAATGATAATATCTGATCCTTTCAAAAGATAATACTTTATCCAAAGGCTTCATAAGGAGAAAAGCATGATCACAAATAGAAATCAGGCTTTTCTACATTTCTCTGTTCTTTTTATGGGAAATAATTTTATATCCTTTGAACTTTATCTTCATGGATTAGTTGCCATTTTATGTTGACAACATACAAAAGTTTGATATCACAGATAAATAGCACATTAGTTTGAATACTAATACATCAGTTGAACACATATATGTAATGTACTGCAAAAGCTTTGTACATTGATTATAAGTAGCATTTGTATGGTGTTCACAAAGCCTACAAGTACAACATGTTTTGTGATAATAACATCCATAACACCATGCTTGATTTTATCTTTTCCTTCTAGAATTCTAATATTATCTGAATCCTTTCTCTTTTCCAGTGTCCCAATATAGTACATAGTGACACCACATTCCTACACAAGGTGACATCATGTCACAATACAGCACATGGTGACATCATATTCCTACACAGGACAATGTCATGTCACAATATCATACATGGTGACATCATATTTCACACATTGAGATATCAACAGGAGTAGATACATTTTTATTGTATATGTAAGCGATGTCATGTCATCATTTTTTAATCTCATCATCTTTGTGAAACACAACTGTCCTCAGTGTTTCACTGTACTGTACTGTGCTGTACTGTACTATACTGTACTGCTGTACTATACTGTACTATAATAGTATCAGACTGAACTGTATTTGTTTCAATTCCACCAACTCCACCTTTACTAGCACTTGTGGAGAATACAGGGTTTTATGTCTCTTGAAAATGCAACATATCTCACATTTCAACCCTTAAAGTCAACTGTAAGTGAGAGAGGACTAATTTTAGCTCAATCAGTTAGTATCAGTGTCAAGTTTAGCACATCTTTGGCAACATAGTTTGTAAATAGTGGGTGGATGAGAATTTCAGAGCAGAAATTCACTGGTAAAGGTCTTCATTATAAGTGGCCAAACTTGTCCCTCTTATCCTTCCAAGAGCCTTTCCGTAATATACTTTGTTTCACCTTTGTAGTTTGTTTTTCTGCCGATCGTGGATGGAGTCTGTCAGGGGAGAGTGCCCTGCGTAAGAGTGGCGACCCAGGCTCACAGCTCTTGGGGCGGTTTGCAAGTTTCAAGGAGGCACTCCGTTGTGCAGGGGACACACTCTTTGATTTGTCTAGTTTTGATGTTGTTTGACCTTGACTTGCATTCAGGTAGGCTGGGTAGCTTTGTGTAGTGTTTGATATGCCAGGTGTGACGGTATGGTGATGCCCATGCCCATGGCCATGTTGATGTGGGTGGCTTTGTTTATGTGCATGTACATGAGCATGTGGGTGGCCATGTGCATGACTTGTGTTCATAGTGAGAGGACTAGGACTCCTGGTAGGTGACGTTGCCATGGGGGAGGGTGAGGGTGTGCGCGCTAATGGTGACAGCGGAATGTTGTGTACAGATTTACGCCTATGTGGCGACTTTAGGCTGTTTGCTGCGTGCACTAACTTGTGCTTGAGTCCATGTAGGGAGCTTGGACGACTGTACTGTGAGGAACTGGCTGGAGAGTTAGGGGCGCTAGAGCTTGGTGAACTACTGGTGCTGGAGTTGGCCGTAGAGAGGGGCGAGTCTGATAGAGACCACCTACTGGTAGGGGGTGATCGGGGAGACTTGGATCGCGTAGGGGAACCAGGGAGACTTTCATTGGATGATAGAGATCTGTTTAATGAGCTAAAGCTGCGACTTGAAGTCAGACCAGATGCACTGGCAGCATGACTATATTGTTCCGCCTTCCGATTGCTCAAACGACGAAACAAAGATGTCCGTCGCTTATCAGTACTACTTCCTGTGCGTCTGTGTTTCTTTTTCTGACTCCGTCGTGCCATTCGTCCAACTGTGTTCCTCTTGCGACCACCAGATTTGATAGTCGTCTGGTCCATTGGAATGGACCTGATTGTCACTTTAGTACCACCAGAAAGGATCAACTGGACCACTTGGACATGTAACAGACCCTGCACTGCCTCTCCATTGACGTGTGTGATTAGATCCCCTTCTCTAAGACCTGCCTCAAATGCTGGACTACCACTCTCAACAGCCTGAAAGATAAATCAAACCATATAACAATGACATTTTCAATACCACATAACTTATGTTTTCTGGACCCTTACAGCTTACAGAGTGATTGAGGCACATCTCTTTATCTTCTTTTTTTACATTTCAAATCAATTGTTTTTCCTGAGTAGGTACATGTACATAGTTAATATAAATATACATGTACATTACTCGTATATGCCATTTTTAACTTAATAACATTAGCGGCAATGACATTTTCTTTTCTCATAAAAAATTAATTTGCAGATAGACCAGTTTTTTAGTTTTAATTTAACTTACCACCACAAGATGGTACAAAGTGTACAGGTCTGATTCTCCCATATAAACTCTGATTGCCCGTAGTGTGAACCCGTAGCCATGAGCTCCCTTACGGATATGTATAGGGGGCTTCAATGAATGAGACCCAAGTATCGGGGCAAATTCTCGGCTGGGTGAGGTATCACGGGAACTAGTGCTGCTACCTGGTGACTGCATGGACACTGGCTGGAAGTCTTCTAAATAAGACAAAAAATGATATTAACCATTTTGAAATTGCGATAAGAAAAATTATTTAGAAAACATTAAAAGATATACAAAATCAATGCTTTGCTCCATAAAGGCAACTACATGTACATATGATAACTTCACGAAAATATTATTGACGTTATATATTTTTTATATTCTAATACAATACAATTCTAAACAATAACAAAGCAACATGAATCATAATTACAATATGTTAATTCAAGTATCATCTGCATATGAAGATCAAATAAATGCTAAAATAATTGCACAATACAGCCTATTAAGGAACAAATACATTCTGTTTTGTAAGATATGTATCGTCAATATATCAAGGGTGCTAGTGCTGTCATCTATAGCCATTATTCAAAACTTTTAAATTTTTAAAGTAATTAAAAAGCAACAGATCATCACGCAACATAACACTGAAATATTACCATAACATATAATACTTTTGAGAGGGGTACTATATTACTCTATGAGGTTTACGAGAGGTCATGCTTAAAAGCATCAAAGAGCAATAAAGCGATATATACCATGAGGTGGTATGAGCAAAGTCAGAGCTGATGCAGAGGCTGACTTAATCACTGGCTTCCCTCGTAATTTCTTCGGTGCTTCGAAAACATCTCCGTAGATGTCATCCTTGTCTTTGGGTGTATCGGGGATATCTTTGGATGGAGTTTTCTCCTTCTCTTCAACGGGCGATAGCTCTGCATAGAAATATAATAGGACAAGCTTAAAGACTTTAGCAGCGTGCAACATGCCAATGACATTGTTGAAAACCAATGTTGCTCTTACTAATGTGAGAAAATGTGGAATGTAAAACATTGAATAAAAAGAAAATACAATACATAATGTGACTTTACATTTTGACAACTCTAAAATCATGAGGCTCAAACTTCAAACATTTACACTTTGACAATTTATGATGTATGATATTTCGTGATATAGATTTGTTGTTCTATATGTATATGATACAAAGATTGCATTTGTCAATTATGCATAACTGACCTAGGGGATGATCTACAAATGAGGGCACTAACTTGTCTAATGTTTATAGATTTAGCAATATTATATAGTCGTTCTGCAAGATACAGACATGCACTGATCGTAATTTGTTAAATTGCATGAAGCCTTCTGCCATGCATCTAATTGAAAATATTCTGATTGTTTTCAAACCGAGGAGCAAATAAATTACAACAAGAACACAAATGTGTACAAAATGTCCCCACCAGTGGGTGATCCCATGAAATGGTTATCCTGAAAATGAGTAGACAAGACTTTACCAACACAATTTGAGGACGGAAAATCCAAAATGGCCACCTTAAAATTTACCCAGAATGCCAAAAATTTAGTCAGTTCTAGATTTTCAAACTAAGAACCACCCCTGAAAATTTTTAATTGATCCGTCACACAGTTAACTAGAAAACATGTAAACAAGACTTTACAGACAAGATTTTAGGATGGAAAATCCAAAATGGCTGCCTTGACATTTACCCAGAATGTCAAAAAACTAATCTGTTCCTAGATTTTCATACTAAGAATCATCCCTGAAAATATGACATTGATCTACCAAATGGTTCACCTGAAAACGCGTAGACAAGACTGTACAGACAAGATTTTAGGACAGAAAATCCAAAATGGCTGCCATGACATTTACACAGAATGCCAAAAAACTAATCAGATGTAGATTTTCACACTAAGAATCATCCCTGAAAATTTGAAATTGATCTACCAAACGGTTCACCTAAAAACGCGTAGACAAGACTTTACAGGCAAGATTTTAAGACGGAAAATCCAAAATGGCTGCCTTGACATTTATCCAGAATGCCAAAAAACTAATCAGATCTAGATTTTCATACTAAGAATCATCCCTAAAAATTTGAAATTGATCTACAGAACGGTTCACCTGGAAATGCATAGACAAGACTTTACAGACAAGATTTTAGGACAGAAAATCCAAAATGGCTGCCTTGACATTTGCCCAGAATGCCAAAAAACTAATCAGTTCTACATTTTCATACTAAGAATCATCTCTGAAAATTTGAAATTGATCTACCAAACGGTTCACCTGAAAACGCGTAGACAAGACTTTACAGACAAGATTTTAGGACGGAAAATCCAAAATGGCTGCCTTGACATTTACCCAGAATGCCAAAAAACAAATCAGATCTAGATTTTTATACTAAGAATCATCCCTGAAAATTTGAAATTGATCCACCAAACGGTTCACCTGAAAACACGTAGACAAGACTTCACAGACAAGATTTTAGGACGGAAAAATCCAAAATGGCCGACAATAAAAAAGTGATTATGTGTTTTTGCTGATTTCTTCTTACAAAATTATCACATATAACTACTGTTAACAATAACATAGGCTTTTACAACAAAGTACATCTGAAATTATTTATAAAGCTACTAAATAGTTAAAGTATGAAAACTCAAAAACACCATTCAATATGATACAAAGTATTATCGTGCGCTTACTTTTCTTAAGACATTCAAAATGGCTGACATGACTGAGCTAACAGGTCCAAAACCTAATCAGATGTAGAATGAAGTGAGCTGAACAAGATGTTAAAGTTTTAAAAGCAACTGTGAAGCCGTTTTTCTTAAAGTTTGCAGACAAGGATTTTAGCATTTGACTTCAAAATGGCCGACAGGAAGTAGGTATCGAGTTAAAAATTTTTCATCCACATCTGTATGCACTCATAAGTTATCCCTGAAAATTTGAAGGTGATATCTGTAGCAGTTTTGGAGAAAACTCCCGGACGTACGGACAGACGGACGGACAGACGGACGGACGGACAGACGGACGGACGGACGGACAGACGGACGCGCCTAGGCCGACAATATGGCCCCACACTATGTGGTGGGGACATAAAAACAGACTTGAACAGAACAATGACAATCTGAATACACTGCAACAAAATTCAAAAGTAACGCAATATGAAAAATAGAGTGCATCCATTGTGTAACATATAAAACAAGATGACTGAAGACAATAAAACATGAAGTAATGTACAAAGGAATGTACAATAACATTGTAATCACCACAATATAGCACCATTTCATGCTGAAATGTTGAAACGAACAAATGTTTTACAATTTATGAGTTTAAAATTCTTCATATTCACAACAAACAAACCTTTGGTTTTCTTGTCTCCTTTTCGTTTCTCTTCCTCATCCATTGATATGGAAAACTTTGGTATGCGACTAGTGTCTTTCATTTGGGGCTTACGACGCCTGACTATCTGTGGGGAGACATCACTCTCACCTTGGGAGGAGTCTGGAGTAGTGAGGCTATGTTGAGATCTTGGAGTACTGGAATACAAACAAATGGAATTGAATACAAACATATGGAATGGAATACAAACAAATGAAATGGAATAGAAACAAATGAAAGTTATGATTTTCTAATGGCATTTGATTAATTGCAATATTAATATAACTCCCTTTTATATCATTTCACTCATACCTTTGAAGGTTGAAACATGCAAATCATATCAAACTAAATGTTCATCTTTAAAATTCATCTTTATTGATTGCTTGATTTAACCTGTGAAACTAATCTTAAACCAAGTCAACAGGGATCAATTTCTCCAAACATCATATGCATACAGATCCACATACCATTTGTTCTTTCTTAGATTTATGGAGTAATTTCAAAGTACATGTAAACAAGAAACTTAAACATATTCAGAGAAATTAATTCCGAGCAAAAATAGGCAAAATATTTTGTCAGAACATATGAAAAATAGATACATACACATCAGGTGAACTGAATGAATCATCATGATCTGGTTTGGCAACAAGGACCCTACTGTCCCCTTCAATGCTCTCAGCCTGACTACTCTTACGAGACAGTGGCTCTTGGGAACTCTCAGATGTATTAGAATCTTTTCGACCAATCGGTTCCTTGCCTGCTGACAGTACTAGATCATCCTTCAGATTCCGTGTAACATCGCTGAATGACCGTTGACGACGTTCCATCTTTGCTCGTTCCTTAAGGTAAGAACACAGAAGGATAAAAAGTGGACGATAATGATAAAAATTATAAAATAATGATTTCATTCCAATATTGTCGAAGCCTAAAGCCATCAACTAATTTTTTTTTACATAATATCAATAAGTTAATATTATGAACCAAAGAGATAAAATAATCTGTTGAATCTTATTTTTAAGTAGTTATTCATATTTTCGAAATACAGTTTGGAGGAAGAATGGTGACAAACTTGCATTTAAGACCCTATAATTACTGAAAATAAAGATGACAAACCTTCCTAATGTCCTCAAACTTGTTACAGACACGACTGTATCGTGGTGACATGGATGAGAAACTATGGAACATAACGTCATCGTCATCATCTGCTGTATCATCAGCAGCCTCAACCTCATGATTGTATCTATCACTACGACCTTGAGAACAAAACAAGAATAAATTAACTAAAATGCATATCAGTCAATAAGACAACTTCACATGATGACATTTTTTAACACTCATTAATTAAATTCTTTGTTACCATTGATATGAAACATTTTTTTGTTACTTGTACAATTCATAAATAACTAATCACAATTTACCTTATTGCCACACTTATTAATAATATTTCAAGAGCCGCTGTCTTGTGAGTACTAAATACACCCTTTAATTGCTAAACTGGACTCCAGAATCATTTTTTATGTAAGTAAAAGTTCTTACTGTCAAAATAACTTGTATCTTCCTCATTTTCAAAACTAGGCACAAATTCCGCTTTCAATCGCAGCAATCCGTCCCAATCAATCTTGATGAAAAATACATGTTCTTTCACTTCCTGTGCCCCTCCAGTGCCAAGGCGATCCAGAGGGCTCTGCTGTAGCAAGTTATTTATGAGATTCTGGGCCTCTTCTGGTGGGGCTTCATCCTCTTCATCTGGGTATTCAATCTCCTCTGCAATAAACATAAATTATGGTAAATCATCTCACCTTTTAAACTGATCCCAGTACCTACAGGTACTTCAAAATCAGCATGGTAACTCATGTAACCGATATACTCAAGTAGTATACCAAAATATGGGAAATTTTATTATCTTCTTTGACATGTAATTTACACCTTTGTTTTTGGAACAAAGTTTTTAATTCAATTTTAATTTGTGTATTTTTTTGGGATGGTCAGCTAAAATCATCTATCGATGCACTGTTTACTTTTGTGTCCTCTCTCAAATGTATTGAATGTTATATTATAGTATTTTCAGATATTTGAAAGCCATGTGTAATAGGCAATTGCATCTACAATTTTGGCCATCAATAATAAAACAGACGGCTATAGAGTTGGCCATTCAACTTACCATTTATGACTTGAGAGAAGAGTTCTTCTGGAGTGTCCCCAAAGAAAGGCACACATCCAATGAGAAACTCATAGAGGATGATCCCCATAGACCACCAGTCTACTGGTTTACCTAAAAACATTACATTATATCATAGTACATGTTGTCTAAAACAGAATCAATAAGATTTCCAGTGATTTCTCTATTCCACACAAAATGTAATATGACAACAAATTCAAGTATTAAAAAATTCAATTGTAATAGTGAAAAAACAAAATATAAAAAGAAATATGTTTTAAATTCTTTTTTAAAAATATTTAATGCAGGTACATGTAGATCTTTTATCTATTTATTTTCATTATGAATTTTATCTTAAATGAAATAACATAGTACAACATTTAATTGGTAAAGATTCTCTTACCATATCCCTGCCTGAGAATGACCTCTGGTGCAATATACTCTGGTGTCCCAAACACTTGCTTATCCTGGAACTGTTTTGTGTCTTTGTCTAAGGAACCCTCATATAGATTGGTTGTCACTGCATGGAAAATAAACAAATTTTCATAAAATAAGTTTAAAAATTTATGAAACGCATATTACAGTAAGTTTTGTGGATTATAGATATGTTAATGTTGATTGAGTTGCAAATAGATGACATTAATGTATCATACACAAACAGATAAAAAGTGATCCAAGCCTTTCAATAAAAATGGAATTTTGATGCACCCACCCTATGCAGCCAAAATTGAACTGTGTTATATCAACAAAAGTAGCATGATACCATCTCATACTGTAACATATTTTAATGCCCCGTACTTCCAAAATATAATACTTGGTACTATACTCCATCACTTCTACACTATACTCAGGCCTGTATGAGTCAGGGGAGTTTGGGGTTTCAAAATCATACAGTTTTTCACCATTCTGAGCATTTTGACCTTTTTTGGGCCAAAGTTGTCACAAGAGAACCCCCTTGGAATATTTTAAAAAGTGAACCCCACTTGATTACGGGCCTGATACTTATGTAAACTTGAAGAACTTACAGTTCATAAGTCCCATCTTAGAGAGGCCAAAGTCTGTTAGTTTTATGTGACCCTCAGATGTGATTAGAAGATTGTCTGGCTTCAAGTCTCGATGTACAATGCCATAGTTATGAAGGTACTCCAGTGCCAGCACTGTTTCAGCAAAATACATCCTGAAATTTAAGGATAAGTACATCTTGAAATATCTTAAATACATCTTGAAATATGTCAAATATGTTGTCACCCAGGGCAATACAATTCTCCCTTTCGCGGTTCGCCCTTTGAATCAGAACGTTCGCAAATATGTACTGAACAAGACACACAGTGATAAATATCGCACTTTGAAGAGCAAACTGGCCACCATGCAATTTACCCAGCATGGCCAAAACCTAATCAGACCTTGGCACTAGTCTGCTCTTGCATCTGTAAACATTTCAAGTTGACAAGGTTAGCGGTTTTCCTGCAATTTTGATGACAAGAATTTATTTGTAGTCTTGAACTTTGGGAAAATTTAGATAACATTGTTTGTGACCTAATTTGATGACCTTCGACCTTGAAAATTTCACTTTTTCAGACCTCAGTAGGTCTTTTGTAATTAGCTGACCTAAATTTAAATCTAAAATATCAATTTAGAAAATCAAATTTTTGACCTTTTCAAGGCCAGTGAAGGTCAACGAAAGGTCAAATCTGAAATCTAAGGTCAGATTTGAACTTCTGAGAGCTTGTAGATGTTTTTTAAAAAAAAAATTGGTCAATTTGGAGCAAGTTGAAAAATTCAAAATGGCCGCCAAATTGAAAAATTCAAAATGGCCACCATGTAATTCAGCCGGCATACCCAAAACCTAATCAGATCTTGGCAATAGTCTGTTCTTGCATCTGTAAAAATTTCAAGTTGAACGGATAAGTGGTTTTCCTGGAATTTTGATGACAAGATTTGTTGAAAAATTCAAAATGGCCACCACGTAGTTTACCCAGCATGCCCTTAACCTAATCAGATCTTGGCACTAGTCTGCTTTTGCATGTGTAAAAATTTCAAGTTGAACAGGTTAGCGGTTTGCCCTTAACCTAATCAGATCTTGGCAATAGTCTGCTGTTGCATCTGTAAAAATTTCAAGTTGAACAGGTAAGCAGTTATCCTGGAAATTTGATGACAAGATTTGGTTTATGTCCCGCCCGCCCGCACGCCCGCACACCCAAACGCCCGCCCAACAGCACAAGACGATGACAATATAGCACTTTTTCAAAGTGCGATAAAAAGCACTCAAAAAGAACAAAAATTTGATAGGTCAATATTTTCCACTATGCATTTCGCGTAGCTATTTGCGTGACCCGAAAGTTCTAAATCAAACTAATTACGCAATTTTGTTTTTACTCGCGCAAGCTAAATAAAACAATGTCTCCATCGGAAGTATTCTTTTTTGTCATTGCTTAAATAGTCAGTATACCGAGTTTAATCAATGAAAGATTGTACAATGAACAACAAAATTCGGAAACGAGTACTATAGATTTGCTTTCGAACCACTGAACAGATTGACCTAGATAATAGCGACGCGTCTTCTTTGGTCTACTGCTCAGTTGTTTGTGGGTTTTCAAAGTAACTCTAAAATGTAATTTGAAGATGAATACTTTTATTCAGTTGTTGCATAGATGTTGCGGTTTGTAGTGCGGTAAGATTGGCATGAAAGTATTGAAAGTCGAATGGAATTGTTTTTTTCCAATATGGTGACTAGTCAACTGATCACGTGACCTTCTCTTCCTGAATATTTTCTCACTTTTCAATCATCGTTTTCACCACGCTATGAATCAATACAATGAAAAAATAGCTGTTATATAAAGATTAATAAGAGATCAATCGTTTCGAACGAATATATCGATTGAAAAATAGGTGTGAAAATCCTCATGTTTAACCTATGAGGGAAAACAAGGAAGTTTAATATAGTTCTTCTTAAATGTGTAAAAAGACATTATGTACAACAAAACATATAAATATTATAGCGCTAATATACAATGAATTAAGATGCATTATACTGCCAACTCTATGATTATACATGATAACCAATACATTGAGAGCAGTCTTACCTTGCCATATCTAAGGGAAGAGGTCCCATATTTTTGAGTAATGTTGCACAGTCTCCTCCCTGTACATACTCTAGCACCATACAAAGATATTTCTGGAATAAAGTAATAGTAGAACTTATTGAACACCCTTGCTGTACATGGTATTGTTGGTGGTTCAGTGGTCACTTGGAATAAACTCTGTATCCAGAACCTCATAGTACATAACTCTTATATGTATACATGTATATCAAAATACTACATCATCTATGTGTACTTATGTACAGGATTGGTAGGATCAAGTACTATGTATCATACATTGTTTTCCTTAAAATGTGTTTGGAGAAAAGCCTGTCCCAAAATCATTATATCCCAATATAATTTACCTTAGTTTCGAAACTGCAATAAAGGCTAACAACAAAAGGGTTGTCTGTGAAGGTGAGAATGTCTCTTTCTGCGAATACTTGATCCACTTGGTTGCGTAGAATGAGATTGTGTTTCAACATTCTCTTCATAGCATATCTCTGTCTTGTTTCTTTGTGCCTCACTAGGTAAACGGCACTGGAATAGCATTTAGATTCTTATATTAAGAGGTTATATTTCTTTGTGCCTTACTAGGTAAACGGCACTGGAATAGCATTTATATTCTTATATTAAGAGGTTATATTTCTTTGTGCCTCACTAGGTTAACGGCACTGGAATAGCATTTAGATTCTTATATTAAGAGGTTATATTTCTTTGTGCCTCACTAGGTAAACGGCACTGGAATAGCATTTATATTCTTATATTAAGAGGTTATATTTCTTTGTGCCTCACTAGGTAAACGGCACTGGAATAGCATTTAGATTCTTATATTCAAAGGTTATATTTCTTTGTGCCTCACTAGGTAAATGGCACTGGAATAGCATTTAGATTCTTATATTCAAAGGTTATATTTCTTTGTGCCTTACTAGGTAAACGGCACTGGAATAGCATTTATATTCTTATATTAAGAGGTTATATTTCTTTGTGCCGTACTAGGTAAACGGCACTGGAATAGCATTTAGATTCTTATATTCAAAGGTTATATTTCTTTGTGCCTCACTAGGTAAACGGCACTGGAATAGCATTTAGATTCTTATATTCAAAGGTTATATTTCTTTGTGCCTCACTAGGTAAACGGCACTGGAATAGCATTTAGATTCTTATATTAAGAGGTTATATTTCTTTGTGCCTCACTAGGTAAACGGCACTGGAATAGCATTTAGATTCTTATATTAAGAGGTTATATTTCTCTGTGCCTCACTAGGTAAACGGCACTGGAATAGCATTTAGATTCTTATATTATGAGGTTATATTTCTCTGTGCCTCACTAGGTAAACGGCACTGGAATAGCATTTATATTCTTATATTAAGAGGTTATATTTCTTTGTGCCTCACTAGGTAAACGGCACTGGAATAGCATTTAGATTCTTATATTAAGAGGTTATATTTCTCTGTGCCTTACTAGGTAAACAGCACTGGAATAGCATTTAGATTCTTATATTAAGAGGTTATATTTCTTTGTGCCTCACAAGGTAAACAGCACTGGAATAGCATTTAGATTCTTATATTAAGAGGTTATATTTCTTTGTGCCTTACTAGGTAAACGGCACTGGAATAGCATTTATATTCTTATATTAAGAGGTTATATTTCTTTGTGCCTCACTAGGTAAACGGCACTGGAATAGCATTTAGATTCTTATATTAAGAGGTTATATTTCTTTGTGCCTCACTAGGTAAACGGCACTGGAATAGCATTTAGATTCTTATATTAAGAGGTTATATTTCTTTGTGCCTCACTAGGTAAATGGCACTGGAATAGCATTTATATTCTTATATTAAGAGGTTATATTTCTTTGTGCCTCACTAGGTAAACGGCACTGGAATAGCATTTAGATTCTTATATTAAGAGGTTATATTTCTTTGTGCCTCACTAGGTAAACGGCACTGGAATAGCATTTAGATTCTTATATTAAGAGGTTATATTTCTGTGTGCCTCACTAGGTAAACAGCACTGGAATAGCATTTAGATTCTTATATTAAGAGGTTATATTTCATTTTAGAAGAACAAGTTATAATAGAAAACTAGCATTATCAGATATATTGTGATATGACAGAGAAGTTTGAACATTTAAATATGATAGAAATGAAAAGACAATTGTTTCTATTCATATTTAAATAATTCCAAACATTCCAATGGGTGGAACCAGCTATGTTCCTTAAAGATATGGATTTGTTCAGATTAATCTAAACAATGTATCATCATGTCTATTGGACTTCTATGACAGTAAGCCTGTAGACTGGATTATTGGATCATTGAACAGGGTTCTTACAACCTCATGAAATAACATGACATTTCCAGGCAATAATATTAACTTAAAGACCTTAAACAGCCTCGTTTTTATCAATTGTTTACTTTTTAGCTCTGAATCGAAACCAAATATTTCTCCGACATCTTATATCATTTCACATTTCCCTGTTACTTCCCGATCTGTAGGACTCTTGTTAAGACGATCAGACTTACCCATATGCTCCATTACTGACAAGTTTTATTTTCTCAAAGTCCTCCTCCGATGGAGTCTTCACTTTAGGTTTGATCATTATCTGGCTCGACTGACTCTGAAATGACACGTGTCAGTTAGTGTCGAACGTGAGACTTGACTGCATATACAGATAAACAATGAATGAATCTTATCTGATTCTGTGTTCATGAGATAACACGGAATTTTACCTGACCCAAGATGAGTATGTAATCATGAGATAACATCATTATGTAATCATGGGATAACGATATCATGTATCCGCATATTGCAACACAAGCTGACAATCAAGTTATGAGGAAAAACATTTAATGAGACAAAACGCAATAAAAATGTTTTTCAAAAATTATCAATACAAAATATGTACTCAATATATACCAAGAATAAAGATGTTGTTAACAAGAGAGCTTTCTTGAATACTTACATCATCTGATTCAAGATCATCCTCATCTGCATCACCCTGGATCTCTACAATAATAACAAAAATATCTTTGATTTAAATGTGGTGGGTACCTATACTAATATACTTCATATAAGGCAATGTTGCTGAGTATTTAATATTTTGGTTCAGCTTAAGAAATGTACAAATTTGTTCACAAATGAAATTAAAAGCACATACTTTAATCACTGCAAAATACTGAACACAATGCAATGCCCATAATTTGATTGGTTACTGACATTCTCCCGATCCATATTCCAACAGAGGATGATAATCAGAGATTAAAATGTGATGACATACCTTCCAAGGGGTCTCTATTTAGGCCCAGTTTACTGATAATGTACTGTGGGATATCAGCTTTAATGATGCTTTTAGCATGACCTTCAGCTGCCTCAAGTAAATGGTAGAATTCCTCAGGGTCAAACTCCTGTTCAAACAAAAAAGATGTTGGAGAATTAACCATCTATTGATCAATAATATCTGAAATTACGTTTCAGAACATGGAATCATCTGGGATAAAATGAAAAAGCTTCTTATACTTGTATTTCAGATGAATTTGTCAAGTAAGGAGTGGCATTAACTTGAGTAATTTACTAATATAATACGAGTAAAAGGCAATGGGACCAACTCATGTAAGAAACTTACCAGACATTCCAAAAGTCGTGCAGGCCGTGAAACAATGATCAGTAATTTCTTAATTAGTTGTTCTATATGGGGCACTGTCAATGGAGATCTGTCTTGAGCCTGAAAAACAAACAGTAAGAGATTATGCACAAGTAAATAGTTTGGAATTATCAACAAGTAAACAGTACAGAATTATGTTCACAAGTAAACAGTACAGGACAGCCCAAAAGAAAGTAAATTGTACAGGATCATTCATAAGTCCAACAATGTCGATACTTTAAGTAAATGATTTCCACAAGTAAACATTACAGATTTCCACAAGTAAAGAGTACAGGATTTCCACAAGTAAACAGTACAAGATTGTCCAAAAGTAAACAGTAAATGATTTCCACAAGTAAACATTACAGATTTCCACAAGTAAAGAGTACAGGATTTCCACAAGTAAACAGTACAAGATTGTCCAAAAGTAAACAGTAAATGATTTCCACAAGTAAAGAGTAAAGGATTTCCACAAGTAAAAAGTACAAGATTGTCCAAAAACAAACAGTAAACGATTTCCAAAAGTTAACATTAAAGGATTTTCACAATGAAGTAATACAGGGTAAATACTCATTGCAGTAAAAAATCAATATAAAGATCACATATAATTCCTCTCGTTGCTGAGTTAATAATATAAAGCGATTTTAAGACTATAATGTATTTCATTGACTGACATTGTATTACCTAATGCTCATTTTTAGTGCACTCTTACTGCTCCAAACACAGTGCAAGCTTACCTCAACAGAATTGTAATATCTACATTTTAAAAAGTGAAATGGATGGTAAAACAAAAAAAATTTGAAATGCAACTCATGAGCGTACTAAGCTGTATTGATCTTACATTTAGATAAATTGAATGAATAAAACATTAAGATCTATCCTAAGAAAACATTCAGAGTGAAAGCCATTCAACTAATCAATCCTGAAGGTGCCCATGAAATATTCATTTCTTAGTGATATGGCACGAAAGATACAATTTCCTGTTAAATTAATCGCATTCTTGCCCTTTAATAATTGGAACTTATTTTCACATGGCTCTAATGGCATGTCTCAAGGTAGTTAAAGGTCAAGGAGAATTCAAGGATTGTCACTGCATTGTCTTCTGTCTGATGTTGAATTGGAAACATAAATGCATATAAAAGCAATGTCTTTTTATTATTACTTTTTGGTTTTGGTTTCACCCTGTAGGAAAACACAAAATACAGCATGTATTGTATCGTATCATATCGTGCAGTACTGTACCTGTACTGAACTGCACTGCACTGTACTGTATCGTATTGTACTGTTTGTATTGTATTGTATTGTATCGTATCGTATTGTATTGTATTGATGATGGGAGCCTTAGTACAACATACTTACATCTGATAATAATTTTTCTAAACTTTCTGAGAATTCATAAAAGTATCCGCTAGACAGCATTTTCTCTTTTGATTTATCAAGACAGTCTCTGGCTAGTTCTAGCACTTGATGGTGGATGAATCGTGCAATACCATCACATTCCTCCAGTTGGTCAAGGGAACTGTTGTTTTCTATGAATGCCTGTAGCCGATCTTCCATCTGCTGTGTAGCCTGGTGAAGAGAAGAAAAATTATGAATTTAGAATGGATTTAAACTATTAAGCCTCTGGTCTATGTTGGTGCGTTGGGGGGATGGCGGGGGGGATGGGTGGGGAACTACTGTTCTCTATGAAAGCCTGTAGTCAAACGATGTGTGAAAATATTCCAATTCTGAGTTGCCAACAACAAAAACTCCAATTAAATACCCAAAAATGCTTCATTAGGACATTTATGTAATGATGGAATATTTAACCTTTAAAGTTTTGGCACTCTCCCGAGTTACCAATCAGAACTGACAAGGCTCTATAGATATTGTTTCACAAACTACTACATGTAGGTCTCACAGTTATACAGCATACTGCCTAGATAACACTCCATTTAAATAAAACATACAGTACATGGAATTCATGTTTCTTATAATTTTTGATGGAACAAATCGTGAAACTTTGTGGGGTGGTTCTGTATGGTATTTCAAGCAATTTTAGTCGCGTGTACGAAGATGTACAAGCCTAATATACAGTACAGAACCTGATATTACAGAATGTCATTACATATTTAAAGAATGAAGGTATCATATATTAACATATCACAAAGTAATCAAGAGTTGTTTTGAAAGAATCACATTTCATATATAATATTTTCTCTACTTATCAAGAATTAATTGTGCCACAGTGAGGACTTGTAAATTTAAACCAGATTCACAAGCTTTATAATAATTCCATTAGTAAGTGGAGACGTGATCACAGACAAACATGATATTACATGTATGTTTTGCTTTCAACATCCAATATCAAATTCTAATTGTAACCACCAGTGAACATGATTGCACTGAATTGTGTTCAGAGAAACGACAGTATTTTTCAATGGTTTAATTTCTTTTGCCTTTGTAAACAAATTTGTACATCTGAGAAAATACATTAACTCATAGAGATTTATTTCCCAGATAAGATACCATACCTGTGAAACTCAATTTTGATTTTTTAACCATTTCTGATTGTTCCTCAAATTGTGGATATGAGATCGTTTTCAGATTATTCTTAAGTACATACCCAGAATAAATGGAATGGTATGAATTTAATAAAGGGGTACAAATATTTGCTCTAACTTACCTTTGGAAATCTTTCCTTATATAGGGCATTCATAACATGTACATCATTCTCCATTCCTGGTGATTTACCTGGACTACTGCAAACACACAAGTAAATATACATGTACATAAGATGTTGATATAAGGTATTACATGTATTATATGTAAGTGATCTTAGCATTGAAACAATTGGGCACTGCATCCAACTTATTGAAACTAGTTGAGAAAGAGGTGTTTGGACAGGCCCGTAGCCAGAATTTTCCAAGGGGGTTCACTTTTCCAAAAAATTCTACGGGGGGTTCACTTTGGTAAATTTGGCCAAAAATCACTCAAAAATAGTCAGAATGGTGAAAAACTGCATGATTTTGAAAGAAATTTTGACCAGGGGGGATTTCGCCTGAGCCCCCCAACCCCTCCCCCTGGATACGGGCCTGTTGGATATACTGGTTTTACTGTACACAGCTAATGTATGTAAGTTGTTTTTAGGGTTAGGGTGGAGAAGTTACACAAATCAGCATTTAAACTGAAAGACATATTTTCAGTATGTTTCAAAACTTTCAAAAATCTTAGAGAAGCAATCAATAACATCAATGGTAATATTTATGAGGAATAGGAAACAATCAAAGTACAAACAAAATACACATCTGGGCATGAAATGGAACGAATAGCAGTAACTCAGAACCATACAAAATATGTCAAAACCACACAGGATATGTAATGTATGTTGTTCTTATAAGGAAATGGTTGCATACACATGCACAGTTACACTCAAAGTGCTGTAATACATGAACAATATAAGCATAAGATTCAAATAAAAGATAGAAACATGCAGACAAGGTCAAAATGTCACCACCTTCTATTTGTTACAGATGCCGAACATCGACCACATAATACCAACCATTGAATGCCTACTGCTGAACACCGTCCACAAAAAAGTTGGAGACTGTAACAATATGTCACAACTTCAGGGGGTGACATAAAAACGATTACAACAGCTAAGATAAACAGGACGAAGTGCTCATATCGCTGATTTACCTTTTTAAATCTAAATGATTAAACAATGAACTTCATGTGTATATATTCACTATCTTGCATGACCTTGCAAGAAGTGCTCCAGACGAGCTGAAACTGATCTTGAAAACCAAGACTGGAAAGATCAGACCCTATTCAAGCTTTGGAGTTTTTAATGAAATGAAATCTTTCTGTTATAATATAATTTTTCCAAATGTCAAAATCATGTTCAAAATCAACCATTTCTATCCAATTTCTGGATCATTATTTGACCACTACCCTGAATTTTTCCACTTTTGAAGTAATTTTTCCAGGGATTTAACAAAAATATTTAGCTTTCATTGATCCATCTCAATCTTTTTTCAGCTCTACGCCTGAATGAATTCTGTGTACATAACATTTCTATGAGAATTGCAAATACTTTTTTAAAACTATACATGCTCTTACTCCAGCATTAGCCAAGACAGGCTGCATAATAAGAATGCAATAGACAAAGTACTTTATATATAATATATTGCATTGTAACATAAAGCTATACAACATGGATTGATGTACAATGGTAAGAATGGAGAAAAGAGAAGTTTTAATCTTTATTTTAACATTGAAAATAAACCAAGTTTACAACAGAAGATTGTCTGTGTACAGTCATTGGAAGTATAACATCTCCCCTTAAGGTCAAACATTAGAGGTTACCACAATCATTCAATGGAAGGGTGCTATCTAAAAATTTACGAGAGAAATAAAAAACATTGACTCCCTTTCACAGATCATATAAATTACATACAGCAAAAAGCTCAGAACCAACTAACCTCAAACTACGCGACCGTGGCCTCATTAAAGGTGAAATCCGACCATCAGGGTCGTCTAATCCGGGATTACTTTCATTGCTACTGAAGTGCTTCGTGAGGAGTCTGAGCTCATCCGCCGTTGGCTGAGATGGAAGTTGATTGAGTTTTTCCTGTGAGGAGCACTGCGAAGATACATTGGAGCTCCCGGGCGTATTGGTGCCATATCCTGATGAAGGCATCGAGGCAAATGACCAGCGACGTCCATCAGATCTACAAAAGGATGCAAGTACAAATGAGGCAAATTACAAAAGAGGCAAAGATATGCGGTTGCTATAGAGAACAAACAACTTCCTATTTCTATACTTATTAGATGAGTCTAGCTACAAGCCTCTGTGACCCCCCCCTCTCCCCCACTCCCACTACTTGGTAAGAAAACAGGTATGAAAACTTAAAGCGTAGTTGGGGGGATGCAAAGAATATCATTAGATGTGTATATTCTTACATTCTCATTTCATTACTTGCAATTTTGTCAGCCTCTGCGTTTTCAGTTCTAGGCCATTTTTACATTCCTTAGATAATCTCAGATTCCCTTACTATTTCTTAATATCATTGGATTTTCAAGTCAAAAAATGAGGATTTACGAAAAATCACACTTGAAAGTGGGCAAGCCTATATGTATCAATTAAAAATTTGACCTGTCAGTTGACATTTTCATTAGGAGATTATAGCTGTCTAGAAAATTGTCTCCTGTGACAAACTTGCCTCCAGGGAAAACCTTTACATTTTTCCTAATCAACTAAAAGGTAATAATGAGAACTTCTATAATGCAATTCTTTAAGGCAATGTCACTGTGACATCTAGACTGAAGTGTACAATGTCTAAAAGGTGAATTTATAGCGCAATTTGTCTCAGATTCTCATTATTAACCTCATTTCATTTAAATGTTAGATATTAATATCATTTTATTTAAAACTTAATTTATGGATTACACATCATGAAAATGATATTCTTAGGACTGAAATTCCAAAAAATCTCTCGGAAATAACATAAGTTGGACGTGTGATATGAATTCACAGTGGTCGTTATGTAAGAAGTTCTAGTAGGGTCACATCGCACAGTGGTTGGACTTTACACGGAAAGGAGCTTTTTCCCAGGATGCCTCACTAATTTAATTCTAACCAATCAAATTTGAGAGTCCAGACAAATTAAACATGGGACTCACATCCATCAGTCCAGGTGTTAATTAACAAAGTCAAAATACTCTATTCGTTCTACTCAAGTCTAATTATCAAATATAAAAATAACTTTCTTCGGATATAATAACATTTGTCTGGATATATTTATGAGCTGTCACATTTCTAAAGTTGGAGTGCTCTATTTCATTTGCAAGCCTAGGTTTGAAAATTAATTCATACTGTCTCCTCAGCTAAATTCATAATAGATATGATAGAAGATATTTATATGTTACGGTAAAATAGATAGTTCAAAATCAAAATATATCAATTATTGGTGTTTTATAAAATTGTGATGAGTAAATAAATATATCATAAAAATCATAAATTACCTTCTAATGGCCTGTGTGGCAACTGAAGAGAATGCAAAGTGTCCTTGTTGATTAGGAGATATGTTACGTGGACTATCCACTGGACTATCTGAAATACAAAACAAACAAATTTGAAGTTTCTACATATTAACACAACATAACAAGCACCAATACATAAGTGTATAAGCGAAATACTGAAAATATGAATTAAACATATGACTAAATAAAAAAGCAACTTTGAAGAAGTTCATTTAACTGGTATAACGTAAATATCTGCAATGTAATTATGCAAATGGGAAATGTTTATTGGAACAAAAAAATGGAGGGCAGGGGTTTTGTTTGGATATTTGACAACAGGCAAAATGAACATAGACAATCACAATAATTATTGAAACAAAATTCTTCAAAACAACAGGAAATTGGTAAAAACAGCTGGAAATTGCATGTGGGTTGTTGCTAATGAAAACCCTGCATAATTACCCATTTTACCCAAAAACACCTTCACAAGGACTTAGTTTGTTATGCACAAGGTCTAGGGCACCTAGCTACTAAACAGAAATAGGATTTTCCACCATTATGATACATTCATATTATCAGGAACGGCACTTAATTGCAACTTGCTAATGAAGTACTTCTTTCAATTCACAACACAACCTTTTAAGGCAAAAAAAGCCGAGAAAATCAATTCAGATGTTAGTTAAGTAGCAATATTTGAAGGCAACTTGCAAACTATTAATTCTATTTTTCATTTCAGATCAATAGTCATTTGATAAACAAAGTTGCAAATGTATTAACAAACATGGGGTTTATCAATAAAAACTAGGCACATGGTGATAAAAATCTAAAAATCAAAAATGCTGACAATAAAATTTACCTAACATACTCAGAATTTTCTGAACAAGAAACATTCCTCAAGTAGTTTTTCTGCAAATGCACAGATAATAAAAAAGGAAGCTTTCAGTTTTCTATCTTGTTTTACATCTTGAATAATGACTCCTTGTCAGGGGGAGTTCGCTCAAACCCATCGAACCCCCTCCCCCCACCCGGCCAGGGCAGTTGGCCTTGGGCCAGGTGAAGGAACTTCCTGACACGGCTCTCTGATTGAATCCCAGAAGGACAGACAATAGTAGACAAATAATTACCAGTCATTATAATACAATCAGGGCGGAAAGTAAATCCCTTGGATATTCAATAGGAATTAATGATGATGAATTCTGAATTCTACTGATAAATAGCTATGGTGCTCGTCTATTTCAAAGTATCAATTTCTCCATAATCAACACACAGTTTTTCAGACAGCAAATGTTGTTTTCATTCCGGTATTTTTTCATTTTATCTCTAAAAGGGACAAATTAACATGATATCTCCCTTTAGGCTCTAAATAATATGAGGAACATAATATAGTAGGTAATAATCTAATAACAGGAATAGGAATAATACAACAATGATTTCCTCCTATTGTGCCTGCTCCCAGGGAGGCCTCACTCTTAAATTTGTAGAGCATCAGGGGCTCTATATTCAGTTATCAATTATGTAATTTTCAAAGCCTTCTACTTATCATGTCATTTCATGGCATTTCCTCCTTTGCTTCATCATTTAAATACTTTCATCTTGAGTCAAGACTCTGTTCGTATCCCCCTCCCCAATCTCCTCTATATCAAAGAAGGGATTGGGCTCAAGAATCTAGTGTCAATCTTCCCTAAATTTCAATAGTTGAGAATGATTCCTGTAGTATTAGCCTCTCCCCTCCCTCAGTCCCTATACCCAACCAACTATTTCTATTGAACAGATATGGGAAAAAACAGAGCCCTGATACAATACTATGGCCCATAGACTTACTGAGCATCTGTGGAGACTGGCACCGTCGCATCATGGTGGGGGATGTCGAAGCAGTGCCTATGAGGGACTTCCTGGCATGTTGACGACTGAAATGTACAAAGAGATAATATGTCACATTATTGCAGAGAATCATTGTCAGAGAAAATACAAAATGATAACATTTAAAATGATGATATCTTGGACAAATGCATAAATAATATGTCAGAAAAATGTACAAAATGATAAGATCAGAGAAATAAATACAGGTCATTTAATGTAAGGGACTGAATGTGGGTTTTATTCTGAGGGATTTGAACCATGATATATAAAGGGGTTTTTTAAAATTATTTACCTACAATGCAATTGTTCTATCTCTTACTAAACATGGTCAACCCTTTTCCATTTAGTCTGATATATTAGGTCTTAGCAAACTGATAATTACAAATATATGTTTTAATAATGCCTTAATCCATTGAATCAAACTTATTGGTTTATTTTATAGTCATACTCATAATCACCTATCAATGTGTGTTTATATGTAGAAATGTGATTATAAAATGTTGACTCAAAAAAAAGAAATTAAATTTTACAACTGAATGCCATTTTTGTTGATTTATATTGTCTTCTTGTATCATATACCTGTTTTTTCTTATGGCCTAGTCACATAGCCCGGCCGATGTCCGGCATCGGTAGAGCTCGGTGGATTTTTTTGGTGCCACCGAGCTCTCCTCATCGGAAGCAGAACTCGATGACGTGAACGGACTCCGTCCGGACATCTTCAGGTACTATACTTTCCAAGGCTCTGTCCCACATCGGCCGGAGCTCGGTCGGAGCTCGGCCGGTGTCCGTTAAAAAAACCTCGTCCTCTGGTTGTCTCAGATGCACGGGACACCGACCGATACTCGGCCGTGCACCGGCCGACGTGTGTTCTGATGTGGTTACGATGGGGCTGCGATGAGGGAGCTCGGTGAGAGCCCGGTGAAATTTAACTCCGAAGTTAAAATTTCACCGAGCTGCCACCGATGCGGTTTTAAGCAACAAACGCCACGGATGTCCGGCCGGTGTCCGGCCGGTGTTCGGCCGAGTTCGGTGAAAATTGCATCGCTGGCTCATCGGAACCTCATCGGCCGGGCTATGTGACTAGGCCATTACAGTCTATATTGCCCTAACCTTGTTTCTTGTAATATTCCCTCACAAATTTAAAATAGTCCTCATTGCCGGGATTTTTATATTGTTTACCAAATTACAATACAAGCCTTACCCTTCTTATCTTATAATGCCTCATATTAATGGATGAAATATTTGCATGTCATATTCCCCTTGTTTCTTATGTTCCCATTTGGTTTTTTAAACTGAGGTAAAGTACCTCATTCAAATCTGCTCCTTCCTTATTTTGCCTCACTCAAATTGCTAAAGGAACTTGGTTTCACTGTAAATCTTAACAAGGCACTGACAAGCAAAATGTCTCCACCTGCCTTTTGTTACAGACACCGAACACTGACCACTGAATACCAACTGCCAAACACCATTCACTAATAAAAAGGTGGGGACTGTAATAATATGTTAACTTTCAGGATTGTGTACGATTCTGTCAAAACTTTTATAATGCAACACCCCTTTTTGTTATATCTTTACTAAGTTCCAATTTGAAGGGTTGTATTCATATATTATTACCTATACTGGAGTTTAAAATCTCCCTCTGTGAAGCTGAGACTCAGTCTCCGTTGCATGGCATTGTACCTTCTCTCAGGTGTAGGACTCCTGCGCTGGTCCACACTGAATGTCTTCCGTAACCTAGGACGAGTCCTTAATGGTAGCTTTGGAGATGGGCTTTTTAATTCCGACATCTCTGTTTTCTTCAAGTGAGTTGTTATTTTATATAATCACTTTGCTGTTTGCCTCATGACGTCTTTTGAATAATTCTGATTATCGTTCCTTATTTAAGAAATATAAGGATTCATTTCGATAGTGAATAACAACCGATGCTTTTATGGTTTTGTTGAGATTCTAAAACATGAATGTCAGGTACGTCATCATCCCATCAGTTTCATTGATGCCCTTACAGTGTGCGGTTTATCTATGTGTCTATCAGGACAGTTCCATTAGACTACACAAATCACAAACTATAATGTGATCTGAGTTTTAATCCAAATATTACAAGTTATTTCAAAAACTTCTCAACTAACTTGTTATCTCAAGATTTTTCAAACGTTCCAAATGATACATGTATTTTCAACAATGTCCTGTTGTCCTTTACTATTTTCATCAGTCTGATCCTAATCAGAGGGTATTCATTACAATTACCCTTTGGATCAGGGTAGCCCTTCTCTTTTTTCTGTTGATGTCATCCATGAAAGATCTTCCCATCATTATATATACCAAACCTTATATCTGATCCAATATCCTTAAATTGTATGTTTCCGATTTTGTGTTTTCCAACCAATGAGTTATATCAGACGAAAGGCTAATTATTATTCTGGGTGGTCCCTTAACGAGAACATGAGAAAGGGTTCATCTTATATTGATGATGGTTATTTTTGACATGCCCATTATATCATGATCATGAATAAAGCCATGGACATGAATGTCATGTTGAAGAATGTCTCTACTCTGGAACAAGTCTCTATCAAATATATAAAGGTACATATAATGTACTTTCTCAAATGTTGAATACCTCCAATAGTTTGTGCAGTACAATAGGTACTAACATGAAAATGTATTGATATTGAACCCTGAGGTTGTACAATGAAGGAGTATGTTTGTCCAAGTGAATGTCTATTGCTTTAGGTGCATGTATTTCTTGTTCTGGATTTCAATTATACATTGTTAAATGTTTAACACCAACGCTGAGAGTGATTCACACTCATTTACGTATGGGAACCAACAATGGGAACGAACAGTGTTTAATCCATCCACCCTCAATCGTAACAATGTAGTCCTCATTTATCCATAATAAAAAATAGAGTTTTTAATCCTAGATTTTCATGTATTTTGTCCATCCATGTTTTGATATGTTGATTTCATTATCTCTCTTACTTACTCTTTTCACAAGAGCTTCACATCATAATACAATTAGCATCAGGGTATCTTTGCTATCTCCATGTACATGTACGTACCTTTCCTTCTAATTACAGTGTTTCGTTACAGGTACATGTATATATGATGGCATACCATCAGTTACAGCAGCTTTCCTATATATGTAATTACTTTCGTACAGTAATATCCTATTAAAGTGAAAATGTACATGACATACATTTACATGTAAATGTAATACATGTAATAGTTCTGTATTATTAAGCTGTATCTACCAAACTTTCCACAAGCTGTTATTTCCTGGCAAGATTAGCGTCTGGCATTCACTACAATCTATTTTCCAAATCAGCTCAATATTTATTTCCCTCTCGTTAATCCTAATGTTATGACTGTTCTTGATTGACTGTATTACTGTATATATCCTTCAAGTTACTATAATATGTGTGCAGTTGATATTTGTACATGTTCTGTGCTAGCACACCTTGCATTATATTACACATAGACTTGTATGATCTTTGATTTCTTGTATATTGTCTCAATGTTTGCCATCTTGATTCATGTTTAACTTTAACATGAGCACATATCAATAAGAGTCTGAATTCTAGGATTGTTTAATTTATCAATATTAGTGTCTGCAGAGATGATGTAAGTTATGACATCATCAGTTACTGATTTGTCTTCCTCCGCAGAATCATATGTCACGGTATCGATATAATCCGCACATATCATAATTTTCCTTATAATTCAATATAAGTACTAGTAATTTCATATTTTACATGGAATAAATAAACAATAACAATTTTCAATTTACAATTTCTGTGTTGATTTTTTCTTAATGTTTTACGGAATCTTACTAATTCAAAAATCAAATTCCTTTTGTTAATTTCTTTCTATTTTCTAATTTCTATCAGTTCGTACATTGAACACATGGCTGTCTTTGTCACATCTGGTATTTTGTGTCAAGCTAAATTTGGAATGTACGTCATAATAAGCGTGCTATTGCTCATAGGTATCATTTCTTTCATTTCTTTCATATTTTTACAAATCTTTTGATAGTAAGTCAAATTCCTCCACACTTTTTACGAAAATCCATTGATCGGTAATTTATACATAAATCAACCAAACAAACATCACAAATGTTTGCTGTTCAAAGCTTGCTATAAATCCTGTATGTATGAATGGAAAATAGCTTTACGAATCAAAAATCAATTAACATTTAGTGTCAACCAACTGTCGTGTGCCCTTGTTAAGTAAAATAATCCTGGCTAAATTCAGAGGTTATTTTGTATCAGATGGCCGCAAAACATCTGCTATCAGAGAGTTGCATTCATATATAATTATGTTGCTTTCCAATTTATCCGTTTTTGTACATTGTGTGCTCTGTATAACATTCCACATGTTTTCTATCGATTTCAAACTCTCTATTCCAGCCTTTGTAGCTACATGTTATTTTATCCAAATTAATGGGAAGATAAATTGTCCCAAAGGGGAAATCCTATAATCCATCAAAGAAATCCATCAAAGTCTTAATGATTATTAAAATGAAAAAATTATGAACTCTGTTTACTTAACAAAAATAACACATACAATCCAATCGAATATGTTTCACAACAGAATCTGGCTAATTGAATGATTAGTAATTTCCTGTGATTTTTCCCAACCAACCAAAGTGGGTGTTCTCGTTTATGACTAATTACTTAACATGTATATGTACATATAACTACTTTTACCTAAATACAGCACCTGGGGTCTGTTACGGTTGATGTAATTTGTCAACTTTTATTTACCTTTCAGTAGATCATTACAAAATACATTTTAAGAATGAATAATGTTTACAAGAACTGTCTTCTTTAAATGAATTCCAATATATGTAAAGATTCACTTATGTATGAAAATGAGTAATGGGTTCTTTGAGAGAGTAACATCTTGTTCACTAATGCACCCATGTCTTATTCATTAGGGAGGTAGTCAATTATTCATTCACATGGAAGACTATTGTATACCATGCACCTTGTCTGGCCTTGAATAACCTTTGTGAACCCAAATGGGTAAACATCCCCTTAAGGACTTCTATCATTTACTAAACAAAATAATTTTTTCTGGAATTATAATTTTTGAGGTTTGTATAATACAATTTGAATTCAGATTTTCAATTTTCAAGTTCATGCCTGGGCAAAAGCTGAAAACACCAATCGAATTAGGCTTATCCAAATTGCAAGATCATTAATTAAGAATTATTGAAAATACAGGGTGACCAAAAATGACCATACCTTTATATTAAAGCTCTCTTTTTATATTATGAAAAACTATATTTAGAATATTCAGTTTCAAAAGAGCAATACTGGAAAAAGTACATACTTTTGGAAAACCTGTATACATATACCTTAAAGGTAGTATCAGATCTAGCGTGCAACGGAACCTTTACACAAATACACATATAGTCATAGACTAAATTTGCATAATGATAAATTATTCAATTACATACACGTAACTGATTAATTAATTCAGATCAATTCAGCTCAGACGAGCTTAGTTTGAAAGTTTTTCTATAAAAAAGTATATATTAAGTTCTTAAAATCATTTGAAAAAAATCTTTGAAAATAGGTGCTATTATAAGGGCCGATTAATCATTATTAATTCGTCATAAAATGATTAATTCATGATTCCTTAATTGGTGTGTAGCCCACACAAGATGCTGGATATAAAATATAATTGAAAACATTTTTACTCTAAATTAAATATCATGCTATGGGACAAGGTCAATATATTGATACACGCCCACAAATGAAAGTACAAATGTAATTATATTTGATGAAAACGGGTAACAGTCTATTGTTATGTTTTGTCATGGACTTTCAACTAGAAAATTGAAAGCCCATAGTTTTGTTATACATTGATTTTCAAAGGGAAGAAATTGAAATTATATTAATTAACCGGAAATCCGGAAATGTTTGAAGCACCATCAAGTTATCGACCTGATCCCAAATACTTATAAGTTTTCTTTTTTTTATTTCTATAAATTATATACTGTAATGAGTTTAAAATCCTACCTTCCCCTTCTTGAGAAGCTGATCTCTTTCTGAAAATACACAAACAACAGAGATAAGTCAATGTGACATAATTGCAGATATTATCAGTAATATAGGCTAAATTATATTACTGAAGAGGCTTTTAACTCCTTGAGAAAGCTTTGGTCTCCTCCAGGAGGCTTTTAACTCCTTCAGAAAGCTTTGGTCTCCTCCAGGAGGCTTTCTTCTCCTTCAGGAGGCTGTCTTCTCCTTCAGGAGGCTTTCTTCTCCTTCAGGAGGCTTTCTTCTCCTTCAGGAGGCTTTCTTCTCCTTTGGGAGGCTTGTCTCTCATTCAGGAGACTACATTTTCCCCCATGTAGGTTACTGGATTGATAAAATTAAAATAAAGATACATGTTTTTTTTTAGCAGAATTAGCATCTTTCATTCAACAGCAGGTTTTTCTATAAAGCATATATGAAACCATTTAAAATGAGGTTTTTGCTGCAACATACACCGTAAAATAGCTCTGAAAATTAGGATGGTGAAAGATAATATGATTCGGAAAAAGTTATCTTTACACAGTATGAACTGTACATATATGTACTAATGTATAATATGGAGATTTCAACAGGATTTTCGACAAGAGGGAGAAATGAATCTTGTCAAATCTACATTTAAAGTCATGACCTAATCCTGAAAACAAATGGCATTTTGGGCCAAGCAACAGGCAGTCACTACCTTCGGCTAGTGTGAAACTCCTGATCCAAGCATGTTTGCTTATTCCATGGGGATCCAATTGAAAGCACATGCTTATTCCAATCTTGATTTTTATACATGTACCTTAAAAATTCAAGATATATTCTAAGTATGGTATGGTGGATGAGTCAAGATGAAACTAATGCCTTGGTCACATTTGCTTCAATTTTCTCTACAGCATCTGGCCAATTGAGTATTTTGTTCAAAATTGAATACAATATTGTACAAAACACTCAATCGGGCAGGCGCCGGCCAATGGATCGGAGCAAATGTGACCAAGGCAGTACTGAGAGAAAATGATTTGGAGTGCAGAGGCCTTCTATAAGACCATTGTAGAAAAGAGAAGATGTTGAGATGACCCGAAGATAGACATACACAGACGGCAGACACACAGGAACTCTAAAAATTCTATAGGCATCTTAATAGTAGAAGACAGCACCACAATTTCCAATCTGATTTGACATTTGATATTTTGTACTTACATTTTATTTTCCTCTCTAAAATACCACACTTATCAAACTCACATGTACTCTACTTAATTTCTCAATAAAATCTGAACTGAAAGTTCCTGTTATTCTGATGTTTCTCGTTATATTCACTAAATGCATGTTCACAATCTATTCCAGAAAGCTCTGTTTTGCAGTAACATGACTCTCATAGTACATGTATATGAATCCAGCCTCATCTATCATTCAACTGAATAGATCATTGATTATTGTATTGAACAGGCTACTTGTTGAAAAGGTTAATTAATTAGTCTCAGCTGGACATTATTACATTCCATAGATTACCCTGGACTCCCCATCAGTCAAACACAATATTCTCTGACATCTACAATTTGTTTCATAATTTTGATATTGATAACAACTAACACCCCTTTCTAGTATCAAAAAAGACAAGAGATTCTGGAATCTGGATTCACACATTCACTTTTAGTTCTAATATGGCGGGACCCTTACAAGGTCAAAATTCAAGTATGGGTTGCCAACCCAGAAGTATTATTTAAACAATCGCATGATTATATGACAATGAAGTTGAGTCCTGGCAAAGAGTACCTAACCAATGGTCACTTTGAATCATTTAATTTTGCTTTACTGTCCCTCTTCAAAATCTGAATTTCATATATTTCTACTTAATTTTCTGTGGAATATTAATCTCATTGCATAAACTTAAAAATCACATGGATTTAACTTAGGTAGGGCCTGGGCTCAAATAGCATAATTGCCCCCTTTAGTTTGCAAAGGCTTACTCATTTAATCATATAAGTTTCTCTTCTTACTTTAATACAAAACTAACAATGACAGCTTATTTGATCCGTGTGAGATGCATTCTAGGTTTTAGCTTTAATTACTCTTTTGATTAAGTTTGATTTGATGGTGGCAGCGCTATCTACTCATGGGCACTCTTAAGTTATGAGACAGAAAAGAATTAGAGATTTGTTTTGTGTTTTGCCGTCATCGGTACTTCTACGTTTTCTATAATAATATTGATTTCTTCAGGAGAACAATGCAAGTTACTATTCAAGAACATGTTCATAGTCTGCCTGATAACTTACCCTTTATGCTTATTCAGATATTCTACACATATTTTCACTTTGAGTTACTTAACTGAATTAAAGGCATTTTGTTGAATAGTGTATCTTCTACCTTTTGCATTTGTTTGACTGTGTTATCTCTGACAGAGAGCTTCTTTTAATTAGCCTCTAGGCTCAGGCTTATTCATATTCCATATTCTATTTTCTCCACAATGTTACAATTGAAAGCATCATATGAGGGTAGACTCATTCATGGCGTTAAACATTTGATTTCCATTAACCCATGATGGATAGATCATTAATGTATAAAACTAGACTGAAAAACTAAGATATAATACACAGATTACCAATACCATAATCTAGGTGATTCAACTTTTAACGAAGGTAACAGAGACTGAATGATTCTTTCTTGATCCTTGGCAGAAATTAGGTTGAAATATGAGAGCGGATATATGTACAGACAGTTATGGCAAAGCATGGTATTTACTTATTACCTTATTAACATGGTTGTGGCTAAACACGAGCAAAGATAAAAAAAATGAAAAAGAAAATAAGGGAAATGGTCTCCACTTCACATTTACATCATATTTAAATCATTTGCATTACCATGGGCTTTCCCATTATTGAAAGCCCATAGCATTACCAAGAAATATATATGGGACATGTAAAGATATTAGTCGCCATTGATTTTGTTTTTTCTTACTAATTGGCAATATCCAGGGCATCAAAGCATCAGGCTCAAATACCGACCCAATCATGAACGGAGATGTTCATTTCTGCCTCTTTCCTTTCCACAACTGCACAATATATGCTTAGATAGTCTAACATCGAGACCATGGGTAACCTCTCCCCTCCTGGATAAAATATGAAGTACGGTGTTTCCAGAATTCTTTTGTTCACATAATTTGAGATAACTTTGCATCTGCTTTAATAATATAACGAAAAATAACATTCTTACTTTCAATTATTTCAATGTAAGTACACTGTAAATGGAAGGAAGTTGTGTTGACATTTTCTACAGATTAGATAAATGCTGACGCTTTGGAGGCTTATAATAGAGTTAGGCTGGATAGTGAGCATCAATCTAAAGATCCTTTGGGGAATTAAGCCTGTTACTTACAACCCGTTGCATCTGAATCTTCGGAAGAACGGGACAAAATGTGATGACCAATAATATAGATTTTTCTTAAATATTAGCCAAGATGGGGAAATAAGTTTACGCAACGCCTGATTACAACCGATGTTGTGAAAAAGTCAGTTTAATAAGCTGAGCTTGTCAGTTCACCAAATAATAAGTTAAGCTTATTTATATTGTAAGAAAACCACACAAAACACTATTATTCATGAATGTCCCCCTACCCAGAGCTATGAAGTTATAATTACTACCAGATGAAGCTCTCTTTTAAGATCTGAAATCAATCTATACTATTGAAAAGGGTTTGTTAGTGAAAGTGTAGAAGTGAAAAGATTTGCGGTTAAAAGGCATGTGATAATTGAATAACATAAATCGTTTTGAAGAAATTAAAACTGAAGGGAACCAGAGGTTACATATAAGATATTGCAGAAAGTAAGGTAATCCAGTTTATTGTAGCCTTGTATGAGGTCCTTGTGACCCCCCCCCCTCCCCATATTTACATACCTTACTTCCTCATCTTCCAAAAAGTGAAGTAAAAGAGGGGGAGAGTATTGTTAAAAGCAAGAGACAATATTAATTAATAAAATACAGTTATTCATTATTAATTTGTTTTTGATAAACACCTGATCTTAATTAAATTCTTGGTGCCTTGTTTGGATGATTCAAAATTCATATTTGATGAAAATAATTAGTTACAGTATTTTATCCAGGCCCGTAGCCAGGCCAAAAATTCTTTCAAAATCATCCAGTTTTTCACTATTTTGAGCACTTCTCAAGTGATTGTAGCGACATTTGGGCCAAAATTGTCAAATGTGAACCCCTCCTTGAAATTTTTGAAAACTGAACCCCCCTTGGCAAATCCTGACTACAGGCCTGTTATCTTTATAAGAATTGCTAAAAATACCTACATTTGGATCGAGCAGAGACATCATCATTATATGCGAGTTTTTTCTATAGCTTTATTTCCTTTCTTCCATAGATATACTTATTGAAATACGAAAGTACCCAAGAATATTGCAGTACTGCGTATACAGCAGATTTATCTTAAGGACTCCATTGATCCAAACAAGCCATAGAAACATAAGTCTCAACAGATTACTGTATTATCTCATATTGTCACAATATTTTATTGGCTTCTTCATGGTAAGTTATCTATTAATTAATGTACATGTATTCTTCCTCATCATCTATGACCAAATGACTCTGTTTTTCATGGTGTAGCTATTAAAGACAGAGTAGTGAGCACGAAAGTACAGTACATGACATCTAAAAAGTCAATAAAAGATATATATACTGATCACATATCTGTAAACAGCTGATCATATCCTACATGATTTTCTTTCATTAAATTCCTACAATTTTCAAAGTTTATCCAAATTATACTTTTTCTTTGTGTCTTCGCTGTTCTCGTCCTTCAACGAAAATGAAGACCTCTTTGTGTCTCTTGATTTTATTTCTTTTAATACCATTTATGCATCAATATATTTTCTTTAGCGAGCAATTTCCTCTGTAAAATTGTTATTTGCTTCAATCTTTTAAAAAACAGAGGTTCTGTTGAAAATGTAAAAGTGTTAATTGTTTCTTTTCTGGCGTAGTCAATAAATGTAAAATTCAGTTATTCCAATGTTGCTAAGCAGCAGTCTGCTTCGTTAGTCTCACTTGTTGCAGAATCAGCATATTCAACCATTATGTAACACTTTCTGGGATGCATTTTTTCTAAGAATAAACAGTAAATCCATCATAGAAAGTATCCTTTGCAAGAGTAACCGACTTCTCGTACTCTAATTTTATCGAAAAACACCTCTCGTCCCCTGAAGATGGTTCTTGCTACAGGTAAGTGTGTATTAATAAGCACAGATGTGCTCTCTGATTCATTGAGTATCAAACTAAGCCAGTCCTTGTTAAAGGGAAGTTACAGCTCAGGGTATAAGGCAAGCCATAGTCCTGTAATTACTCCAGATATAACTTGGGGTCTGGTATAGCAAATTGAGTAACTCCATTCCCTGGTTTTCAGATTCTCTTTTCTGTTCTTTCTGAAGCCTACTACTGCAGCAGCACTGTGAATCACAAACCTCAACCCCTGTAAATACCTCCAGTTTGAGCTTCTACTCTCTAATGTCAGATACACTCCAGCAAACTATATATACTTCACACAGTAGCAAAAACATCCTAATTGATCAGTTAGATGTGTGGTTGGTGTTACCTCAAAAATGTGAACTTTCAAGTTTCCAACTGGTTTCCTCTAGGGCTCAAGGAATTCGTTCAGTTTTTCAGAGTATCAATTAAAACTGTAGAATTTACAGTGAGTTCAACGTGTTAAATTGTCTGAATATCTTTCTTAATCTGCTATTTTTCAAATATGCCCATTACGTAATGGTGATCCTCACGGACAATATGCCTTCCTTATATCTGTCTATCTATTAAAATTGAGCGTGTTTGGAAAAACAATTCCGATTCCACAGCTGGTGTTTAACCGATCCATGCGTTAATCACATCCACACGGAACCTCATACTCATGTATAATACATAACAAAAAGTGGCCTCAGATATCCAATATCCATAAATACATAGTCAAACTGACAGTATAGATAAATCTGATGCAGGGTGCTGGGTCAATGAATGGCATGTGGACCATTTTATTCAATAACAAATCAATAACTTGCGTTAATTTGAGCAGTATAGGAAGTATGGTTTTATATTACGCATCCTGGAATATGCTTTCAACAGTATATTAACCTCCATAAACTTGAATACACATCAATAACACATTGGTTTGCAGTGCACCAGAAGACGGTTGAATCTTGCGAATTGAGAAATAGTCAATTACAAGACTGTTAAATCGCAATGACCTCATCAAGTCGAGCTAAAAATATTTTGGCAGAATCGCAGCTAGCACCTTTGGTGAAATCCCCAAAATTCTGACCTATCATATTTTGTAACTTTTAGCAACATATTATCTTATCACAAGGTTATAGTCACTAAAAACCTATTTTAATTTCTTATTATTGTGCAGAGATTTAAACAGCCTCATCAGTGCCATTTTCTAAAGGTCTCTTAAGAGTGTTTGCTGTATCAGGCAAACTTCAGTGATATTAATTGATCAAATATTACTTGTCATTTCAATGGCAGCTACTTACTGCCAATTGACGCTGATTTCCAGGCTCACTCGATCCACTTTTAAATAATCTGCTGTTAAGAATTGATTCAATAATGTCGAGGCAAGCTATGAATGCGTAGATAATGCGGGAAATCATCAATTTCAAGCTTATCACAGACATGACATCTTAGAAATTTCATCTTTGTTTTGCACTGTAATGCTATTGGTTTTTAATATCAATAAAATTGATCTAAACTGCAGTTTGCTTTATCAATGTAAAACACTCAGGATTATAAGTTTTGTCGTGACTTATTCCCGCAATGCTTTACTTTTATTAGCTTTTCAATTACAAACTTATGTCCTCTATTATCAAACCAACAATAAATCAGTTTGAACTTTACTATTACAAAGGTAAGACAACTCTCAGATGCTTTTTAAAATTTACCTCAATATTGAAAATCCAGACATTATACATTCCGTTCCTTTTACTGTGGATGTTGTCTGGACCCCTACCTTCAGAAGACCTCACTCTTGGTGTGTTAAATACTCATTTATTAGGATTGATTTATACATCGACAGCAGAAGCAATCAAATGATATGTGAAGCAAATCAGATATTTTATCTATTTACCGATGGTAATTTAATCCAAACTGACAAATAACCAATCATTAATTTCAAGCATGGTTAATACATATATAAATATTCAGAAATCAGATGACTCAAAATTGCTTCGTTATTACTTCAAAGTCAGATGCTTGTTCTATTAGCTCAGCTGTCATATCATAAACCGAATAGTCATTACTCAAAATGATCATATCTAAGAAAGTTATGCTTTGAAAAATAAAGAAATGAATGGTAAATAAATGTGTATAGAGAGCGTATGTGGATAAGTAATGGAATTCGATGAAGTAAATATCTAGTAAAGAAATTGAAAAACTTGTGTAACAATTTGTTACAGATGCTGCCCACCAAACACCGGTTACAAACACCTATAGCTGTAACAAAATGTTACAATTTCTTGGTGATGATGTAAAAACGATTCGTGAAAAGTGAAACATAGCGTACCAATGACCTGCGATGCTGTCATTGTTGTCTCAAGTAATGCAATAAAAGCGAAAGTACATCTAGCAGAAACGCAGCGTGATTTATTAGAACTCTTGATGAAACGGAAGCTTGTTTCATTGATCTCATAACCGTTGCATAAACTTCACACTGTCAGCTTATATGGCCAAGTTATAGGTATTCTTTGACAATGATTACTTTGGCCTCACATTTCTTCCTACTTAATTTATTTCTTGCCAGATTGGATGATATTCAGTGCATATCACAGTGACCGCATCAGAAAATGATTCTCGCCAGTTAAATCATGTACTTATTCCAACGTCAGTTGGAGTTTAGTGAATGAATCAGAAAACAAACCATCACAATATAAAAATAAAAACATACAGCTTAAATGTGACATTGGCATATGCTTGGTTTTCACCATTTTACCAAATAATAGTTTTTGAGAAATCAAAAAATTACACAAGATGTATACATGATGATTTTGACGCAATACATGTATGTAATATGGACTCAATCATACAAGTAGATTATACATTTCTTTAATTGAAAATAGTATTTCAAACAGATTAATCTCAGGCTCCGTATCAGTTACATTTTAGCTGAACTAACAGTCTCAAGTCTCGACAACCCCTCCCCTCCATTATCTATTTCTTTACTTAAAAGTAGTAGAGTTACATAGGTCAGTCTGGTTGAGGATGCATTTAAGATTGATGCAAGATTTAGATTTTCAACGCTCTATAAATGCATCCTAATTCTTATAAGATGATAGTATATGGAACATGCAGTAGTGACATCTTTCAATAGCAGATATGTTCAAGTTTTAATTTATACATTCAGAAGGACTCAAACCAAGTATACAACCATTCCTAAAAACATTCCATCATAGGTTAAATCAAAATTATGAACTATAATCTATTTAGGTATAATTCTGAGACTGCATTTTCATTCCTTATATTTCCCTTATATGAATAAAACACTTTAGGTTAATTAAAGAAAACATATGTATATATGCACTATCATTATTGAAGCTATACCTCACTTTTCTCATTTCAAACATCATAAACAGTAATTTAGCCCTAAATGACTCCATACACAGTAATCTTACAACACAGTAGCATATCAATCATATGTGAGTTATATCTAATAGACTTTCAGAATTTGCTCTATTGATTGTAGAAATCTCCGCTGGTACTTTCTGTGCAGAATTACATAAGTAAAGTAAGGGTAATCAAACCCATTCAGAGAAAATAAATACAATTCTTTGTGTGTGAAACTCAAGTTGTAAGCTGATAAGTCATTTAAGCTAGCTTTTATGTGTGATATCATGAAATACAATGATTTCAAATTTCCAGTATCTCATTTGGTTTACATTTTCCTGATATTGATATTCAGTCTGTTATATTTCAGATGTCAAACATACATGTGTGGCTCAGGTTCTTTAATAAACACATCTAAATCATCATTATTTTTTAGATGAGCTAGTTTACTTTTTTTTGTCAGGTTAATCAACAAGGCGGAGTTATTTTAAATTGGCAAATATGGGTATACAGTAAAGCCTGTCTCACTGAACACCTCTCTCTAGTGAACACCTGTCTCAAGTAGACACCTTCCTCCACACATAACTGACTTCTGTATAAATTACCCTATCTGTAGTGAACACCTACTAGCACTGATTGTTTTTTCCAGGCAAAAAAGTTCAATATATACAGGTTTTACTATATCTTATATAAAGCTCTTTCTTATATGATATTTGTTTTATTTCCTACCAAAAATGTACAAATACCAAAACAGCTAGCATGTGCCAAAGATGGGTGCATACATTTTCAAAAAGTAAACATAACTGAGACTTACTGTCCAAGATATTCAATCAAGGACTGGTTGGGAAAATTTCACAAACTAGACTGAAATATAAATCTGAGTCAATCAGCTCAGATTGGTGAAGAAATGGACTGAAACTGAAGATATGCCCACCAAGTAATTTTTTTCCTGGACCATATTTTGATGGAACAAGGTATTGTTACCAAAGATAAGCCCAAAATCACCAAATATTTCTCACCTTGAGCTTTGCAAGTGTTGCTAGCTGACAACGAGATATTCCACTATCGCTGATGCTTCTATGCATGGCCTTACTTCGTGCAATCTTTATCGGGACCAGGGGATCAATATGTTGCAGTTCGGTCATAAACTCAACGGATAAGATCCTATCTAGCATTATTAATGTCTGCTGGACATCAACGTCTTCATATTCATTCTCATCGATTTCATTTACGAGGCCATCAGGAAGGTATTGAGATACGCTAACACTCCTTCTACAGAGGCTGCGTCTCACTGGTTTACGTTCTGATGGAGTCCTGTCAGTATTATCCATGGCTGTTTTCGTCTATTTCATCACAAATTAACCAAACTTAGGTAACTCTATTTTAGAATTGATGCATACAGTATATAAGTCTAGATTCTCGAAAGTTATTTTACGTATTAGCTTGCAATTAATTCATGTAGTCACCCAGACACATTTTTCATTAGAAACCAGCTCGTACCAATTTTCTTCCATCTGATAATGCATTGGTTTTTATTGCATTTTATTAATTCGAAGAGCTGATAGCTGGAGCAAGTCTATGCAGTGCCCTAAATCCTTCTAAGCTAGTCACGCAAAGTTAAGATATGTGAAGGGCATCCATGAAGGTCCTCAGGTGTGTATCGAACACCCCACATCAGTCTAGGAACACTGACGTCTAATACGGCAAACCAATAACGGGAAAAATTATCATATTCTGTATAATTCTTGGTGTTTGCATGTCCTGGCGCTCAAGGGTGTGGCTTGATGGATTTCTGAACATATCATGCACACAAATTGTCTATTAGAACTTATCTATATTGATCTGCTACCAACCATTGCCTGATCCAATAGTCCGGAGTTGTAGATTACAATTTGTTTGATAACGCATGCAACGAATCCAAGATAATCCCATATGTAGATCTGATTCAAATAAATCTTTTTTAGATGAAAATTATATCAATAATTCTTTCTAAAATGAACTGGTGAGACATTGATGACTCTGATAGGGATCCAGGGGTTCAACATCAAACCTATACTGGGCCTTTGTGGATAATCCCCACTAATAAGGTAACTTCTTCGACAGCAACATCATACAAGCCCTCTAATTAAATCCTTTCTTTTGGACACATTTTACACGATTTCGCCACATGATTCGACGATAGGTCCAGAGATTCCATATCTTTCCAATGTTATTGCAATGTCCAATAGGGTATATACAGCATTGTTAATAGCTCCTTAAAAACAATATATATTGATTAGTCAGTGACATAAAACTATAAACTAATACAGACATACTCAAAGAGGCATGCTCCAAGGGGCGTGTCAGTATTATTGCCCATGGTTGGTCAACAAGATTACAAAGCAATTATATGTCAGTAAAGAAACATGTCTTTTATGCTTCTATTTTCTTACAATATTATATGACATTAACAAAGCATATTCACTTATTTGAAACCAATCAAAAAGTTTGCATGCTTTCCTTTTTTTGTTAGATTTATCAGGCTTAGATTTTATCATTTTATTTATTTATTCATTATTTATTATTAAATATTCAAGAGCAACGTGAACATTTTTCAAGTAATAAAAAAAGAAAGAAAAAAGATTAATCCATGATTAAAAGTCTCTCTCCTAAGCAAATATCACATATGAGCTTGCATTATAGGACAACTGTAAAATATCCTGGTTCTCCTTCATCAATGAGCCGCTGATGAGTATCATTAATCACTATAAGCTAGATTAGACACAGTTTTATCTTTGAATACTTTAAATTGTAATTAAGCTTCAGTGTTATCCTGACATTATAACTCATGGTTAAGGGATCACTTGTTATTCTAAATTACTTGTTTCAATAATTCTATATTAGAAACTACGCTTTATCAGTTAATTAATTGAGGCCGAGAGGCTAGTGGTGATTTCAACTGCAGATGAAGCTCTCTTTTAGAGGCAAAATCAAATTATTGAGAAGGGTATCAATTATTATCACATACTATGTATAAATCTAGTGATTTGATTGGTTGCTTTCTATGACGTATTTCTCGTATCACATAAATTTCATATGATACGAGCACACATACCACACCTTGTCTATGGTAACGAAATGACGTCATACAACTTCATTCTATTCTTTCCTAATTCAAAATGACTTCACATATGTATAGGCTATGTTACTATTTCTTAGAAATGATGAATTCGTCATTTGAGGAACTAGAAGTTAGAACGACAAAGAAAGCTACCAATCAAATCACTAAATTTCTACATAGTATGTGATAAAATCGTCATCACATGTTTCAGCGTATGTGATACGGGAAATATTCCACTCAGTAAAAAAGTATCACCACTCAAGCTGCGCTTTCGTGGTTATACAATTTTTACTTTCGTGGAATATTTCCCGTATCACATGCTGAAACGTGTAATAACTGATAATATGCTATAGAATATTACTTTGATCAAAAAATAAATATTGCACTTTTCATCAAAAAATTCAATATGGCCACCAAGTAATTTACATTGCACGGCTAAAACCTATTCAGAATTTAAAAAAATTTTAAGTTTAACAGGTAAGCAGTTTTCCCAAAATTTTGATTCATGTGCGCCTACCAGCCCAGATGTTGACAATATAGCATTTTGAAAAAGTGTGATAAAAAGGAATAAACTAAACTGTACAATCAATACATATTAAGAGGACCCATGAGATAAAACAGGACATCTGATCATAATGTAACAATCTACAGGGGCTACTGCTATACATCTGGTCATCAATACACTTCTAACTGGACTTCAGAGAGCTGTTAATGAAACAGCAAAAATATTTCATTTTGAAATGATGGATGCGGATCAGATGCGAAATCCTGCAAATGGTAAACTGTATCAAGGGTCTTCTATCAAAAGTGAAAATAATGAACCCTTATATCATAAGTGCAAATAGGAAACCCTTATATCAAAAGTGAAAATAATGAACCCTTATATCATAAGTGCAAATAGGAAACCCTTATATCAAAAGTGAAAATAATGAACCCTTATATCAAAAGTCAATAAGGAACATTGATTGAAAAGAGCAAATATAGGTAAAAGTGCATTGAGTCAGACTAGTTCAAATAAATAATATAATATATATAACAATATATATATAATATAATCCATATTTATATCATTATCATTAAAATATTATTATCAAAATAAATGTGTATTAATTGTATGTGAAGAGATTTTATTTCATTTTAATGGCAAAAATTCATTCCTAGCTCATATTAGTCTTTTTTCCTCATAAGCACAAACTAATTATTACCAGGAAATAGTTATAGCTAGTAGCAAGCCATCAATTCAAACCAAATTGAAATATATCATTTTGAAGAATACATATTCATTAGAATGTATACATGTGTATCTTTGCTTATGATCCATCGAATGAGCATGTCCATTTGTGGCCATGACATCATAGAACCCATGATCTAATGTCTATAATAATGAATATATCAGATACAAAGTCAAACAATAAAAACACTTTTAAAATAGCACTTACCACATTTAAAGAAATTCTTATGCTTATTTACATCAACATATTTTGCATTTTGCTGTTTTTGATAATTTTTCTTTTTCCTCTTAGCGAAAAGAGTGTTTCAGAACTCACAATTCACAATCACTACAGTGTACTAACTGAGTTTTCCAAAGAGCCTAACTTCAACCAGGTTTGCTTTATCCTCATCCAATTGTCTGTAAAAATTACACAATGTTACAAATTCAATTGATATTAAATATACTATAACAATATGACTATTGACTAGCTCTGTTAAGTTAATATAACACTGAACATAGTCCAATGGCCTCCTAATTTAATAATCCCATTGATCATTACTACCAGAACTACTCAGAACTTAGTACCAATAATCTCATTCCAGTGTTTCTTGTGGTAGCTTTTATGTCCAATATCAGTTTACAGACTACCCTAGACTTTATACTTTCACTTGGAATATTCTTACCCAACTTAGTCTCCCTTTGAAAGAAGTACCAAAAGTGTTTACTTAATATTATATAATTAAATTCATTCATTTCATAATTCATACCCTATCACTCTACAAAGTGCATATCTTGGAAGTTTAAAATTGAATGGACATTTTCTCTACCATCCATCCTACTTATATTTTGCATTGAAAAGATTTTCATTTCAAGGAAACTAGCGAAAACAAACCATTACCTATCTATACCATGATGCAATCAAAGAAACTGCAATTATGAAAAAAAACTATAGAAAAAGAATAATATAGATTATGGACAAAGTGAGTAAGGAATGAACCCACCATGTGATAATTATGTCTCCGATACATCCAGAACATTGTTTAGATAAATGTGACATGCCAATTATTATAAATATCTACGACTCCTTTGGGGTTGAGGCAGATTCTATCCAATGATTTTGTCAATCTTATCGACTGGTTGGCAGTTTCCTTATATGGATTCCATACAAAACATAAACACATACTGCAATAACGCATTAAGTATAAGTCTTTCGAATAATACAGGTATATGATACACATTCTTTCCACAAATTCCACTATATGGCTATTATTTTATTACATGCATCAGACTTTAAATAACTGAAAAACATGAATTGGTTCTTATTCTAAATCAGTTTATATTTAGGTAGATAAGAAGGCATGTTGTCAATATCCAGGGAATACTTGAAT